GATTACAGATGTGAGCCACCGCACCCGGCCGCGAATTTTTAGAATGGCCAGTATAGTGCAGTTTTACATATAAATGACAGGATGATCTTAAAAGTTTTACTCGTGTTCAGTTGGATAAACTCCGTGGAGTTGTCGCTGTCTGTCCTCGATCTGAAAGAAAAGTAAAATGTCTCTCTTTCCATCTTTCTCCCTCCTCTCTCTCCAATCCCCTTTTTCCTTCATAGCATCTGCCAGGTTGTAAAGTTTTTTAAGGACAGAATCTGACTCCTGTTTTTAGCACTATTGCACTTAGCACAGTACCTTACATAGAGTAGATGCTAAATGCTTTGAGTTATATGTCAACACCACCACCATTCTCTTAGCATCCCACATTATCTCAAACCCTTCTTTCCCCTTCATATCTAAGTAGGCACTACATCTTGTCAGTTTTCATAATTTCTTTTTTTAAATTCCTATTGCTTATAATCTTGAGTACAAGACTTGGCACTTTATATCTGGACTAGTAACTTTCTAACTGGTCACCAAATCTCCAGGGCCTTCCCTGTTCAATTTATTCTCCAAACTATCACCACATTCATCATAACATAGTTTCCTTATGGCTCCTGCTTTTAAATCTTTAATTTCTCTCCTTTGCATATTGGATATTTAGCACTTAAAGCCTTTCAGTCCCTGGCCTTCACTTAACCTTGCTAGTCATAGCGCTTGCTCTTCTCTATATGAGCTCTTCACTTGAACAAAATCAGTCTAAGCTAGGCGTGGTGGTGCACACCTGTGGATTCAGGTACTTGGGAGACTGAGAGCAGAACCCAGGAGTCGGAGGCTGCAGTGAGCCATGATTGCACTACTGCACTCCAGGCTGGGAGACAGGGCAAGACTCTGCCTCTAAAACTAAATGAATAAATACATCCATAAATAAAAATTTTAAAAACAAAATCAGTCTATTAAACATGCCCTGAATATGCTTTGTTCATTCTCATCTTTAGCAACTTGTTCCTTTTAGTATGCTTGCCTGGATATCTGCCCTCCATCCCAATGCCACCCCTTCCATGATGGTGTACCTGTGCTATGGAGTCTCTTTCCTCACCACAGCAACCTTCTTTCCCTAAACTTCAATAAGCTTAAATCTTATCACTCATTTGGCACATAGCATATTGTACTACAAATGCTCTCTTCCAAGGGAAGAGAGCTCACCAACATCATAAGCTCACCAACATCAACTTATAGAAAAAACACTATGGGAAACATTATTTTAACTTGGTTCTACTCAATAGACATCTGTTCTTGAGCTTCATCATTATTATCCCCAAGCCCATTATAGAAATACGACAGAAATATTGGCATCCCAATCGTTGAAGTATTTTCTCATCTCCCAGAAACACATAATATCCAAAGTTTCTGTCACATATACTCAAAACATTTTCTTCTAACCATTTTATCTGTATTTCAGAAGCATCTTTGGTGTACTATGTTGGGTCCAACTTCTTTAAATTCTGCAGCAGTGATCCACATGTCCTGGAAGGCAGACAAGGATGCAAGAATAGAACCTCCCATCCACACTGATATTTTCCTTTCTGGGGGAGCTATAACTTGCACAGCGGTGTTGGCAGGAGCCATCTTTGCTATATCCTTAACTAGCCGCTTGTCTAAACCAGGGAAAGAGGTTGATCCCCCGGCAAGGATAATATTGGAAAAGAAGGAATTCCTCAGGCCTGTATCACATTTCATTATGCTGCTAAGGCATATCTTATCAATGCCAGGGGCCTCAAGGTTCATACAACATGGAGAGAAGAGGGCCTCTGGACAAGAAAAGAGCTGGTCATGGAGCCGGACGACCTGCCCATCAGGTAGTTGGTAAACTTTCTCTAGACAATCAGGTTTCTTGGCCATTTCCTCTTCGTAGTTCATTGCCACATAACAAAAGGTCTCCTTGATGTCTTCAACAATCTTTCTGTCCGAAGCACTAAGCAACATGATACCATGGTTCTTCATTAGCACCATGAGGTAGTTGGTGAGGTCAAGGCCCGCCAGATCCAATTGCTGCACACCATGAGGCAGACAGTAACCCTCAAAGATGGGCACACTCTGGGTAACCCCAGCACCTGAATCCAGCACAAGACCAGTAGTGAAGCCAGCAGCAAAGAGAGCCAGCACAGCCTGGATGGACATATAGAAGGCAGGAACACCCAGATGCTCAAAAAACACTTCCACGATCTGTTGCCGGTTGGCCAGTGGGTTCAGGGCTGGCTCAGTAATCAAGACTGGGCCATCACACGGCTTCAGCTTTAGGTTATAGTCATAGATATGCTTCCACATGATCTCCATGTCATCCCATGAAGTAATGAGACCACGCTCCACTGGGTAACTGTAGGGAGAGCACTAAGATCAATGACAGCTTTTTATTTTTCTAGTTCTATTGTCTTTGACCCTCAGTTAATTCCCCGTGTTTATTACCAATATCCCTTTATGGGCAATAACTGCCACAGCCTCTCACAGAAGGTAAATGTCAGCAAAAATTAGCACAGCTACTTACCTCTGCAATTTTTGTTGCTTTCTATTTTCTCTCTCCTTTGGAAGTTTGTGACTTTTAAAAAATTGGGAAATGTCCACATTATAGTATAGTTTAAATGTCAATTGAAGAGAATAACCCAAGTGACAAAAGGAACCATGAGTTAATATTCTTTTTTGTTTGTTTGTTTGTTTGTTTTGGAGACGGAGTCTCACTCTGTCACCCAGGCTGGAGTGCAGTGGCGCCATCTCAGCTCACTGTAAGCTCCGCCTCCCAGGTTCACGCCATTCTCCTGCCTCAGCCTCCCGAGTAGCTGGGACTACAGGCACCCACCACCTCACCCGTTGTGTTTTCTTAGTAGAGACGGGGTTTCACCTGGTTAGCCAGGATGGTCTCGATCTCCTGACCTCGTGATCCGCCCATCTCGGCCTCCCAAAGTGCTGGGATTACAGGCTTGAGCCACCGCGCCCGGCCGAGTTAATATTCTTAAATGAATTCGTTGGATAACTTTATACGTTTGAATGCATTTGATAGCCACAGAGAGCAAAATGTTCAATTTTTTAGATGTGTGGTACCCATGGAGATTTGTGGCCCGCGCGTTTGTAGTAACTCCAGCTGGCTGGGGTTTTCCTGCTCCCTGCTTCCTTATCCTTTCTGTCCCCATTGCGCACCTCCTTTGGGGTTCTTCCCTGCCCCACCCCAACACCCCCAGTCCCCCCGCCCCCAGCCAACCCAACCCCAGCCCCACCCCCAACCTCCCCAGCCCCGCCCCCCGCAACCTCCCCAGCCCCGCCCCCGCAACCTCCCCAGCCCCGCCCACCGCAACCTCCCCAGCCCCGTCCCCCAACCCCCCAGCCCCGCCCCCCACAACCTCCCCAGTCCCACCTCACACAACCTCCCCAGTCCCACCTCCCCAGCCTCCCCAGCCCCACCCCACACAACCTCCCCAGCCCCACTCCCCTACAACCTCCCCAGCCCCACCAGTCTTGCTGGGAGAAGGAGGTACCTGATGGACAGCGAGCTCCTCCAGTCCTGAGCTTGGTCACCCACGCAGAGTTCTAACCCGCCCGGCGCCGCGCGGCTCTGGCCCTTGGCGCGGCCGATGATGTTCGGGTAGATAAACTGGGGCTCCCTGCTCCCAGCCAGGCCCGCCTTGATCACTCCCGAGCCGTTGTCGATCACCACCGGAAGCTGGCAGTGGTTCATGCCGCCGCTGCCGCCGCCGCCTCCTGTCTCTGGGCCGCTCTGGCTGCGGGCTCTGCCGGGGCCGACTGCCTGAAACGCCGCGTCACAGAGGCCCCGGCACGGCCCAGTGAGGCTCGAGTCCTGGGGCGCAGGCGGGGGTTCGGGAGGCCCCCAGGCGCAAGGACTCGCTGGACGCACTGTGCTCCTCATGTCACCGCCCGCTATTGCTTCTCGCAGGAACTGGGCCACCCCAACCCCTGGAATCCCGGAATCCTAGTATCAGGAAAACCCGACTTTCCCATCAAAAGATTCAACTCTAACACTTAACAAGTGCATTTCTCAAATACCCAGAAGAGCTATAAAAGCAGTTTTATTTTCCAAAGCCACTGAATTCTGCTTAACTGGTGGCGGTTCCGGGGAGTTCTAGAATTCGCCCTTGAAACTGGGGAAAAATGAGACTTAAAAGGGGAAAGTTGTCGCAGGAAGGGAGGCAGTGTCTGCTTCTGAAACGTTAAACTTCTAAAATAAGGAGAAAAATGCTAGAATTTAAATGAGTTTTAAGTACGTTTGTTATTTTTTCTGTACACTGGGCAATGCTTTGTTGTGTTTCTTCCTGTGATTTCCAAGCAAAATATACGCAATTAAAATAGTAGTTCCTCGAATTATATTAATTCGAATTATATCCTTCTGGTGTAATCTGCAAGCCTCATTCCCTACTCTTGATTTTTAGACTGAAGGACGTGCCCGCCTTTTTGGAGGAAAAGTGAAGTTTCTCAGGTCATAGGAAATTCAAGTTTGGAAAAATTTAAAAGTACATTGCATGTCAATAAACGCATCTTGGTGTCTGATTCTGCATACCCTGTAGAGAATTTTAAAATAAGCAGTCAATTTAGAACCTCTGCTTGGTCTTCATAAGCAAAAGGAGGAAATTCAAAAGTAATTTTACACGTCCTTCCACCAGCAGCTGAAAGGATGGCTTTTTCGCGGCTAAATAAGGAAAGTTGCCTGCTTCGCCCCGGAGTCTGAGCAGCTGAACCTGCGGAAAGGATGTATAATAAAACCTTCTTTCCCAGGAGGCAAAAAAAAAAAAAAAGTGCACCCAAAGGAAGGGCAACTCGGGAGTGCCTGGTTTCTACCGCGGTACCCAGGCGCTTTGGAAGAAAGTGCATGCAGATTCAAGCTTTTGAAACGGTTTCGCTCCACCAATTGGGCATAGATTTTTCACTTGGAATTGCGAATTGACACATATATATATCAAGGACTCCACAACAAAAACCGTGGAGCGGGGTTTCCGTAGTGTAGTGGTTATCACGTTCGCCTAACACGCGAAAGGTCCCCGGTTCGAAACCGGGCGGAAACAGCCCGACAGACGTTATTTTCTTTGCTTGAAAGAAAGCGTGAGATCACTTTTTTTTTGAGGTCAGCGTGAGATTAATATATATCGGTCTTTCAAAAGACATGATCTTGATAGCAATTTGAGAGTTTGAACCGTAAGTTTTTATGTTACTTTATTCGTTCACCAAATGTTTTTATGGAAGCCTTGCCACGTGGAACACGTGCCCCGGGTTTTAAAAAATGAATTTGACTCACCAGCTAATACATAAAGAATACTGTACAGCCTAGAAGGAAAGATCAAAGTGTAAAAGTGGTTAGTCCTGTCGCCTCCTGAGCGTTTTTGTATTATGTCACTTGGTTTTTCGTCTGAAGTGTATGTAAATAATCGTATTAAAAATCTTCTACTCCAGACGCAGGAAAACCTTTTCCGGTATAAAGCCCACCTTCCTCTAATGTTGCGCATGCCCACTGTGCCCAGCTGCTCCGCTTTCGTGCATCCCAGACTTCTGTCACCAGGTAAGGGCATCTTGGAAGCTGAGCCACAGTTGGCTGGGGCACAAAAAAACCAGGGGGTGCCAAGAGTTTTCAGGTTCGTAAGCGGGAAAGGGGTGCCGAGTCTCAGCTAAAAAATCCCCCATGGCAGAGATCCGAGTATACATGCAGCAGTTTCCACCGGTGGGGGCCCCGAGAAAGGGGAGGATGATGGGAGAAGACAAGCAACTACAAGCCCCCGTATCCAGTGCGCAGCTGGCTTCAGGAGAGAGGCCCGCGGCGCAGTGCTGCCGGGCCTCGGCGCAGAGCCCCGGCAGAGCGCCAGACGCTGACTGCCGACACCAGAATGCTCGCGATGAGGAAGACAGGCGGAGCGCTGCGAGCTAGCGAGCCCTCAGCTCTCGTATCCATGACGCCTGCTGCTTCGAGGGACCCCTGGCATGCTGGGGAGTGGGTCTCTGTGGGCCATCCTGTCCCGTCCCGGCCGGCGCTGGATCCCCACCGCCCCAGAGCCTCCCGCACGGCCACGGGATGACAGAGCCGGACATGACGCCACCGTGGAAGGAAGGGAGGGGCGGAGCGTGGCGCGGTGACGTCCTCCCAAGATGGCGGAGACAGAGTGAAGAAACTGTGTTCCCCCACTTGGGTTGCTATCGGTGAGTTCCTACTTCACCCCTGGCCCGCCATTCCCGGTCTCTCCAGAACCTCGGCCATCGGAGGGCAGGCTCCTTGGAGTTCCCGCACGGGTCCGGGCGCAGGTGGAAGGCTTGGGTTAGGCAGCCCCGGGGTGGCCTGGGCCACAACCTCTGCTGTGGCATTTCGCGGGAGTGGGAGCTGGGCAGAGGGCAGGGCGGCAGAAGCCGAGGAGGGACTGGCTTTGGTTGTCACTCTCGGATGCCGCCTGGCGTAGAGAGAGTGGGAAGGGAGAAGGTGTGGCCTCCTCGGCGCCAGTGATAGAACCTTTGACAGCAAGCCGTGGCCCGGCGCATTCCCGGCTCTATGGGCAGCCACCTCGCGTTTTGGAGAAACCGCACTGGGGAAACTAACAGGTTTTGGTAACTTGAGAGCAGTTTTTAAAAACTCGTACTGTTCTGCCCCTATTAGTCCCAAGAGATCATGTCTTAGTGGCTTAAAAAAATTTTTTGTAACATAAGTATGTCCACTGAGCTTGAAAATCTGAGGGTTCAACTGATGTGAAGGCGTCAAGTTTTGCGGTGCTTTTTTCAGGTGGTAGAAGTGTTGCCATTCACCGTCACTTAGTGATATGTCCAAAGGATTGTGTTAGTTGGTCAAGGGAACCAAAGATAGAAAGGCACCCGTCCCTTCATTCTTAACCATATATATTTGATAAGGATTTTCAAGGGGGGCTAAAATTGTTAAAGTTATGGCCTCTGTCCCTTCCCTCACTGAACGTTGATGAAACTTACGGTTACTGATTTACTATTTCTTTTTGTCTTTTAGATCAAGGGTAGAATTCCATTCTGATATCAAAATGCAGTATTCGCACCACTGTGAGCACCTTTTAGAGAGATTGAACAAACAGCGGGAAGCAGGTTTTCTTTGTGACTGCACCATAGTGATTGGGGAATTCCAGTTTAAAGCTCATAGGAATGTGCTGGCCTCCTTTAGTGAGTATTTTGGTGCGATCTACAGAAGCACTTCTGAGAATAATGTCTTTCTTGATCAGAGTCAGGTGAAGGCTGATGGATTTCAGAAACTGTTGGAGTTTATATACACAGGAACTTTAAATCTTGACAGGTAAAGTACACATTTTATTTCCAGTTATAAAAACTAGTCAGTAGTCTTCACAGCAAAAGTAGCTTTGTGTTTTTTCCCTTCATTCTCTGAACTCAAATTCTTCAACTATTTTGTGCATACAATGTTTGTTTTTATAAAGAAATCAGTATCACTGATGTAGGATGAGCAGGCAATATTTCATAAGCACAGAAACCACAGATAATAAACAGTAAGATTTCTGACACGTTCATCTACTGAAATAGAGCCTGTGATTTCACTTACGTAAACTTGAACATTAAACACAATGAATTTATTTTATTTTATTTTTGAGACGGACTCACTGTCACCCAAGCTGGAGTGCAGTGGCGCAATCTCTGCTCACTGCAACCTCTGCCTCCCAGGTTCAAGCGATTCTCCCACCTCAGCCTCCCTAGTAGCTGGGACTACAGGCATGCACTACCACACCTGGCTAATTTTTGTATTTTTTTTTTTTTTTTTGGTAGAGACAGGGTTTTACCATGTTGGCCAGGCTGCAAACACAAAAAATTCTAAGTGACTTCCAGTTTCCCATTGCTTTTTGGTCCTTGTATTCCTCTGGTCTCTCTCCCTCATTCTGACTCCTGTTATCTCTATTAACCTACCAGTACTAATACTGAAGTAAGGTCAAAGATGCTAGAATGCTTCTCTAAGATGCTTACTATTGTCACTGCATTAACAAAAAGTGGGTTCTGAGGAATCTGATATTGCAGGCACTGTGTGTCTCCCCTATATAATGAACCATATAATTAGATTAATATCAATACATTTACTGATTGTAGGGGAAAAGGTGGAGGGAATAAAAGCAAAGAGAAACTGATTAAATTACCCCTGTCTTATTTCTGCCTCTCCTATGAAAGTGGGAACATGAGTAGACTGTTCATAATCTTCTGACATAGGAAGATTATAGGCTTTGGAATTAGATCTTTCCTGTCAGTTGCTATGTCTCCTTGAGCATGATGCAATCTCTCTGGGCCTCAGTTTCCCCATCTGTCAAAATGAGATGGTAAGAACTACCTTGAGGCTAAATAAGGTTTTACTTGATCCTTATTCACTTCCCTGTGAACATTAATTTCTTTATTTTTCTTCTTTACCCTCTCCTCCCCCTTTAATTCCATGTTTCTTGGAGAAAAATTAGAAAAAAGAAAAATGAAACACCTGAAATTCTGCTACCTACTGATAACCCCTGTTAACCTTTTGATATATATTAATTCATTCTTTTCCAGATCTCGGTAGAGATGTGCATGTATACAGTAAGCAAAATCTTTCCCTCCCTTTTATATTGCAGCTTATCATGGAAAGATACTTATTTAAAAATCTAGAATCAGGGTGCTCATTAATCCTTTTGACAAGGAAACATTCTTGTACAAGAAGTATCCAGTGTGGGGAGGGGAGGGAGAGAAAAGTAAACTTTCATGCTATTTTGGAATTATTTTTAAATTTTGGCATAATGAAATCTTCAAGTGATAAGTTGATTAAGGGAAAAGAGCGTGTGAATTTTGACTGGCCTTCAATTTAATAGTTTCCCTTTCTCAATTAACTATGCAAAAAAAAAAAATCTTCATTTGAATACACAGTAGAGCACTTTTCTTTGAGACTCCATGCAAAGAACCAATGTGAAGAACAGCCAGGTGTTTTGTTCAGTCTCTTTTGGTACGTATCTTTCCTGGGGACTGGGGAGCTAATTCCTCGAGTTCAGCTAGAAATGCAAGAGAGGATTTATACCAAAATAGAAAGGCTTACAACTTAGTGATTAAGAAAACAGGTAGAATAATAGAATTAGTTGGCTCAGGGGCCACATTACCTTGGTCAAATCTTCATTCTAACATTCTGTGCTCTTGGACAAGTTACTTTATTTCTTTGGACTTCTGATTTTTCACTTGTATGTAAAATGAGGATTATAATAGATTTCATAGGCATGTCCTGAGGATAATCTTATAAAGCATTTTGGCATATACCTGGCAATATGTAATTAAATGACCTTCAATGACTGTTCACAAGATGTTATCTAATACTTGTAAACAAAAGCAAATCTGTTAGAAGTAAATGTTGATTGGTGCTCTTAATTGTGACTGAGATTATAGCCGTCTATGAAATAGTTTGTATGAATTACCATTTCAATGCTGAACTTTTTTTTTTTTTTGAGACAGGGTCTCTGTCGCCCAGGCTGGAGTGCAATGGCACGATCTTGGTTCACTGCATCCTCCACCTCCCAGGTTCAAGGGATTCTCCTGCCTCAGCCTCCCAAGTAGCTGGAATTACAGGCACCCACCATCATGCCCGGCTAATTTTTGTATTTTTGTAGAGATGGGGTTTTACCATGTTGGCCAGGCTGGTCTCCAACCCCTGACCTCAGGTGATTCGCCCACCTTGGCTTGCCAAAGTGCTGGGATTACAGGTGTAAGTGACTGCACCCGGCCTTGAACAATTAATATATGACTTCCTGCTAACTTATATTGGTCTTAAAGGCTACCTGACCTTGTTATCTGTTTGGCAGTTCATTTTATGGAGCAGTAAACACAATTGGAGACCAAAAGATCTTTTTTAGTGGCCCAGCCCAAAAGACAATTTTTAAAAAGCTGTTGTGACGCTAAATTAAATAAGGGGAAACATACAGGTGGCACTTGAGGCAAAGCAAGTTTAATTAGAAGATGATGAGAACATGGGTAGAGATTTGTGGATACTGTAGGATACTTTTAGAGATCTTAGAGGTTCATGACACTAGTTATTTTTTATTTCAAATTTTAGTCCTTTAAAAAAAATAGTGTCACCAGCACTATATTTACATTGTCAGCTATGATTAAAACCCTTTTCTGGCTTATACTTACAACAAAGAGAGAAAGAGATCATCTTCCAAAAGATAAACCGTATTTAGGGGAAAAATCAAGTAGGAAGATTATTTGAGAGTAAGGGGTGTGTGTGTGTTTCCATCCTCAGATACTTATAACAGTCATATTTTTAGTGTTAATACCAACTCAGCTCTAATTTTACAGCTAAGAAAGTTGAACCCCCCAAAGATGCTGACTTACCCTAATTAAGTCAGCTAGTAATGCCAGAGCCAGTGCTAGATTAATCAAACAACCTTTCACCACATTGTGAACTTCTGAAGGGCAGAGACTATTTATTTATTAATATCTTAGTACCACACATGGTAGATGCTTAGTAAACATTTGACTACAATATTGAACACGGTTGCTTAAGTCTTTCTTTGTAATTCTCGTATCACAAACACTCCAGCTAATTTGGGTTGAGTATCACCAAAAAAGATTGAGAGGGTTGCTAGAGAGAGTTTAACATTCTAAAACCTTGTTCCTCTAAGTGGGTTCCTCTTAGCAACATTGGCATCACCAGGGAGTGTATTAAGAAATGCAGGCAGGGCTGGTGGCTCACACTTTGGGAGCCCAAATTAATCCTAGCATTTTGGGAGCCCAAGGTGGGAGGATCACTTGAGGCCAGGAGTTCGAGACCAGCCTGGGCAGCATAGCGAGACCCTGCCTCTACCAAAAAAAAAAAAAAAAAAAAAAAGCCAGGCGTGGTAGCACATGCTTGTGGTCCCACTTACTTGGGAAGCTGAAGCAGGAGAATCACTTGAGCCGAGGAGTTTAAGGCTGCAGTAAGTTATCATTATACCAGTGCACTCCCGCTTGGGTAACAGAGGAATGCCCCATCTCAAAACAGAAAAAAGAAATGCAGAATCTCAGGCCCCATCACAGACTTACTGAATTTGAATCTATATTTAACAAGATTCCTGGGTTATTCGCACGCACAGCAAAGTTTGGCAAACATAATTAAAGTCCCTCACAGGGGAGCAGGAGAAAATAGTAGGAAACAAGTGTCATTAGACTTTGCCTCTTTTTGCCTCTTGCCAATCCAGAAAAGTTGGTTGCTATCTGAAGAGGTCTCAGGATGAATGGAAGAGGTAGTGAGTTGCCATCAGCTATTTTTGTGTTCTAGGGTTTTTTGTTTTTGTTTTTTAAAGCCAGAAAATTTAACATTTAATTTTTCTGCAGTGGTTCACTGACAGCTGTGAATAGCCATTATCTTTCATCTCTTGAAGTTCTGTAAAATTGGAGATTTTCACCTAAACATTATTCTGAATGCATTTATAAATATATTTTTCTCTTAGTGATGTCTTTTTCAGCATTCTGCTTCATTAGGTCTTTAAAATACATTGAAGTATATATGCAGCTCTGTTTCAGAAAGTTTTTCTTTGATCAGAATATTGTCATGTAGCCTTGTTTCCTTACAGTTGGAATGTTAAAGAAATTCATCAGGCTGCTGACTATCTCAAAGTGGAAGAGGTGGTCACTAAATGCAAAATAAAGATGGAAGATTTTGCTTTTATTGCTAATCCTTCTTCTACAGAGATATGTAGTATTACTGGAAACGTTGAATTGAATCAACAGACTTGTCTTCTTACTCTGCGAGATTATAATAATCGAGAGAAATCAGAAGTATCTACAGATTCAGTTCAGGCAAATCCTAAACAAGGGGCATTAGCAAAAAAGTCATCTCAAACAAAAAAGAAGAAGAAGCCTTTCAACTCCCCGAAAACAGGGCAGAATAAAACAGTGCAATATCCCAGTGACATCTTAGAGAATGCGTCTGTTGAATTATTCCTAGATGCAAATAAACTGTCCACACCTGTAGTAGAACAAGTTGCACAAATAAATGATAATTCAGAACTCGAGTTGACATCAGTTGTGGAAAATACTTTTCCAGCACAAGATATTGTACAGACTGTTACAGTGAAACGGAAACGTGGAAAATCACAGCCAAACTGTGCTCTGAAAGAACACTCTATGTCTAATATAGCCAGTGTCAAGAGTCCTTATGAGGCAGAGAACTCTGGGGAAGAGCTGGATCAGAGGTATTCCAAGGCCAAGCCAATGTGTAACACATGTGGGAAAGTATTTTCAGAAGCCAGCAGTTTGAGAAGGCACATGAGAATACACAAAGGAGTTAAACCTTACGTCTGCCACTTATGTGGAAAGGCATTTACCCAATGTAACCAGCTGAAAACGCATGTAAGAACTCATACAGGTGAGACGGGTGTATGGGGAGATATAATTATTTTTATACTGTGACTAAAATAGTGTATTTTTATAGAGAGTACTTAGCACACACTACTTGTGATCAGAAGTTGGTATATTTTTCTATTCATCAAAGTATTTAACAGTGTTAAACTGTTGAAAATTTGTTTATAATTGTAACCAAGTATTTAATGGCTGTTTAAGCCCTATTGCATCAACTCCTTATACCATTTTCCCTCCAAATAAGCATGTTGATTTAGCTTACCAAGTATTTAACAGAGACAAAGACATTAAAACTGATAAAGAGAAAATGTAATTACAATTCAGGCCAATTTTCAGATATTGCCAGCACTTATTACATACTTTCTAGACTTTGTTGACTTCTGAACATGTTCATTGGAATTACACATACAGTGTTCCCTCAGCTTCTACAGTTACCTTTATTTTGCATGTCCTCTGGTTGTAAAGTATGAACACCCATTGGTACATTTAGATTCGTACTTTTTAATTTATTTATTTATTTTATTTATTTTTTTTTTGAGACAGTCTCACTCTGTTGCCCAGGCTGGAGCGCAGTGGTGAGATCTCGGCTCACTGCAAGCTCCGCCTCCTGAGTTCACACCATTCTCCTGCCTCAGCCTCCCAAGTAGCTGGGACTACAGGTGCCTGCCACCACACTCAGCTAATTTTTTGATATTTTTAGTAGAGACTGGGTTTCACCATGTTAGCCAGGATGGTCTCGATCTCCTGACCTCATGATCTGCCTGCCTCAGCCTCCCAAAGTGCTGGGATTACAGACGTGAGCCACCGAGCCTGGCCCTAGATTCGTACTCTTTTAAATGTTGTATGTACTTCTCTCATTTTGAATTCAGAAACACTAATTTCTTCTAATTCTACTGGTGTTTTCAATGGTCTGGAAAATATTGTATTTGTTTTCAATTCCAGCAGTTAACATTTTCTTAATAACAAAGCTAGTACTGTTGATGAAATCTTATATGACTTATGCAACCAAAACACTATTTTCTTCTAAATATAAATTTTATTGTTCCTTTAGGTGAGAAGCCATACAAATGTGAATTGTGTGATAAAGGATTTGCTCAGAAATGTCAGCTAGTCTTCCATAGTCGCATGCATCATGGTGAAGAAAAACCCTATAAATGTGATGTATGCAACTTACAGTTTGCAACTTCTAGCAATCTCAAGATTCATGCAAGGTAAAAAACCAAATGAGTTGTTTGATCTTTTAGTCTCTTAATCACCATAGTCTTATGAATAGACTATTATATTAGAATTCAGGACAGTAGAATTTTAATTGTGGCTCCACCAAACGGTATTAACACATTCAAGGAACCACAAGGAAGCCATAGTAGTTGATAGGAAATAAGCGGGGTCGGGGGACTACTAGGAAATAAGGTCAGACTGATCCAGAAATAAGATCAGAATGGTCCAGAATGCAACTTAAGAGGATCATTCTGGCTAGTATAGGATTATAAGAGTGGAATCAGGGTAAACAGGAATCTATAGATAAAAGCCAAGCAAGGGTGATGGTGGTTCAGGCCAGGGTGGCAGCAGTGAAAGAAATAAGTAGTAGTAGATTCTGGATATATTTTAAAGTTAGAAATAACAGAATTTGCAGACAGATTGATTGTATGTGAAGTCTGGAAGAGAGTCAAAGATGATTCTGAGGTTTTGGGCCTGAACCCCTATAAAGATGGAGTTGCCATTAACTGAGATAGAGAAGGTTTGTGGGTAGAACAGTTTAAGTGGAAGTGCAGGAATTTACAATTACAGTTATGAGCATGTTAAATTTGAGATGACTTACACTTCTGAACAGAGATGTACAATAGATAATTGGTTATCTAAGTCTGCAGTTCAGGGGTCTGGTTTAAGGTGAAGATACCAGTTTGGCAGTCATTAGCATATGACAGTATTTAAAGCTATAACCCTGGCTAAGGTCACCAAGAAGGTGAATGTGGATAGAAGAAATCAAAAGATGGTCCTGAGGCACTCTTAACTTTATGGGTTCTGAGAGATGGGTGAGAAACAGCAGACTTAACTAGGAAGGAGCAGCCAGTAGAGGAGGAAAACCAGGAAAGTGGGCTGCCCTGGAATCCTAAGTGAAGGAAGTTATTCTGGTTGGGAGTGGTCAGTTGTAAAATTCTGTGATAGGAAGATGAAGACTGGATTTAGTGAAGTGGGAAGTCAGCAGTGCTCTTGACAAAAGCATCATTAGTAGAGGCTAGTAGAGAAGAAATGGAAGTAGAATACTTGGAGTCTCAAGGTTTTGGTAAAGGGGATCAGAGAAAGGAGGAGCAAGTAAGGTCAAGGGTGTTTGGTTTTTTGTTTGTTTTTGTTTTTGTTTTTTAATATGGGAGATATCAGTATATTTGTATACCATAATCCAATGGAGTGAGAAACATGGATGATGTGGGATTGGGGAAATTGCAGAAGTGATATCATTAAGTAGGATCTCAAGTATACATATTGGAATTGATGGATTCAGATGAACTGTCACCCTCATGTTATATGAATTTTTCTCAGTGAAATAGGAAGCAGGGGGTGTCATCTGAGAATAACAATGGGTGAGGAGATGCTGATGGTTTGAGGAGAGAGTTTTCACAAGTCAAAGAGTGACTAGACTCGTGGAAATAATTGCCTGCAGTATTAGGGGCCCACTGACAACCATATGAAGATCATGGAAAAACTTTTTGAATTGATTTCAGAACTAATGTTTTGATAATAAATATTTGTTTTTGGCAGTGTTTACACTGAAACAACTACTGATTTTAAATACATAGTCTTGGCCTGTTAAGATGACATGAAATAAAATGTGTAAAAAATTTCATGGAACGTCTTACTAAAATACAAAAAATGGGGGGGGGGGGCGTGAGACTGGGGGGGGGGGGGGGGGGGGGAGCTGCAGTGAGCAGGATCGCCATGCATAGTTGGAAGAGCGAGTGTCAAAAAAAAAAAAAAAAAAAAAAAAAAAAAAAAAATTTCATGAATTCTTGCTATATAGACTGATCTCCAAATTGTTTTACTTAACTTTATATTTATTTACTAATAGGAAGCATAGTGGAGAGAAGCCATATGTCTGTGATAGGTGTGGACAGAGATTTGCTCAAGCCAGCACATTGACCTATCATGTCCGTAGGCATACTGGAGAAAAGCCTTATGTATGTGATACCTGTGGGAAGGCATTTGCTGTCTCTAGTTCTCTTATCACTCATTCTCGAAAACATACAGGTGAGTTTGACAGGGAGAGACTGCTTAAAATAAAGTTATAAATAAAAGAAAAAGGGGACTTGGGCCTTTAGCGAAGTAGATTGGAAACTTTGTAGTTAGATATCTGTTTGTACTTCTATGAGCTGTTTATGATTTTCACATACTGGTTAAATATAAAAGCTGACTTATTTTCTAGAATAATACAAGGTGGGTGAAATAAATTATATAACTTACACATTAAAATCAGTGAGATAATTTTGATATTATATAAACTTGCATTGAGATGCGTTTTGTGACTTTAAAAATACCTTTTCAGCTTCCTGAAGGGTCATCTCCTATAGTTAGGGTTGGGGAGTGGGTTTGGGTTGAACATGGATTTTTTTAACTTCTTAGGACCTTTCCTACGCAGATATTCTGAGATTTTCAAATTAAGTAATTCAGACACAAAAGAGCAGTTTGGAAACAAACTGCTTTTTTAGGGTACATTTTTAAAAGACTTCCCTACATGCTTTTATTCTCCTTTATTAATATAGTAGATAGCAAGAATATGTGGGTTTATGAATTGACATGTTCTTAATCATATAAAAATCAAATTCCATGCCCAAATCATCTCTACTAGAAGGGACATTTTTAGGAATAAAGTTTTAATATATGAGAACTTATGAACAGTATATAATAATTACTAATATTCATTTACTTGGATCACTGAAAATACCTCTAAAGTACAATATAGAGAGGTTTTAATTTAAATAATATTTCAGAAAAGCTTTAGATTATTTGTAATTGATAAATATTATATTGGTATAGTACACCACTTCGCTATCTTTTATTTTCCATCTAGGTGAAAAACCATACATATGTGGTATTTGTGGGAAAAGTTTTATTTCCTCAGGAGAGCTCAACAAACACTTTCGGTCCCATACAGGTCTGTGTTTAGGGAGAACGTATTATTTTTTGTTCTCTCTTAATTTCTTTTTATGTAAACCTTGACTTTTAAGCCATTATGGACTATATGGTATTTAGTCATACTATACCTATAGCAATATCTTAATGTATAAATATCAACTTATTTGCTTTTTTTTTTTTTTTTAGTTGTTTGGAGTATAAATTAAATTTGTTAAAGAATTGTGTTGGTTTTCCAAGAAATATGCCAGATAATCAATAGTTTTTAAATGATTTGGATTAAATTGCACAGATATACCAAGAAATGAAAAGGAATAGGTAATACCAAGATAACATCAGATTTTCTTACTAAACAGTGTTTAGTATGCAAGTTTTAGGAACAAATTTTAATTTTGACATGTTTATCGTAAAAAGTAGTTTGTAAATTGTATAAAGAAAATATTGAATGTAAAAAATTTTAAAAGAAAGGAAAATGCCACTTTGAAAGAATACTGTTTTAACATTCTCTTTTTAAAAATTCGTCCTCATAATTCCTACCTAGAATAATGTGAGTACTTAATAGAGATTTAGTAACTTTTTGGTGACTTTATATTCGCACACGCTTTAGTTTACACCATAAAGCAGTGAACAGTTCTTATTTCCAAAGAAGTGTAATATTGTAGCATGTTGGCAGTATTTTTAAGGATTTTCTAATTTGTCAGGTACCTGAGAGCAGAAACTATGATTATTACACTTATTTTCCCCTAGCTTTATCTCTTAGCCAGTGTCTGGAATATAATTGACACTCACTAAATGTTTCATAGAAATACAAGAGTAGGTTTAGTTTGCAAGTACATTTCTGTTCATGAAAATGCTCAATTTTTCTTGAGATACAGATTTTTTGAATAAAGGAGTGACTAGGTTGTATAGAATCTTTCATTTCACTATACTATAACCAGGTGATTAAAGTGACAATTTGAAACCAAATTTAAACACTATAATAATTTTTGCCTTGTGTTCATAAACATTGATATTTTTGTCTTAGCTAGCAGTTTTTAAAATATTGAAATTTAAACTTTTTAATTTGTTTTTCAGGAGAGAGACCATTTATCTGTGAATTATGTGGAAATTCTTACACAGATATTAAAAATTTAAAGAAGCACAAAACAAAAGTCCATTCTGGTAAATGCTTGTTTTTTTGTTTTGTTTTATTTAATTTGGTGCTTATATGAGTTCTATTCCTTAAAATGTTGAGATGAGATGTACATTTAAGCAGTTTAAGTTAAATGTCTATTTCAAAAACTAGGTATATACATATGAGGAAAGTAGCTTTTTTACAGTAACATTCATTTTGGATTTCTTTTCATATTGAGCCTCTTATAAAAAAACTTGAAACATTTCCTCCTTTTAAAACCTGACTTAATAACAGTCCCAAGCATGAAGGAACATATAAGCAAACTATGTGTCACTGTATCCCATACTGGAGTCTGGATAACTCAGGGTTTACTACGGTTATTATGAAAAAAAAAAAAAAGGGGGGGGTGTTATCATGAACACTAGTCCAGAAATGTTTAAGAGGAAATAGGGAAACAGGTAACCCTACATTGCTATAATATATAAAAATGGAAAGCGAGACAACAAGTCTTGGGTCTGTTGGTTAAAATGAATTCTTGAAAAAGCTTCCCTGTGCTTACTATTTTATTCTGTCATTATTAGAAATGACACTAGGCACTTCTGGTGTGTAAATACTTAAAACATCATAAGTATTAAGTTAGAAACATTTGAAAACTACAGTAAGTCATTAATTTAACCACTTGTTAGATTTCTGCAAAGTGTACGTTCAGGGAATATGAAGTTAAACAAGGCATAGTTCTGGTACTCAAAGCACTTACAACCTGGTGTGCGAGAACAGAAACCTAAATAAATAATTACAAGGGAAAATTTAGGGCATAATCGACACAAAAGTACTAAAGAAGATACTGTTTTTCTGAGGTAAGTACTAGAAAAAAACTTAATTTTAGGGAATTTGAAGGATGGAGAAGAGTTCAAAGATGGAGATGGGACGAGAGAATTCCTTCCAGGCAGAGAACATTGTAAAGAGTCCATGGGACAAGAAGGAAACCTTGACTAGTTGAAGTGAAGAGTAGTTTGGGAAGAATACAGATAATTACAATTTTACAAAAGCAGTTTTGTCTACCTAACAAGGATGGTGAAACCGAAATCACGTCAACACTTCAGAGTAACGGAAGCATGTTAAAGCCATTGGAAAATTTGAAGGCAAAAGTACATCTTTAGTCAGTGTGCTAATTGTTCCCTTGAGTAAAGCAGAATTTCTCACCTCTGAAAATATATGAAAGTGTCATACATACTATTCTGAACTCACAGAATAATATGAACAACTTATTAAAAACATTCAGTGAATGAATAGAGTATTTCTTATCACTATTTAATACTTTGAGGGAGTTAAAGAAGTATGACTTGACATTTATTCTCAAAGAATTTACAGTCTGGTTGAGGATTCAAGGCATACCTGAGTAGAATGTTAAATGGTAATAAGAGAGAGAGATGCCACAAGACAGTATATGAAAATTGACAAATGTATGATTAAGCAGATAAAACAGCTCACCCTGTTTCATTCTTAATCAAGTCCATTTTTTTTTAATGGAGTTAGTGCTTGAACTTAACCTTGAGGCCCAGGTTAAATTTACATAGATAGTGAGAAGGGCATATCTACAAAAGAGAAACCACTTGAGTAAAAGTATTGAGGTTGCAATGTAATTTCTGGGAATGGTAAGTACATTAGTCTATCTTATTTTTAAAGATAATGTAGATTTTTTTCCTTCCATTGTAGGTGCAGATAAAACTCTAGACTCCAGTGTAGAGGATCATACTTTGAGTGAACAAGATTCCATACAAAAAAGTCCTTTATCAGAAACTATGGATGTGAAGCCTTCTGATATGACTTTACCATTAGCTCTTCCACTTGGGACTGAGGACCATCACATGCTTCTGCCTGTCACGGATACTCAGTCTCCTACATCAGATACATTGTTGAGGTCAACTGTGAATGGGTATTCAGAACCACAATTAATTTTTTTACAACAATTATACTGACTTTGTGAGGAATATGGAATTGCTAAGATGTCATTGGTAGCAAACATCTCTGGTAAGGTGCATATATTCATACTAAATTCCCATTCATTTGAGTTGTGACCATTATTTTTCATTCACTGAAGTAAAAGCACCTGATGCTGCATCACAACTGCAATGTTTGTTTTTATTTTTGGCTTTTATGTCTATACTCCACACAGCTTTTTAAGGAATGAATTATGTAGCACTATTTTGGGTGAATGAGTTTTATTTTCTTTTAAAGCTGCCTTAATTCCATTTTTATTTTGCATTTTAGAATTGCCCTTCATTTACTAAATCAGCCAGTTAATGTGATTCAGTTTTGACCTGTGGGACTTTAAAATTTTCCTGCCCTCAGAATTTAAGCAAAATCCATGATAGTATCAGCCCAAGAGTGTGTTACTATTTGTCAGCCCCACGGATCAATACATAAACTATGGAGAAAAAGTAAAATTTCATTATTTCTGCTCGTGAAAATTTAGGTGCTGAATAAGAATTGTGCTATTTCTCTATTAATATATTCTGTTAGAAATAACTTTTCTAATGAAACAACAAATGTTTCTCAAAATCTAGAAAAGTGCGTATAAATTTTTGTTCATTTAGAACTCAGTATTCTGGAGAAAACCAATGGTCAGTACTTTTGGTTTGAGTTATCTGAGATTCTATTTTCAAAATGAATTTTAAGTAGATATTTGGTGTTTTTATCTTGTCAAAGACAGTTTCAGAATTTGATTCAGTTTATGTTTTATTCAGTTTCTAAAATATTGGAGATGAGGAAAATGTACTTGAGTTTTGAAATATTTTGGTAAGCCTCTATTATGCCTGTTATGCACTTTTAAAATAAATATTAAATTCCAGAAAGAATTTTCTAGATATAAACTTAATGCATACTAGAAATCACTCGGCTTCTAAATTTGGTACATTATATTGCATAAAGAGTTAAGAAATTAACCTCAATTATAAGTAAACATTTTGAGTTAGCAGAAAGCCAATTTTAAATATTTTATATTTGAGTTTTCTATAAGTTTGGGGTTTGTTAATTTTATAAATTAAACAACAACTTTTGGTTGTGGTTGTAGTTTCACAATGGTACTTCTCCTTCCAATCGAATGTAGAAAATTCGTTATTATCCTGATATTTGCACCACTCATCCCCATGCCACTTTTCCCACATATTAATTTATTTCACTGCCTGATCTTTGGATATGAAATTATCAGTTCCATGAAGTCAATTTTTATAATGCCGATCAAACAGCATGGTGACATTCTTTCTTATTCTTTTTTTCCCCCCCACAAGGCTATTTTTCAGTGTGAGATGACATCATTTATTATTTCTGCCATGCTGTGACTTTTGTTTTCTGCTTTTAAACTACACCTGTAGTACAGTTAATATGGTTTTTATTGGTGTTGATTTCTTTAATTCATTAATTTTCTCTACTTGGGACCCAAGTCACAGGAACCAATTAGAAGACATAATAAAAATACTTAATGCTTGTAATCTGTAGAGATCTTCACCATTTCACAGCACACACATTATTTTCATAATAAATTGCCACTGGTGGGACATGGGACTGACTTATTTGAATAGAGTTTGAAATACCACCTTTGTACGATACAAACTTAATATTTGATTATTTTATTTAAGAAATTTATGCATGTGTATTAAGTTAAAATAGTGGGTTTAAATAAAATTCATAAAGCATTAGAATGTTCACCTAATCTCTTCTGGGTTAAATGTGATAGGACTGTATTGGAATGTGAAGAAATTAAAGAAAATTAAAAGACTCAGCCTCTTTAGGAAGTTTGCTAAAATGGGGAGGTTATGTTTAATTTATTTATATCTTCATTAATCCAAGCATCTAATGAACAAAAAACTGCTACAGTGATGTCATAATTCTATAAGGGCAATAGTTGCCAAATTTCCTCTGGTATAATTAGCATTTTTCTTTTGCATAGATTAGCCTTCAAATTTATTATTTTTAGTATTATTTGATATGATTGAAGTGGCTAAGATTGATTGAGCTTTTCTTGATCACATTTTCTGCTTCTTAGCTAAAGTAATTTTATTTAAATTGACATGGCTTGAATTGTCATCATTTTCTGCTCTTCCAGAATGATGTGCAGAGAAAACTTGAAGACAGTATCTCTTCTTTGGCATTCTTCTCTTAATGCGATGCTATTATTTATCATAATATACATGTATTTAGTTGTATCTGTTATCATTCTGATACTCATAACTACCATTTTAAGTCCAACTTTATATTTGTTACAATGCAGAGTTTTGGGAAAGGTCTATTAGTAATTATTTAAGTATTACATATTTTTATGGAAGTCTTTAGAAGGTGAATATCTTACTGAAAAACTGTTTTCTAAATGAATTTAATTTTGTTTTGTATTTGTATCAGATCATGCCTACTGTATGTTAGATTTTAGACTGTTTTAAAAGAAACCCTAGATTATATAAAAATTTTTTTGCTGTTTTTAAATGGCATTTGTTTTATGTTTAATTTCACAGGATAATTTTGATAGACAAATTTTCTAGAAGACCTTTTTTGAAAGGTAATGGTTCTATAAGTTCCATTCCAACAGTAGTTTATTTCTGTGTTTCAGTCCTACAGAAATTGTGCGAGTGAGTAGTTGAAATAATGTACATGTACCAGTTTTTTAAGTATTCTAAATAGTTCTAACATTTAATGCATATCAGAAACATGTTTAAGAAATACCAATATCCAGGCCCACCCCACCTATTGAATCAGACAGTTCCCGGGGCATATATATGCTGGAGAAGCCCCATAGGTGATTTTAATATATACCAAACATGTAGAATCTCACTCTGTTGCCCAGGCTGGAGTGCAGTGGCATGATCTCAGCTAACTGTAGCCTCCGCCTCCTGGGTTCAAGCAATTGTGCCTCAGCCTCCTGAGTAGCTGGTACTATAGGCACGTGCCACCACACCTGGCTAATTTTTGTTAGAGATAGAGTTTCACTCTGTTGGCCAGGCTGGTCTCGAACTTCTGACCTCAGGTGATCTGCCCACCTCGGCCTCCCAAAGTGCTGGGATTATAGGCGTGAGCCACTGCGCCCAACCATGAACTACTGTCTTAAACATTTCTTGATGTTCTACCTTTGGGAAGCAATTTAAAATGATGCTCTTGAATATAATTTTCAATATTTTACCTAGATATGAGTACCTAGAACTTTTTTTTAATATATACTTTAAGTTCTAGGGTACATGTGCACAACGTGCAGGTTTGTTACATATGTATACCTGTGCCATGTTGCTGTGCTGCACTCATTAACTCATCATTTACATTAGGTATTCCTCCTAATGCTATCCCTCCCTCTTCCCCCCGAGTTCCTAGAACTTTAAATACCATCAAGTAAAATTCTTTAAATTCTACATTTTTACTTATTATTTATGGGCAATATTGATACGTAGTTATTACAGCATTAATTTTTTGAGATAATAATATAGTCTGCTCTTCTGTCCTCTGCAACTCGTGCTTCCGTTCATTCAAGAGGTTTGCTGTACAGAGACTCCTTGACTTATGGGTTTATCATAAGTCAAGGAGTATACTGAATATGTATTAGTTTCACACATTGTAAAGTCAAGAAATCATAAGTCGGGGACCATCTGTATTTGTTTAAGAAATTAGATAATTACCATGTAAATACAGTATTTAATTTCAAGAAAAATTTACTAAAATAAACACTATGGATGTGAACATCCACATATTTGGATAACAGTATCTGGCCAGTGTTTCAAATGCTGGGAAAAAATTCAAATCAGAATGCATAAAGCTGCAAAGATGATAAACTACTCTTAAGTTTACAGTCAAATGGAGATGCCAAGCATAAATATAACTTGCAATAAGACAAGCCAGGATGTTGAGTATTATAGTAGGGGAAGGCAAGAAAGGAAATGCTAAGCAGTCATCAGGAGTAGAATGGACAGAGAAACGGCCATTGTTTACCTGGATAGGCAAACAAGGAGATGGCTGATGGAAGAATTTGCACATAGCTGATGAAGAGTGAACTAGGCAGAATGGAGAGAAAGTGTTAAGTGGAGAGGAGATAGAAGTCAGAGGCATCTCCAGTACTACACCTACACCATCTTGAAATAGTCCTCTACCCATAGTCTGTGCTGAAGGAGTGAGATTAGATAGCCAGGTTTGTAACCCATGTTCTCACATGCCAACCACAGTTGCGTGCTGGAGGGCGGGGATTAGACAGCCACTTATGTAACACATGATTCCATACTTGTGACCACAGCAACAAAACACTTCACCAGGGAAAAACAATTCATAGGCCAGACTGAGCTGTTAAGATTCTTTCTGACAAGTTTGAGCTATGAAATTCTGAAACAATCAGGTAATGATATACCTATAAATGAAAAGATCATTTCAGAACTGGCCTCGAAGTCAGTGAAGCAAGCTAAAGTCTAAAGGAAATGATGAGTAAGCAGAGAAACCTGATCTATAGAGCAAAACTAGGGAATGAAACAGGTTTGCTGAGCCAAGAGACTGCCCTAAAGAGATCAGAAGAGTGGCCTTACTTTCTGGCTTTGCAATCCTACTGAGGTGATGCAGCCATGATTCATTTTCTGCCCCTGGATGCCATTGATTGTGGCTGTTGTATCCTTATGTTAAATCCCCTTTTTCTTAAACAGGCTGAATCACTCTCTTTTCCTTGTAATCAGGCAGCCCCAAATTGGACACCTAAGCTTTGATCCTTGGTGATTGAGAAGATAGTGATACCACTGACATCAAGATAAGTCAAGGAGCATGTTTAGAGAAGGGAAGCAATTTTGATGTACCAAATTTGATTGGTGGTGAGATATGCATGAAATTTCTGGTAGTGGTTGGAAATGGGGCCTGAACCAGGACAAGTTAAAGCTAGAGATACAGATCTTGCAGCTAATAAGTTATAGAAATGATTAAGGCAGCCCTGGGAGACGGTATCAGAGAAAAAAAAGATGAGGACAGAATTTGGGGGAAAATTCATTTAAAGGATGAGCATAGACGGAAAAGAAGATGGAAAGTGATAACAGAAAGGAAGAAAACCAAGGTGGCACACATTTTTCAGAGGCAAAAGTGGCTTTGTAACAGTCACATGGTACAGAGAAGTAGGATGTAAATCTGAGACAACACTGGGTTGGATAATTGGAGCATGATGATCCTTTAGAAGGCAGGTACAGTATAACACTGGGAGCAGAAACCAGATGGATATGGTTGTAGTAGATATTAAGAAGACATAATAAATAAGTAATACTATAGAAAAGTTTGAAAAGGAGAGCATTTAAGACAAATCATCGTTATTTTCCCAAATATGTGAAAAGCACATACTGCTTTATTTTTTGCTTTCAAATTTGAAACATTGTAAAATGATGAGTATAATATGATCTGCAACAGTGTAAGATGGAGCAGTCTTTGAGCTGGGTCTTAAAGGATGATTGCTAAGAGAAAAATGAAACAATACCTACAATATGGTTGCAGATTTGCTCTTTATAATTTAGATGTGCAGAGGAAATGAGAGTTTTCCTATGGAACTTACATGTCCTTCCTCTTGAGCCCATACCCAGTGGTGAGTCTGGAAAAAATTAACTTTTACTTTTAGCCAGTTTAAAACCTAGTCTGATATAAAGGGGATAGAATTTATAATATCTTAAGGGATTTACAGGTAATGCTTAATCTTTTGGAGAAATGCTGTTTTATTTCTGCCCTTTGTCTCGCTAAAATGGTGTCCAGACATATCTTACAAGACGGTGGCCATCAGGATAGACAGTCTTTCTTGAGCCCTTCCATTCTCTGGGCATTATACTGACCTCTGTTGCGGCAGGCAGCAGCTTATAAAATAAGACACCGAGTCTTTCCTAGTCTAGTCAGAGCCCAGTTGTCCTTTGCTGAACTGACTTCATCTCAGTTCTCTTGGATTTGGAAAACTCTCTGGGGCCCTGTCAACTGCAGCTCTGCCTCAGGCAGCAGTCTAGGTCAGATTATAGGTTTACCACCTGCACCCCACTGTGAGCTCAAGGTAAGCCTACTTGCTTCCCCTTCAGCCATCTTCTGAATTCCCCTTTGGGGGAATATGGGAACTTGTGGGTCCCTTCTGTAGCACACAGGAAGAGACCGTAGCCTGGGAAATCAAACTCTTTCCAGAATCTAGTAGACTCCCTAGTACCCAGCATGTGAGGAATACTACAAAGCAATGAAAAGTGAACAGACTACTGCTACATTAAACAACATAAATGAATCATACTAATATAATGTTGAACAAAAGAAGTCAGCCACAAAAAGAGTGTATACTATATGCTTCCATTTATATAAAGGTCAAGAACAGGCAAAACTACTCTTTGGTATTAGAAATCAGGATAGTGGTTATCTATGAGAGGAGGGTGGGAGAAGCTAGCAGCACTGACTTGGGAAAGGGGTATGTATATGTTTATATGTATTTGCCTGTATTTATGAAATTGTTATTAATACCTGTCTGTAACACGTAAATAGGTAGAATACTTTTTCAACTTCTGAACTTTGAAACCCTTTGAAAGTCACTGGTAATTTGCTACCACAAACCTTTGTATTAATACTACTTAATAACTTTCAGTTAGATACCTATAATGACCTTTACTTGCATGCTATTTCACTACTTGGTTATATTTTCATTATAAAAAGAAATTTAGTCTAGTTCCTTGGCCTCTTTCTCCAGGGTTAAAACTTTAGTTTATATTGTAAAATTTCTTTTAAAAAATTACCCTACTCAGTTTTTCACAATAGACAGTTATACGAAGTTATTATTTGAAAAAAGTAACCTGTTTTAATTTATAAAAGAAAACAAATAGGCTATAGAATATTAACCTCTGTGAAATAATAAGACAAATGTATGAAAATTATTTTAGAGCTACTTTTTCATGGCTGCTGACCTACTGGAACAAGAGCAAAACCTGCATTAGATGAATGGTCATAAGATTCTCCAGAAGTTGATGTCCAATAATAATGCTTTTTAAGACCATTGGAGACTTCTGCAAGATATACGCGTCCATCTACCACAAATGGCTCCACATCTGTATTGTCTGGTTTTAGACGACCCATTTGAATTAAGTCTGAATATGCCTAGGATTTTTAAGAAAAGAAAAACTGTATCATTAAGAAAAAATGTATTCAATTTACAGTGCTTAAAGAAATTTAAATATTCAAATTAGCTGTGCTAATTTGTAGTTTAAAATAAAATATTCTGAATAACATTGCAGAATTTTAATATTTTCCAGGTATTGTAGGTAGATTTTTATTCATTTAATTACACAGAATGAAATTATAATGTTGCAAAACTTATTTCTAACTTTTAATGTATTAGACATGTTTTGTCATTTTGTGACTCCTAGAGTTAATTTTCTGTACTACCAATTTTGTGGACCAAAGCTCTTACGGTCAAAATTTTCAAGTCCCACAGATGTTCATCAATTGGAATAGGTAGGGGGGCTGGGTAGGAGGGCTGTTGTATACATTCTCAAAAATCTGCTGATAGCTAGTTAGTTACCCATTCCTCAGAAAAATTAAGGGAATCCCAGATTTGGACATCCAATTATATGGAGTTCATGACCCCCCCTGAATCTAATCTACAGATTTAGGCTAAGAGAGACAATTCCATAGAATTGGATGCTGACCTATTATTTCTTAATTGTAGAATTTATATATATATAGAGAGAGAGAGAGTCTCGGTCTGTCGCCAAGCTGGAGTACAGTGGCACGATCTCGGCTCACTGCAACCTCTGTCTCCTGGGTTCAGGCGATTCTCCTGCCTCAGCCTCCCGAGTAGCTGGGACTGCAGGCCCACGCACCACCACAGCCAGCTAATTTTTGTACTTTTAGTAGAGATAGGGTTTCACCGTGTTGGCCAGGATGGTCTCAATCTCTTGGCCTGGTGATCCCCCTGTCTTGGCCTCTCAAAGTGCTGGGATTACAGGCATGAGCCACGATCCTTAGTATCTATGTAACAGAGTCATACAAACATGTTGAACTGGTTTGTCAGTAAGGTTGGCATTATGGAGAAAGATGGAAATTTAAACATTAAAAGATTTAAAAGTCAAGTTGGTTTTTGCTTTAGCTTGTCATTCATCATTAGTTCCAGTTCCAAACTTAACTTATTCAGCTTCTGGTGTGTAGAACCTAAAGGATTACGGATGTTTTTCTAAAATTAAGGGTTGGTTTTTTGGGGAGGGTGGTTTAGACAATACTGTATGTTTTATTACTCTTTTTAGTGGTGGAATTTTGGTTAGTCCTTTTGCAAATTTTGAGAATTTTAACATCTACTTTTTCCCCTCATTCTTTCCAAATGAAAACTGTTACCATTATTTCTGCTTTGAAATTAGTATCAAAGGCTATCTTTGTTTATGTGAGCAACATGCCAAATATTTTGATAGCTTGTACTCTATCTCTCCCATTCCATATTTTGGTATAATTATTAGGGAGCAGGTCAGAAATTTTGCTACATCTGATCAATAATTATGATTTTTTTTAACCTTAGAGGAATTCGAACTGTGTCATTCAGTGATGTGTAATACTAATACATAGTTTTAATGTCTTTTGTTATTTCAACCACCAAACTCTCTAGTAGCTAATTTTAGGACTTATGTTAATTATCAAAACTGCAGTGTCTCACTGTGTAACCATTTCTGAGGCACCTGTAAATAATATCTGATGTTACAGAGATGATCCCAGAAAAAGCCTTCAGTGAAGGAAAAAACTTAAAACTTACTACACACGTAGCCTCATCAAATTTGTTTCCCCAAATGTAGATATGAGAGAATGTGAGATTTGTTTTCATTGATTGTGAAAGTGCAACAAGTCCTTCTCCCTCTATGTTGTTGCTGACTACTGACAACCTGAAACCAATAGTTCCACAAGGAAAGAATACAAAAATTAGCAACATTTATTACAAACATTTTCTTGTGTAGTCTTAGCATTATTCCTCAGTATGTTGTAATGTAGTGGTAGAAATACTGACCATTTAATTACTAAAATCCAAGAAACTTAGTTTTCTAATTAGATCCTTAGGTACTTAGTAGAACTAACTACATTTTGAAAGTCTTCTGTTTTATATTTTTCAGTAAATGTTTGGGTGGATAGCAGATATATTTTTCTGGATAAATGCATCCAAGTATTTTATTCTTTAGTTTTTATTTTTAAAAGTCTTGATCATATTGAATGCTTCTGATTTTTCTATTAGAATTCAGGATAAATAATATAAGCAATACAAATTTTCTCATTAATTTGAAGGAATCATTAGTAGAACCAGTCTAATTGTAAGACAGTACATTTGAAAAATAGAAATTTAAATGTTTACTGTAACAATACAATGTCAGTTTAGAAGCTGAGTTTTCATATTCATCATCTTAAGAGTTCAGGGGTTTGAGGTTAGTATTTAAAAATTTGCTTTTTTGTTATTTTGATTAAATATAAAACCATACTAACGCTTTAAGACTCCTGTTGTGTGAAGTAAGAGTTTCACTGAGATAGTTTGCCCCTGCATTTTCTATTCTGTTAAAGGAAAGATCTATTACTTCCAGGGTAGTGTTGCTTTTCAGTACATCAGCCAAATACACCATTCCATCATGAGTTATTTTGTTGCTGGGAAAGGAAAAATAGTTATATTTGAAAATATGAAATAGTGTTTTCATTCATAGCGAGAAGATGCTTGAAAACTTAAACAGTACTTTGTGTTTTAGTAAAGGTTTATTTTAATCACTTGATTTCCAAGAAAGTTAATGAAAATTCACCATAAAATATTGCTTTCATTCTTGTTTACACAACTAAATTGCTCATTTATGTTACTAAAAGACAGCAGTATTAAATATTAAAGCTTAGGACAAAGGGTTGACAATTGGTTGCAGTTTCTAATCATTGGAAATAATGTCTAACAAAGTATCCCAATTACCATGAATATTTATATATAGATTATTCCCATATTCCCATGATTTAACTTTGAATTATTAATGTGTAAATTATCACTTACCAGCTGACATCAAGGTAGCGCAGGCTACTGTTCAGATACAGTGCATCACATAACTGTTGTATACCACTGTTTTTTATATCATGCTTACACATGTGTAGTACAACAAGACAGTGATTTTCTTTCAACATGCGGCCTATATGGACTGTGGACTCTTCCTAAAAGTGGATAAAATCTTATTTCTAAAATATAATTTTGAAGTAGTGCATGTTTATGAGACATATGCTGTTATTTAAATTAGCTTTTAAAAAAGATTATATTGGTTAAAACTGTTAGTCTACAATTTGCATTTGTTTAGTCTATCTTAAAAAAATTATCTTTGCCACAAATGATATTTTTTACCTTCTCAGAAGGTAAAATATAGTCACTATATTTTACAAGTGCCTGCTACCTAAGTGATGTAAAAGATGCTGGTTAATTTGGTTTTTTAAAGGAACAATAATCAGTCATTTCGAAAGGAAAAAAAAATTGGTCCCATCATGTATTGAGCATGTAATCCATCTTTCAAATCTCTAAACCTTTCTTGTACTTTCCTTATGTTCCTGAACTTTGCTCTTGATCTCTACTCTTGACGGTTTTCAGACAAAATACGAAGACATTTCCCAATCTTTATTTTATATTAAGAATACATTCATTAACCCTGTGATATATCTGATCCTTCCCTTTTATATTCATCTCAAATTCCTAAGAGGTTTTATTCTTATATTCTGATCATCAGAAGACCTTTTTTTAAGTTCCACAATCTTGCTGCTTCTAGGCAAAAGATACATAGCATCAGTGAAGATTTGAATACCAGGCATTTTAAGTTTTTAACAAAATCAAAGCATATTTTCAAATGAATAGCCCAAAGTATTTTGTGACAAGAAGTACTCTTGCATGATTGCTGTATAACATAATAAGTTTTTTAGTCACTGCTGATGATGAACATAGATAACTATATGTGTTCTTGTTATATATAAAGGTACTTTGAAAAAAACTTTAAATGAAACCACATAGCAATAGCAGAAAGTACATAAGCTTTATAAAAATCAAATCTGTCAGATACCAGCTTTACCTTTTACTGGCTATATGACTTTGGGCAAATATTTTCATCCAGCTGAGTCTCAATTTCCATTTTAGTAAAGTAGCTGAAATTATGCTTCCCTCACAGAAATAAGTTAACTGAAAAAAGGTACCTAGCACAAAATAAGTGTTCCATAGGCAGACTACAAAGCATTTATTATTGTTCAATATTCTGTAATTCTGTATTTGCTGAAATTGCTTTGACACTGAAAAGATATACCCTAAGGAATGTTATGTGGACTAGTATCTCCAAAAATGCAAGCCAGCCATGCTAAAGGGATGCTGTGTAGTCTAGGAACGTAAAAAAATGCAAACCAATCACACTTAGGGGGTTCCACTATTGCTCTACCTAGTGCCAGGCACAGAAGACAAACTCATTATGTTTTTGTGTTTGGGCCTTGATTGCAGTTCTAGGCTACAAAGCTTGAAAGCAGGGATATCCTAATTAAGGGAGGAACTATTGTCAGAAATAGTAAAGGGTTTTAGCCCCATTCACCGAGTTTGTGACTTGATTTGTCTAGCGTGGCACCTGGCATCAGTATTTTTCAAGCTCCCCGGATAATGCCAATGAGTGTTAAAGGTGAAGTCCAACATCTTAACAGCTTTTTGTTATCCCATTCCTCCATGGTAATAAAACAGTAAAACCCATAAATGGAATTAATTTGCAGGTTTGTATTTGGGAACAGCAATTTAAGAGCAGAATTGTAGCCTTGGGGATAGAGAAGGTAGTGGCTGTCCTGGCTGTCCTGGAGAAGAACAAAACAGGCTAGCACCTAGCTGGCTGCCAGAAACACCAGGCTGAGAGCAACAAGGGGGCCTGGGCTTTTAATAATAAGCATCCTCAGGTGGATTTAGAAATGACACCACTCAACATTTTAAAAAGGGATCATGCTTATAATGTGATCTCCTATATATAAACATATTTCTGCACAGATACAATCGAGAAATTTTTTATTTAGCCTTCAAATCTCCTGTCATATCCTCAATCTGAGAACCTCCCTATCACACTCACCTCCCCTGCTTTGATTTTGATTACCCTCCTTATGTCCCCATGGCACCCCAAGCATATCACTCTCCAGACTTGTCAAGCTCCTTCCACCTAGATGGAAAACTCACTGAAGACAAGTGCTATGTAATTTATTTGACTTTAATACCTCTAGCACCTCGCTAGCATTGTGTCTGGTTTAAGGTTGCATTCAAATATTCATGGTGTGAATGAATCATGAGTGAAGCAATTCACTGCATGCCTACTTTGAGCTGTATTTTGCTAGCCTTTTAAATATTTTAAAAATAGGAATCTATTTGAAGATTCTGAGGGTCTTGTTGAATAGATTGGATTTACGTACATGAAACAAGGTGATGTAAAACTGCAAAAATTCTGGTACTGAAAAGTGCAAAGATAACTCAAAGGGAGATATCTATGTAGGCAAAGAATGTAAAATACACTTCTGAATATGAGAATACTACTTTAAAAATATCGTTAATTCTCAGTTATTCATACTGAGGGGGAACAATGAAGTAGATAATTTTAAATTATCTAAAGTGCTTTGATCATTTAAAAAGTCCAGAGTTTGGCTGGGCATGGTAGCTGATGCCTGTAATCCCAGCACTTTGGGAGGCCAAGGAAGGTAGATAGCTTAAGCTCAGGAGTTCAAGACCAGCCTGGACACCATGACAAAACCCTGTCTCTACCAAAAATACAAAAAAATTAGCTGGGCATGGTGGTGCATACCTGTGATCCCAGCTACTCAGGAGGCTGAGGTGGGAGGATCATTTGAGGCCAGAAGGTGGAGGCTGCCGTAAGCCGAGATCATGCCACCGCACTCCAGCCTGGGTGACAGAGTGAGACCTCATCTCAAAAAAAAAAAAAAAAGTTCAAAATTCAAACATTTACATTGATTGATTGGTTGAGATGAAGATGAAGTCTCGCTCTGTTGCCCAGGCTGGAGTGCAGTGGTGAGATCTCAGCTCACTGCAACCTCTGCTTCCTGGATTCAAGCGATTCTCCAGCCTCAGCCTCCCAAGTATCTGGGATTACAGGCGCCTGCCACCATGCCTGGCTAATTTTTGTATTTTTAGTAGAGACTGGGTTTTGCCATGTTAGCCAGGCTGGTCTCAAACCGCCTGCCTTGGCCTCCCAAAGTGCTGGGATTACAGGTGTGAGCCACCATGCCCGGCCAAACATTACATTTTAAACATTGAACTTTATAAAGTGCTTTGACCATTTACTTTTCCTAATAGTTAGATATACGTTTTTGTTTATACCAATAATAATGTGAGTTCTTATTCTCTAGCTGTTTACAAGTGATAGGAGAAGAAAGCCACCCAGAAGGAGCAAGAAGTCATGAAAGTAGGAACCATGTTTTTACTCATCTTTCTGTCTCCAGCAAGCAGCTTATCTATAGATAGGATCAAGTCCAAACTTTCCAGACTGCTTTTCACACACATTTTGCTTTTATTACTCATGATTTCAAAGGTGTAATGGTTCAGCCACATCAATGTAACAAACAGTTCACACTGGGCTCTTATAATGTGGCCTTTAAAATCTTCACTATTAGGAGAATGGTGTGAACCCAGGAGGCAGAGCTTGCAGTGAGACGAGATCGTGCCAGCCTAGGCAACAGAGTGAGACTCCGTCTCAAAAAAAAAAAAAAAAAACCACTTCATTATTTATGCTTTCATCTTGACCACTTTGACCCTCGCAGGTTTACTCACTAAGAACTTGAGTTTCAAGAGAAAAGATGACATGTTTGCTGCTTAAGTAAGCAATATCTAAAAGCATATTTAGTTATAAACGTCTTACCAAGAATTGATATAATTTTCCTTTAAATAAACATTTTTATAAATAGTAGTTTACAAGATATAGTACACACATGTCTAAAAATAGTGTATTCATGTACCTTGACATAAACTTGTAGTAGTACCTTAGTTTCATTCATGTTGTTATATTAACTACCATCACTTTGAATACATACCTGTTCACCATACAGTATAGGTCGGTTTAGGTTTATTGCCTTAATTGCTTGGTTTCGAGTTAGTACTGTAGCAAATGCTATCACACTTTGCATTCCCTAAAAACAGGTAAATTCATTAAGGAAACTGACAAAGTATATAATAATCTCGCTACATAAATATTTCAAGATCAGCTATCTGCATTCTGATAAAATTATTTTTAAAATTTAAGCATTCCTTGCACTTTGAATTGTAAGTTGATCAAATTCAAAAATGAATTGTTACTGTATTCTTTTCTCCTGGCCCTAAAATCTAACTAAAATGTGGCATGGGGAGTTTCTTAATGTTTTAGTGTCCATTTCCTGGGTGTTTCCCTCTAGGTTTTTATTCCTCACCCCTCAAGCTTCTATGTGGATCCCAGCTAGAGCTCATACTACTTATGCAACACATATCATTGTACAAGCACTCTTATATTCATACTAGTACTTTAAGTGTGTGTGGTGGGAAAAGGTTACCAATCACATTTTTCACAGATCCTATAGGCTTCTCTTGCTCTATCTGACTGGAAGGGCCTAGTCCTCCCCCGTATCTGTGATGGACACCACCATGTACACCCAGCTGGTATGCCGGAAACCATGGGCTTCCTCTCACTCTGCCATTCCTCTTAACCTTCCCATCCAGTTGATCACTAAGTCTTACAGATTCTGCTGCCTCCAAAAGATGTCTCAAATTAGTCTGTTCCTGTCCATCTCTGTGGCCACCACCCCAGCCCAAGTCCTCCTCACTTCTCACCTGGACTTCTAAGTGGTCAGATGGCTGCTTGTTGCCACCCTTTAATTCTCCACAGAGAAACCAGTAATCTAAAACTGCCAGATCATTACCCCTAAAAAATTATTTAAAAATATAAAAGAGCATTATAAGAGCCCAGTGTGAACTGTTTGTTACATTGATGTGGCTGAACCATTACACCTTTAAAATCATGAGTAATAAAAGCAAAATTGTATCTCTGGAAAAGTAAGAATCAAAGTAAGAAAGGAAGTTGGGGCCAGGCACGGTGGCTCACACCTGTAATCCCAGCACTTTGGGAGGCTGAGGCGGGTGGATCACCTGAGGTCAAGAGTTCGAGACCAGCCTAGCCAACATCATGAAACCTCATCTCTACTAAAAATACAAAAAAAAATTAGCCAGGTGTGGTGGTAGGCACCTGTAATCCCAGCTACTCAGGAGGCTGAGGCAGGAGAATCGCTTGAACCTGGGAGGTGGAGGTTGCAGTGAGCCGAGATCATGTCATTGCACTCCAGCCTGGGCGACAAGAGTGAGACTCTGTCTCCAAAAATAAAATAAAAAATCCTTCAGAATCTATTAAACCAGAGAGCCCCCTGGCCCATCTTATTTTCATGTCACATTGATTAACCTGAGGCTATACAACAGGTTCCCAAGAGTAGGCCTAAAGATTTGAAAACATGTCAGAGAAAATGAAGCCTGGAATTTGAAGACATGCAAAAAAACACATTTCTCATTATCAGGCCAGGTGAAGGTTGAAAGCAACTTTTATATTTTTTAATAATTTTTAGAGACAGGGTCTTACCATGTTGCCCATGCTGGAGTACAGTGGATGTTCACAGGCACGATTGTAGTGCACTGTAACCTCAAACTCCTGGGCTCAAGAGATTCTCCCACCTCAGCCTCCTGAATAGCTGGGACTACAGGTACATGTCACGTCACCCAGCTTCAGAGCAGCTTTTAGCATCATTTTAAGTTTTTGTGCTACAATATAAGTAACTACTAAAAAGTATTTTATTTTTGTTTTGAGGCAGTCTCGCTCTGTCGCCCGGGGGCTGGAGTGCAGTGACATGATCTCAGCTCACTGCAGCCTCCGCCTTCTGGTTCAAGCGATTCTTCTGCCTCAGCCTCCTGAGTAACTGGGATTACAGGCTCCCGCCACCAAGCCCTGACTAATTTTTGTATTTTCAGTAGAGACGAGGTTTCACAATGTTGGCCAGGCTGGTCTTGTACTCCTGACCTCAGGTGATCCACCTGCCTCGGCCTCCCAAAGTGCTGGGATTATAAGTGTGAGCCACTGCACCCAGCTTAACATGTATTTTCAAAAGTAAAAAAATTATATGAATAAAGTAATATTTGTTTAATTAAAGTGAACATGATCTTTTTCTAAAAATTCCATACAGTTTAAGATGAGCTATGTAGATGGAAGTTTAGGAATATTTTTATTAAGTATTTTTGTGTTATTTACTATAGTCTGATTTTATTAATCTGCACTATTATGTCTAGGGGAAAAATACCTTTTCTCTGATATTAGACATAAGAAGCAAAATTAGTCATTGATAAGACTCTCATTTAGCTTATCTGGATGATTTTCTCATAACCATTTTACTCACCAGGTCACAGTCACCCAGATCTAATTTCTCTAACGATGAATTAATTTGCAGCATTGCAGCAAAAGACATTCCACCTTTATTTTCAATTTTGTTTCCAGTCATTCTTAGGTATTTTAGAGTCTGATTCTTCTGAAAAGGAAAAAAAAAAATTTATTTAAAAATTTTTAATCCACAGAATTCTATACATTACATGAATTAGGAGACTATTACTATTTGCAGCCTCCAGTTTTCATGGAGACAGACCAGGGTATATTCCTTTTTTTTTTTTTTTTTTTGAGTCTCGCTCTGTCGCCCAAGCTGGAGTGCAGTGGTGCGATCTCGGCTCACTGCAAACTCCGCCTCCCGGCTTCACGCCCTTCTCCTGTCTCAGCCTCCCGAGTAGTTAGGACTACAGGCGCCCGCCACCACGCCTGGCTAATTTTTTTTTTTATATTTTTAGTAGAGACAGGGTTTCACCGTGTTAGCCAGGATGGTCTCGATCTCCTGACCTCATGATCCACCCACCTCGGCCTCCCAAAGTGCTGGGATTACAGGCATGAGCCACCGTGCCCAGCCAGAACAGGATATATTCCTTAAAGGTAACATTCAATCTACCATAATAGATAAAAATCTAGTTTAACAGTTGAGTAGAAATAATGCCCAAGAAACAGATGCCCAAGCAATAACCAGTAAATAAACCATATATTAATAAACTTTCCTTTCACTGGAAAAATCTGTAAATTTATCTTAAGAAAATTATAGCACTTCACTTTTTTAAATTGAGGTGAAATTCACATAACATAAAACTGACCATTTTTAAGTATACAATTCAGTAGCATTTAGTACATTCACAGTATTGTGCAGTCATCACCTGTAGCTAATTCCAAAACATTTTCATCATCCCCGAAGCCAGTCCTATTCCATTAACCAGTCACTCCCCATTCCTCCTATATCACTTTTAAAGTAATATAATGTGATAAATATTTCACAAAATTACAGACATTTCATCATTCTAATGAGTAAATATTAGGACATATGTAGGGAAAAGAAAGATCAGACTGCTACTGTGTCTATATAGAAAGAAGCAGACATAAGAGACTCCATTTTGTTCTGTATTTGAGATGCTGTTAATCTGTGACCCTACCCCCAACCTTGTCCTTGCAAGAGACATGTGCTGTGGTGACTCAGGTTTAATGGATTTTGGGCTGTGCAGGATGTGCTTTGTTAAACAAGTGCCTGAAGGCAGTATGCTGGTTAAAAGTCATCACCATTCTCTTAATCTCAAGTACCCAGGGACACGTACACTGACAAAGGTCGCAGGGACCTCTGCCTAGGAAAGCTAGGTATTGTCCAAGGTTTCACCCCATGTGATAGTCTGAAATATGGCCTCGTGGGAAGAGAAAGACCTGATCGTCCCCCATCCTGACACCCGTGAAGGGTCTGTGCTGAGGAGGACGAGTGTAAGAGGAAAGAAGCCGCTTGGCAGTTGAGATAGAGAAAAGCATCTGTCTCCTGCCCATCCCTGGGCAATGGAACATGTCTGTGTAAAACCCAATGGAATGCCATCCCTGGGCAATGCAACATGTCCGTGTAAAACAGATTGTATGTTCTGTTTACTGAGAAAGGAGAAAACCGCCTTAGGGTGAAAGGTGGGACTTGCTAGCACAATGCTGCTCTTTATGCACTAAAAAGGTTTATGAAGATATTTGCATATGCCTATCAAGGCACAGCACTTTTCCTTAAACTTATTCATGTCACAGAGATCTTTATTCATACAGAAATAAACCCCTGTAATGATGGTTACTGATTTTTGGACAAAGCTGTGAAGACAATTCAATGGGAGAAAGAAGTCTTTTAACAAATGATGTTAGGACACGTGGATATACACATGCAAAAGAATAAAGTTGGACTCCTACCTCATACCATATTCAAAAATTAAAATGGATCAAAGAATTAAAGAGCTAAAACTATAAAACTCTTTAAAAAACATAAATTTTTGTGACTGGGTTTTCAAGATGAACCTTGAAAACATTAAGCCAGTCACAAAGGCCACATATTGTATGATTCTGTTTATATGAAATATATGAAATGTCCACAGTAGGCAAATATATAGAGAGATGAAGTAGGTTAGTGACTGCCAGGGGCTGGAGAGTAGGGGGTGGAAAAGATGGAGAGGGATTGCTTATGAGTTTAGGGCTTTTCTTTTTAGGGTGATAAGTATGTTTTAAAAATAGTGATAGTAGTGATACTTGCACAGCTCTGTGAATATATTAATACTTAAAACACCACTGAAGACTTTCAAAGGGTAGATTTTATGTATGTGAATTAAATCTTAGTAAAACTATGACTTCAAAAGTGTTCATGCAATGTCTACACTTGAATAAAGTATAATAAAAATATGTATTCCTACAATATTAAAATAAATTCACTTCAACATCGGACGCTGTTGGTTCCAAGCTATCAGAAGTTAGAATTTCCAAATAAAATGTTAGTTTGAAATACATAAATGCTTACATGTAGCACTTTAGCAATCAATTCTCCACCTTCAGGCCCAATATCATTAAACATGAGGTTTAAGTAAATGAGATTGAGTTGTTTCTATGAGAGAAAATAAGCTATTACACATTATTATTATTATTGGAAATTGATCGGTTTTACATACATACACACAGTATATATATATATATATATATACACACACACACACACACACAGTATATACTTTATTTGAATAAGTGTTTTCCTCCAAAGAAAATCTTTATAACCAAGAAAGACTGTATCCTAGCAAAAACAACTACCATTAAGGAAAAAAAAAATCATTCTTATGTAAACAAAATATAATTACAATATAAATGAAAGAAAAACTTTCGTTTTGATCAATCTGAAAGATGGATGTGGTGTATATATTTAATCATGGTGTACAAGTTTGCAAAAGAACTCAGGAGCTCTAGCTACTGGCTCCCTTGAGACCAAATTCACAGTGGGTTTCCAGTATATTTCAAGTGTTCTAGCACAGAGTCGGGACCCTTGACATCGGGTAAAACTAGTATTTTATGTGTGTGTCATTAGACTAATTGGTTTCACTGTAAATGGAACTAAGGACATTTTGTAGTAAAATAATACCTGAACCAGTTTCGCAGCATAGTATGCACCAACATCACCTAGAAGGTTATATCCAACATCCAAACCTGAAGCACAGATGAATAGAGCTGATATTCCTTATAAAGAATACTTAAATCAGATCAATGAAAAGCAGGAGGTATTGATTCTTATGGAAACATACCATTAATATACAGACAATTCTTTAAAATTCTGGAAAGAATCCAAAAATCTTCACCTGTAACTCTTTCTACTGGCACTAAGCGATTGTTACCAGCAATGTTTAATGTGATTCCTGCTGCTAGCCTGTTAAAATACAAAAAAAAAAAAAAAGATTTTGAAACAGAAACCCAGTAAAGAATTAAAGTATGTTTCCTTCATGTATAAATAGTCATATCACAGATAACAGTTACTGGAAGCAAGCATAAAGTAAGTAGACTTATATAGTATGTTTATAACAGGTAACTTAAAACTACTGAACATTCTGCAGACTGCAAAGTGCTTTAAAAGATTCCGTATAATTTCTCTCTCACACACACTCACACTCACACAAACAGTATCCCCACTTTTATAGATAACAACACTGAAAACTTCAATGATTTTCTTAGACTCACCCAGCTCAGGTCAAGCGCGGTGGTCACGCCTGTTAATCTCAGCACTTTGGGAGGCCAAGGCGGGCGGATCACCTTAGGTCAGGAGTTCGAGACCAGCCTGGCCAACATGGTGAAACCCTGTCTCTACTAAAAATACAAAAATTAGCCGGGCATGGTGGCGGGCGCCTATAATCCCAGCTACTCAGGAGGCTGAGAGAGGAGAACTGCTTGAACCCAGGAGGCAGAGTTTGCAGTGAGCCAAGATCATGCCACTGCACTCTAGCCTGGGGGACAGAGGGACACACTCGTCTCAGAAAAAAAAAAAAAAGATTCACCCCGCCCACACACACACAAAAAAGATTCACCCCGCCCACAGAAGTTAAAGATCACTCTGGAGCCCAAGCTTGGGTACTCCCGGTCTAGTGCTCTTTCCTGAATGCTATACCACCTCTAAGACCTACTAATAGTGTTGCTCGTCTGCTTACTTACCTGAATCAAACGGTATATCCATTTTACCAAGCATTTTCAAATGGCTATAAAATCACTCAATATGTTAGGATTTTCACACACATGAATATAAGCAAACACTATTAATGTAATCAAGTATTTGTCTTTCTTACCCCTTTTTAATTTCTTTATCCACTTCTTGGAGTATACGCAATATAAAAGGATTAATTTTCTGGGATTTTTCCATACACAGATTAGAATAATGTTCCTGGAGACCAGATTCTGGAGATTCTGAAAAATATATGCATCATCCATCACATATAAATTATTCTAGAAACTTTTTGAATACCATAAAAACTATACTTCTTTCAAAGATATGAGTTGTACGTGTGTATAGTGGGGGTAGGGAAGAAAAGGAAACAAATAAGGTTAGAAAAAAAGAAGAGAAAAATAATGGGATAGATAATTAAAATGCTGTTTGGAGAACTAGGGCCACTGAACCACCCACTGAGGCTTGGCAGACACTGGCTTAAGTGAGCACCCTACATTGGAAGTGACATTAAGGGAGAACTAAGCTCCATTATGTGCCAGTTCTGGTAGCTGAGGAAAATGACTTCCAAAGACATTATATATTTTGTCCTAAACCATGCAGCTAATAAGGGCAGAGTGCAGAATCAAACTGATTCCAAAACCTCTTTCCACTGTGCCCTATTGGGTTGCAGTGACTCAACATTTCTTTCTTTTTTTTTTTTTTTTTTCAGTATCTCAGCATCCATCAGAGGAAAAGGTTTCTTAAAATAGCTTCATATAAAAACAATTTTATCTAATAACCTAACTCAAAAGGGATCTGAAAAATCACCTACTCCCACAAGCTTCTTGGATACCCTCTACATCATCCCAAGTTTGAATGTAACTGTCAGTTCTTCATACCAAATCGAGGCCTGGCCCACAGAAGCTCTTCTCCTACCCAGCCTTCCATCTCCTCTTTCTAAAGGTGACTTTTCCCTAAGTTCTTAAGAAGATAGAAACAAAGCAGGAATTGAGATCTCCTTTCTGTTATACATGCAGCTTTCCTTAATGACCTTACTGTTTTCAGTAATACCTCAAAAGCATCTTCTGCAAGGCCTACGTCTTCTGGGGTAGAAGTTATGCTGTTACTTTTCTTAGAAGCACAGGCCACTGTTTTTGTTTCTATACTTCTACCTTTTGTGGATGTCTTTTAAAAATTTGTGCACAGAGATCTCATTGCTCAACCAGCCTAGCTTTTTAGGAGCTGGCTTCTCTTCTAAGTCTCTATATCTCAGAAATGTTTACTGAGTGTCCTTTGCACTCTGAAGAATAATGAGTTTGCTAAATGGATCTGCAGAACAAGATTTAACATGAGGAACATTACATTTCAGATGAAAGCAAACAAAATTTTCTTATAGTTTTTAATAACCTTTTTAAAAATAAATTTAATATACTTATTCCAGACAATTTGGAAATTTCTTTTTTTTTTTTTTGAGACCAGTTCTCAATCTGCCACCCAGGCTGGAGAGCAGGAGCGCAATCTCAGCTCACTGCAACCTCTGCCTCCCGGGTTCACGCGATTCTCCTGCCTCAGCCTCCCAAGTAGCTGGGACTACAGGCACACACCACCACACCCAGCTATAAAGACGCAGTTTCACCATGTTGGCCAGGCTGGTCTCAAACTCCTGCCCTCAAGTGATCAGCCCGCCTCAGCCTCCCAAAGTGCTGGGATTACAGGTGAGCCAATGCACCCGACCGGAAATTTCTAGTATTAAAAGAAAATACATGTTACTCTGCAATCCCGCTGCCAAAGAACAACCACAATTGAGGTCTAGGCATACATACTTCCTATAGTTTTTCTTTCATATGCATATTAAGTATTTTTTAAACAAAATTGGAATCTTTGGATATAATTTTATATGCTGTTTTTTTCAGTTAACGTTATATTGTAAGCAGTTTTCCCATGTCACTAGATAATCTCTGACAATTTTAAATAGCATAATTTCTGTCATGTGGATAGATGTACATATTGAAAAAGCTTCACCTATTTTGGAAAATTTTCATGTATTTAAATGATATTGTAGCACAATATTTCCCAAATTGTATTTTGTGGAATATTCATGTTCTACAGGATGATCAAAGGTGTTCCAAACAGAATAGGTTTTATTATCAAGTAAGTTTGAGAAGTGCTAAAATAAACAAAACTATACAGAGACACAACACTTCTCAGAGTATTTAAAACATGTGCACACTCTTCAAACTGTTAAGCTTGAGAATAGGGAAGATAAGAATGCTGCATTTCTGGCCGGGTGCGGTGGCTCATGCGTGTAATCCCAGCACTTTGGGAGGCCGAGGCAGGTGGATCACTTGAGGCCAGGAGTTCGAGACCAGCCTGGCCAACATGGTGAAACCCTATCTCTACCAAAAAATACAAAAATTAGCCGGCGTGGTGGCGCGTGCCTGTAGTCCCAGCTACTTGGGAGGTTGAGGCGACAGAATCGCTTGAACGCGAGCAGTGGAGGTTGCAAGATTGCAGGGAGCAGAGATCGCGCCACTGCACTCCAGCCTGGGTGACAGAGGAGACTCCATCTCAAACACACACACACACACACACACCTCACTTGGAATGCAATCTAGAAAATGCTGCTTTAGCGTCCTCCCCAGGAAACAAAGCAAGTAGATCCCAAATAGAAGATGGAGCTGGGCTCCCAGTAGGCTTCTTTCTTCCCTACTCTCTTCCTTGGCATTAAGAGAAAGATTGCCCTGAGAATCTCCGAGATTCAGCGCTGCCCACACCACAAACAAGGCACAGAAATGTGTCAGACTACAATTCATTTTCGCAAAGGCATGAAGGAATCTTAGACTACGAGCTAAATACAGCTAAACAAAATTATGGAAATATTATTATTTAACAAGCTAGCCACAGATTTACAGTATTTAAAAGTTTCTGCTACCCTTCCTTTGACTTAAAATTCACCTATGTATTTTGTATGCCAGGATTTTATGGCACCAATGAATTTATTTCCTAGACTATATAGTAAAGTAAAAACTAGGAAATAACCCAGCTACGCAGAAAAATGTAAAGAACCTAACCCAAATTTCATTTTTTCATCCACGACTCTGGCAGCACGTTTTACAATTTCCAGAGAAAGGACTTATTTAGGAGGCAGATCCCTCCAAAACATGCTTTTCTATACTTAGCCAAGCACTGGGAAATCCAAGAGATGAGCATGAGTCAGAACGTGGGGGCCCCACCCAGAATCCGCAGTGTGCACATTTGAACAAATTGTTATCCCAGCTTTAATTTCCTTTCATGCTAAAGGCAGAGCCTAACACTGCCCATTCAGTGAGTACTATTAAGCCAGCCTCCGAACACAGTTCCGTATCCACAAACATACTTTAAAGCAAGCATATAAAACGGAAATGGCGTGTAAGGGGTGGCCCTTCAGGGTATGCTTAACTCGCTAAAGATCATTCATGGGCGCAGAAATATTTAAAATGGAGACAGTACAGAGGTGCAAAGTCAGAAACGGTATCAAGACCCTCATGCCCACCTGTGACCTGCTCTCTGGGACTTTCACAAAAAGGGGTCTGAGAAGAGCCCTCCAGCCACACCCTCCCGGAGGGAGACCCTGGAGATCCCGAGAGCACGGCGACAGACACCATCTGCACAACCTATCGCACAAACGGCGGGGACTCCTCTCCCGCCCTCGTTTCGGGGCGCCCCAAACCTCTGGTCACAGATGGGGTTCCCAGGGGCACTCTCCCTCCGCGCCGCCTTGGGCTGCCGGGCTGCTAGGACTTCGGCAGTGGGACCCCGGCGCCCCTCGCGCGTTTCGTCCGGGCCAGGCCGCGCAGACGGGCTCCCTACTTCTTACCGCGCTGGCCCACCACGGCCGCGCCCGGAGTACGGGCCTGAGTGGGGGCCCAAGCCGGGGACCTGGCCGGCGCACGGGCGGCCTCCCGGGGGCTCCCCATGCTCCTCTCACCCACTGGCCGCGGCGGCTGCGCTGCCATGGCGACCGCGCGCGCGCTTACAGTCCGCCTGCAGCTGTGAGGCGGCTACACAAGCCCCAGCGCCAGCCTGCGCCGAGTCCAGCCAGCTGTGCCTGCCCGGGCCCCGAGGCCTAACTGCTAAGGCAGTGACCGCTAACTCTGTGGAGGTCCTCTGTCACTCTGCCCTGGTTAAAGGCAGCCTGAGGGAGGGCGTCCTGGCTCCTTTGCAGGGAGGAGTTCCCGAGGTTTGAGGGGCTCCGCTGCTGAGCTAGGGCTGGGACTACAAAGAAGATTATGACAAAGCCCCCTCCTGCAAAGTGTTCACCGGCCTGTTCGGCCAGCGAACAAGCAGAGAGTAGCATCAGCACATGATAAAGCCGTAGGGCTTTGGGAGCAAAAAGGGTTTTGTGCTCCCAAAGGGCGGGGCTACCTCCCCAAAGGGAGGGCTTCTTGAAGGAGGTGATATCTGGATGGTCGGCTGCCAGAGGGCAGAATGCTTGGTGCGTTCTGGGCATGCGCAGGTACTTAACTATACTCAGATCAGTACAGACAACCGGGAGGCGGGCGGGGCCCGATCTACGTGTGTTACTAAAAGGCCAGGGGTTGCGTCTAGATCCTGCTGCTCCTGGCACAGAATGCCAATCACTGAAACAATGAGAATTCCCAGGGAAGAAGGCAATTGCCAGGGAAGAACAAGATTTAACATGAGGAACATTATATTTCAGATGAAAGCAAACAAAATTTTCTTACAGTTTTTAATAACCTTTTAAAAAATAAATTTAATATACTTATTCCAGACAATTTGGAAATTTCTTTTTTTTTGAGACCGGTTCTCAATCTGCCGCCCAGGCTGGAGAGCAGGAGCGCAATCTCGGCTCACTGCAACCTCTGCCTCCGGGGTTCAAGCGATTCTCTGGTGCTGCAGCCGAGGAGATGGGAAATCAGTCTCAAATCTGTCTCCCCAACCAATTAGAATCAGGGGTTTATATAGCGAGAAAGAAATGTGACTACTTGCAGGAAATCAGGAATTAGGGAGGGGTAAGGAAGAGGAGTTAGTCAACAGGAATCAGGTGGTGGCTTAGGGAATCATGATAGGTGAGGGATCTGGTGTCTCGTTGTCCAGATGTGATGATCTGGTAAGTTTCATTTCCTTGATACTGAAACGGTAATAGTTTCCTTATCACCCTTGCAGGGCATGTGATGGTGAGGCAGAAAAACAGGGTCTGGAGGTAGGGAACATAAGGCCGATTCACACTTCAGCTATAACAGGAAATATCCTCTCCATAGGGTGTACACCATAAACGACTTTGTAACCTTACTTCATCTTCTTCATTTACACAGGGCGTACTCCAAGTAACCAATTGAATCCTCTAAGGGGTATTTAACTCCCAAAAAATTTGTAACGGGGCCTTTGAGCCCCTGTGCTCGGCCCACTCCCACACTGTGGAGTGTACTTTCATTTTCAATAAATCCCTTCATTCCTTCCTTGCTTTGTTTATGCGTTTTGCCCAATTTTTTGTTCAAGACGCCAAGAACCTGGACACCTTCTACCAGTAACAATGGGGGTGTGGCTTGCTTCTTTGGTGCTCTGCTGAAACCCTTAGGGGGAGCATGCAGACGGGCAGGTTGTGGGGCACGTGAGCTCGGAACCCAGGGCAGTGTCTAGGAGCGAAGGCTTACAGCTTCTGAAGCGAAGCTCCGGTAGGCGTGTGTTACAGGGTGCTCTTTTAGTTTTGCTGTCTATAGGCGGATTGTGTTAATCAGCTCAGTTAGACCCTCTGTCTTATCGCAAGGACAGAGGGCTTTCTGCATCCTGGGGTTCTTGCCTTGTTGTACCGGTAAAATCGGATCACACAATGGGCTTGGAAAATGAATGCAAGGTTTATTGAATGGTGGAAGTGGCTCTCAGAGTTGGATGGGGAGCCAGAAAGGGAATGGAGTGGAAAGGTGGTTTTTCCCTGGAGTCCGGCCGCTCAGCAGCCGGACTCTTCGCTGACTACGCTGGCCAAATTCCCCTCAGTCTACGCATTGTTCTACCTGTGGATGGTCTGGCAGTGTCCGCCGGTCGGTGTGCTCTTCTGCTCCTCTGTTCCTCTCAATGTCCAGCCACCTGTGTGCTCCTCCACTGGTGTGTTCCTCTCAACATCCAGCCACTTGTGTCTGTGCCCACTAGGGTCTCTGGGTGTTTGTTTGTTTTTTGAGACAATCTCCCTCTGTGGTCCAGGCTGGAGTGCAGTGGCATGATCTTGGCTCACTGCAACCTCTGCCTCCCAGCTTCAAGTGATTCTCCCACCTCAGCCTCCAGAATAGCTGGGATTACAGACACCCACCACTATGCCCAGCTAATTTTGCACTTTTAGTAGAGACAGAGTTTCACCATGTTGGCCAGGCTAGTCTCGGACTCCTGACCTCAAGTGATCCACCTGCCTCTGCCTCCCAAAGTGCTGGGATTACAGGCGTGGGGCACAGCGCCTGACCCTTTAACCCATTTTGGTTTGATTTTTGTATGTGGCAAGAGATAGGAGTCTAGTTTCATTCTTTTGCATATGGATATCCAGTTTCCCCAGAATCATTATTGAAGAAACTATCTTTTCTCCAATGTATGTTACTGATACTTTTGTCAAAAACGAGTTCACCGTAGATGTGTGGATTTATATCTGGGTTCTCTATTCTGTTCCATTGGTCTATGTGTCTATTTTTATGCCAGTACCATGCTATTTTGGTTACTTTAGCTCTGCAATACAATTTTAATTTAGGTAATGTAACTCCTCCAGTTTTGTTCTTCTTGCTCAGGTTAGCTTTGACTATGCTGGGTCTTTTGTGGTTTCATATAAATTTTAGGATGTTTTTTCTATTTCTGTGAAGAAGGTCTTTGGTATTTTGATAGGAATTGCATATAATCTGTAAATTTCTTTGGATAAAATGGACATTTTAACAATAATTATTATTCTAATCCAAGAACATAAAATATCTTTCCTTTTGTGTGTGTGTGTGTCCTCTTTAATTTCTTACATCAATGTTTTATAGTTTTCACTGTAGAGATCTTTTACTTCTTTGGTTGAGTTTATTCCTAGGTATTTTATTTTATTTTTAGCTATTGTAAATGAGATTATTTTCTTTTTATGATTGTTTGCTGTTGGCATATAGAAATGCTACTGATTTTTGTATGTTGATTTTGTATCCTACAACTTTACTGAATTTGTTTATCCATTCTAATAATTTTTTTGGTGGAGTCTTTAGGATTTTCCAAATATAAGATTATATCATCTGCAAACAAGGATAATTTGAGTTCTTCTTTTCCAGTTTGGATGCTCTTTATATCTTTCGCTTGTCTACTTACTCTAGCTAAGACTTCCAGTGCTACATTTAATAATGGTAGTTAAAGTGAGCATCCTTGTGTTGTTCCAGATTCTAGAGAGAAGATTTTCAGTATTTCCCGTTCAGTATGATACTACCTATGGGCCTGTCATATATGGTTTTTATTGTGTTGAGGTAGCTTCCATCTACTCCCAGTTTGTTGAAGGTTTTTATCATGAAGGGATGTTGAATTTTATCACATGCTTTTTCAGCATCAATTAAAATGATCACATGGTTTTTGGCCTTCATTCTGTTGATAGGATGTATCACATTGATTGATTTGTGTATCTTGAGCCATCCTTGCATTCCTGAGATGAATGCCACTTGGTCATGATGAATGATTTTTTTAATGTGTTGTTGAATTCAGTTTCCTGGCATTTTGTTGAGGATTTTTGCATCAAGGTTCATCAGGGACATTGCCCTATAGTTTTCTTTTCCTTTTCTTTTTTTTTTTTTTTTTTTTTTTTTGGTGTGTCTTTATCTGGTTTTGGTGTCAGGGTAATACTGGCCTCATAGAATGAATTTGAAAGTAGTGTTTCCTCCTCTATTTTTCAGAATAGCTTGGGTAGGATTGGTATTAGTTCTTCTTTAAATGTTTGATAAAATTCAGCATTGAAGCCATTGGATCCCAGGCTTTTCTTTGCTAGGGTAACTTTTTATTATGACTTTGATCTTTTTACTTGTTATTGGTCTATTGAGGTTTCAGATTTCTTCATGGTTCAATCTTGGTAAATGGTGTATATCTAGGAATTTATCCATTTCTTCTAGGTTTCCCAGTGTGTTAAAATATAGTTGATCCTCGGAATTTCTGCTGTATCAGTTGTAATGTCTCCTTTTTCATCTCTGATTTTATTTATTGGGTCTTCTCTCTTTTTTTCTTAATCTGGCTAGAAGTTTATTGATTTTGTTCATCTTTTCAGAAAACAACTTTTCATATCATTTTATTAATTTTTTGGATTGTTCTTTATTTTAATTTTATTTATTTCTGCTCTGATTTTTATTATTTATTTTCTTCTGCTTTTTCTTTTATTTTTATTATTTCTTTCCTTCTTCTTTTTTTTTTTTTGGACAGCGTTTTGCTCTGTTGCCCAGGCTGGAGTACAGTGGCATGATCTCAGCTCACTGCAACCTCTGCCTCCTGGGTGCAAGCAATTCTCATGCCTCAGCCTCCTGAGTAGCTGGGATTACAGGCACACACCACCACGCCTGGCTAATTTTTGTATTTTTAGTAGAGATGGGGTTTCACCATGTTGGCCAAGCTGGTCTTGAACTCCTGACCTCAGGTAATCCACTTGCCTCAGCCTCCCAAAGTGCTGGGATTACAGGCGTGAGCTATCACTCCAGCCTTCTACTAACTTTGAATTTGGTTTGCTCTTACTTTTCTAGTTCTTTAAGATGCATCATTACATTGTTTATTTGAAGTCTTCCTGCTTTTTTGATGTAGGCACTTACTTCTATAAACATTCCTCTTAGTACTGCTTTCACTGTATCCCACAGCTTTTGTTATGTTGTGTTTCCATTTTAATTTGTTTCAAGAATTTTTTAAATTTTCTTAATTTTTTTCATCAACCTACTGGTCATTCAGGAGCATGTTGTTTAATTTCCATGTATTTGTATGATTCCCAAATTTCTTCTTGTTATTGCTTTCTAGTTTTATTCCACCATGCTCAGAGAAGATATTTAATACGATTTTGATATTTTTGAAATTTTTAAGACTTGTTTTGTGACCTAAAATGTGGTCTATCCTAGAGAAGGTCCATGTGCTGAGGAAAAGAATATGTATTCTGCAGCTGTTGGGTGAAATGTTCTGTAAATATCTAGGTCCCTTTGGTCTATAGTGCAGATTAATTCCAGTGCTTCTTTGTTGATTTTCTGTCTTGATCTGTCCAATACTAAAAGTGTCCAATGCTGAAATCAACAGCCATTATTATACTGGAGTCTATCTCTTTCTTTATCTCTAGTAATATTTGCTTTACATAACTAGGTGATCCAGTGTTGGGTGTATATATATTTACAATCATTATATCCTCTTGATGAATGAACCCCTTTATCATTATATAATGACCTTTTTTGTCTTTTTTTTATAGCTTTTGTCTTGAAATCTATTTTGTCTAATATATGTGTAGCTACTCCTGCTCTTTTTGTTCTCCATTCACATAGAATATCTTTTCCCATTCCTTTATTTTCAGCATATGTGTGTCTTTATAGGTGAAATGTATTTCTTGCAGACCACACATCAATCACTGGGTCTTGTTTTTTAAAATACATTTAGCACCTCAAGAGCAATTCCTCAGAGCCCAGCACAGCATCAAGATTTGCCCAGGAATTGCAGTCCTTGTGACCTGGACTGCCTTTCAAGTTTATTTAGAACCCCCAAAGCACTTTATCCCACAGTATTGGGGCTAGCCAGAACTCAGGTTCCACCCACTGGCATGGACAATTCGCCTCTGGCTAGGGCTGGTCTAAATGCTCCCTCCATGAGCACCACCTGAATTCTACCCGGTATTGCTTTCCACTGTGACAGGCAGCACTGAAGTCCATTACAAAGCCCCACAGTCACTTTCCTCTCCCTCCCCAAAGCACACATATTCTCTCTCTGTGCCACATGGCTGCTGCTGGGGGATGGAGGAGGGATGGTTCTGACAATCCAGGACTGTCTTTCCTACCCTCTTCAGTTCCTCTTTCCTTGCTATGATGTTAAAACCAGGGACTGTGATTGCAAACTTGATTTTTGGTTCTTATGAAGGTGCTTTCTTTTGTGAATAGTTGTTCAATTTGGTGTTCCTGTTGGAGGGGATGATTGCTAGAGGGTTCTATTCAGCCATCTTGCTCTGCCTCCAGGAATTTTTTTTTTTTTAACAAGATGTATTTGTACAGAATTCTCTCAGCTATGACTCCCTGTTGAAGAATTTTCTTTCTGATATAGGGAAGGCATGTTTTGCATGGGAGGTTTTAGCTCCTGTTTTCAAGGAGGGAAAGGGAAGATTAGAATACACTTCTTGCATCTGCCATTTTTCAAGTGTCTTTAGCTTAAAGTAATCCTCATACCAAAGTGGCATATTTTGGAGTGGCACATTCTGCCACTCTTTATTACCATTGTATGAATTTCCAGTCTGAAGTCAATTAAGGTTACTTTTAGTTTGTTTGTGGTTCACCGGTTTTTAGAATGAATAGATCTGCTGAGTGAGGTTTTAAGCAAAATCTTGAAATTCTTTTAACTATAAATGGGTTTTTATGCTAACAGAGAGAGTCACGCACCATATTGACCTCAGGAACCTAGTCTTACCTATCCAGTTTGTGCATAGACGGACTTGGAAACAAAAGCATGAACACTCACTGTAAATTTGAGAGGGCTAATTAGTTTCTTAAATGATTTTCTCAGGTGTTGGAGTTACACAAAGAAAGCTAATTGTTAAACTATCCAAATCTTGGCTCCTTCAAATGAAGATGCAACAATTATTTAATTTAGAAACCACCCCACCATAATATTGGATTGTAATAATAAGTAAATTAGATCACATTTGGGTAGCAATCCCTAGGGGAAAAATGGCCAATAAAGACCAAATCTTCCCCATTCTCATTTACTGTGGCAGAATTACTGGCAAAGCTATTGCAAATCAGGGCTTTACAATCTCCTTTTATTAAACCCACAAATGAAGGTGAAATATGGGCGTATATATAGCTTTCAGGGGGCCGTCAAATTGATGGGATATATGATTAAGGTGAGATAATGTACACACACAATTAGATATTCTAAGCAGGTCTTATTATGGAGAAAGATGAATGTTAAGAGAAATAAGTTATTTCATGTGTCTGGAAGCCCAGACACCCTCATATTAATTCTAATCCACATAAATTTCTCCCAGGTGACTTTGTTGTAATGCTGCACAGTAAAATCAAGTCTAAAATCTCACACCCAAGAATAATGATTTTAATAAATGCCAGGTTTCCTGTAAACAAGTGATGTTAAAACTCTAGGTGAGGTTGTGTCCAATTCTCTGCTCTTACTTACGCTTCCTACGATGTTCTGAGAAGAGCCCTTTCAGTTATACAATTTCTTTATCTGTGAAACAGGGCTAACAGTGATGCCTCCTGCATAGGATTGTTGTAAAGATTGATTAGGTTACTTTAAGTAAAGCCTGGAGTACATAATCATTGTTCTAGGTGTTCCCTATTTTTATTTGTATTATTGCCTCAGTCTACATACTGTGGAAAATTTTCAGAAATTTGCAAGTAGGAAACTGGAGATTTTACCTTACGGGACTAAATAGTATTAGATAAATTTAATCTGCCTGATGACTAAATGACAAAAATGTTGGAGACAGCTAGTTTTAAACAAAATCAGTGTTAAATATTTCCTTTTATTTAAATAACACTGTCTTGGAGCTGGTTTTGAGTCCAGGCATAAAGCAACAAGCTCCTGAAGCACATAGTGTTGTGTTTTGAGGAACAGTAGTGTTATGTATGGAACTAGAAATGTATCCCCTTCATCTAGGGACCAGGCCTCTGCGATGGATGAGAGGCCCAGATACTCCAGAAGGACTGCCTTCATCCTAAAAAGAAGTTCAAAGACGCTACCGCCAACCTTGCCACTATCATGTCATGTTGTTCTCTGCCTTTCCCCCATAGACTCTGTGTGTGTGTGTGTGTGTGTGTGTACTAAAGACTTACCCTTCTGAAATACAATATTCACATCTTGCATTTATAAGATTTATAAGCCTAGTAGTGTAAGTCTGCTGATTTTGTTTTCACTAAAGATTATCTTTAGTTCCTTTGCATTTTCACATAAATTTTAGAATCGGCTTGTTAACTTCTACCAAAAAAGAAAAAAAAAGTTTGCTAAAATTTTGACTGACATTACGTAAAAACTATAGATCCAATTGGGGGAATACTGACATCTTAACATTATTGAGTATTCTAATCCATGGACATGATTTGTCCCTCCATTTATTAGACTTTAATTTGTTTCTGGGTTGGGCTTTAGTTCATGTCAATTAACTGCAGTTTCAAATGTCTCGCTTAGACAGAGTTAAGCTCCTTCCAGCCAGGCTTCAGTACTTAAGGCCATGAAACTACAGGACCTCTGTTCTTTAGTCCGGCCTGCAATTTTCCCTGTGGCCACTTAGCCAGCCAAAGACTAATGGGAAGAACTAGTTAGTGGGGAGAACTGAGTTTGCATTTGGGGCTACTCCAGATTCTAATCCACTATGCCAGCCTACACATGACTGTTAAAAGTTTGGCAGGTTTATTCTTCTCCCGGAAGTTCCTTTGCCTGTGCCTATTAAAGAGTTGTTTCTCTGCCTGACAGTCCTCAAACTTGCAAATGCCATCAGGCATGAGAGGGTCTACTCACAGGTCTCTCTAGTTATTTAGGAAAGGCTGGTGCATCTCTAGAATATAGTGTTTTTTGGGGTTTTTGTTTGTTTTTGTTTTTTTGGGTTTTTTTTTTTTTTTTTTTTTTGCTTTCTTTGTATCTTTGGCTCTCTGGTGGCTTTGAGGAAAAATACTACATCTTAAAATATGAGGTTTTTTCCCTAGTGTTTTCTCAGTGTTATGGTAAGAGCAAGAATGTTTTACAACCTTCTACATCCTACTGGAAACATTCAGAATAGGTTTTTTGTTTTGTTTTGTTTTGTTTTGTTTTAAGTGAAATTAGGCTGGGCACGGCGGCTCATGCCTGTAATCCCAGCATTTTGGGAGGCCAAGGCGAGTGGACCTGAGGTCGGGAGTTTGAGACCAGCCTGGCCAACATGGTGAAACCCTGTCTCTACTAAAATTGCAAAAAAATTTAGCTGGGCATGGTGGTGGGTGCCTGTAATCCCAGCTACTCCGGAGGCTGAAGCAGGGGAATCACTTGAACCCGGGAGGCAGAGGTTGTAGTAAGCCGAAATCACACCATTGCACTCCAGCCTGGGCAACAAGAGTGGAACTCCGTCTCAAAAATTAATAAATAAAACTGAAGTTAATCTCTTTTTTTTTTTTTCATGTGAGTCTACGTGTTAGGGGAAGGAGTCTACACTTTAATTCTTCTAACATGAAATGCAAAAACCTAAATTTTATGTTCTGTCATAATTTCAAGCAGTAAGTTTAATCAACTAGGTTTTAATTTTATTTTTTTAAGGATAGCAAGTCTGGTGGCAGGTAAATTCTGATTTTTTTTTCATCCTTTTCACAATATTTCAGATTTTGAATATTTGAGCTTTTCTTCACAATAATGTCAAAAGACATAAAATCAGTAGAACATTCACCTAAAATTCATCAGAGAAATGATCCACAGCACGTCAATGATAGAACATTTTTCATTGATGCCTCTAATCAGAGCTTGACTGCCATTCCGTTGGAAATCTTCACATTCACAGAATTAGAAGAAGTACATTTGGAGAACAACCAGATTGAAGAAATTCCCCAGGAGATTCAGCGTTTGAAGAACATCAGGGTCCTCTACCTGGACAAGAACAACCTGAGGAGCCTGTGCCCGGCGCTGGGGCTGCTGAGCAGCCTGGAGAGACTGGACCTGAGCTACAACCCCATCTTCTCCTCCTCCCTTCTCGTCGTCAGCTTCCTCCACGCCCTGCGCGAGCTCCGGCTCTACCAGACCGACCTGAAGGAAATTCCCGTCGTCATCTGTAAAAACCTCCACCATCTCGAGCTGCTGGGACTGACCGGAAACCACCTGAAATGTCTGCCCAAGGAAATAGTGAACCAAACCAAGCTGAGGGAGATCTACCTGAAGCGAAACCAATTTGAAGCTTTCCCCCAGGAGCTCTGTGTTCTCTATAATCTGGAGATCATTGACCTGGACGAGAACAAAATCGGTGCCATCCCAGAAGAGATCGGGCACCTGACGGGGCTGCAGAAGTTCTATGTTGCTTCTAACAACCTTCCCGTTCTGCCCGCGTCCCTGTGCCACTGTAGCCAATTGTCTGTGCTCGATTTATCCCATAACCTCCTCCACTCCATCCCGAAAAGCCTCACCGAGCTCAGGAAGATGACGGAAATAGGGCTGAGTGGGAACCGCCTGGAGAAGGTGCCATACCTCATTTGCAGGTGGACCTCGCTGCACCTGCTCTACCTGGGAAACACAGGCCTGCACAGGCTGCGGGGCTCCTTCAGGCGCCTGGTCAACTTGCGCTGCCTGGACCTAAGCCAGAACCATCTAGACCACTGCCCGCTGCAGATCTGTGCGCTGAAGAACCTTGAAGTCCTGGGACTGGATGACAATAAAATAGGACAGGTACGGATTCCCTTTCTGGCTGTGACTATGCTCTCATCCAGGGTCCTTCCTGCCCTAAGTTGGTTCTGTGTCTAAACAGCAAATTTAAACTGACTTTATGGGCGAAAATCCAAGATTACTAAATATTCAACAAGGTGATAGTTTGTATTACTTTCTTTTTCCGTAATAGCAGCAGTAATCATAATAGTAGCTAATGTTTATTTAGAGGGTGTATGTGCCAGTCACTGAGCTAAGTGTTTACATGGATCATCTCATTTACCTCTCACAACGACTGTGTCCTCAATGATATATGAAGGAAGTGAGGGGCAGGGAGCTTAACTAACATGTCCAACGCTACACAGCCTATAAGTGATACAGCCGCGATTCCAGCCCACAGCTGCCAGGCTCCAGGGTCTACATTCTTTTTTTTTTCTCCCCCCAAGATGGAGTCTAGCTTTGTCGCCCAGGCTGGAGTGCAGTTGGGTGATCTCGGCTTACTGCAACGTCCGCCTCCCGGGTTCAAGCGGTTCTCCTGCCTCAGCCTTTCGAATAGCTGGGACTACAGGCACCTGCCACCATGCCCAGCTAATTTTTGTATTTTTAGTAGAGACAGGGTTTCACTGTGTTGTCCAGGCTGGTCTCAAACTCCTGACCTCGTGATCCCCCCACCTCGGCCTCCCAAAGTGCTGGGATTACAAGCGTGAGCCACCGCGCCCAGCCCAGGGTCTATATTCTTAACAAAGACTATCTCCCGACAGAGTTTCCATTAACAGCAGATGTTTCTAATACATACAGCCTTAGAAGCCTAAAGTTTCATCCATAGGAAACTGCAAAACCAGATCTGTCCCTAGAGAAACTGTCCCGTGTGTGCAGGGTAGCATATTCAAAAATGGTCATTTAGCATTGTTGATAATCATGAAATTATGGGAGACAATCTAAATGTCAGTAGGGGAGTGGGCAAATAAACTTCAATATATTCATAAAATGAAGTTATATAGTAATTTAAGTGAACTGGTACTGTACGTGCCAATATGGATAGATCTCAAAATTGTGATGTTTGTTGAAAAGAAAACCTAAGGTTCTGCATCAAATTGCAGAACATTATGATACCATTTATAAATTTTAAAATCACACAAAACTATATATAAATATATATATACATACACACATATATACACAACACATATTTTATGGATATTTTTATATATAATGAAAATATAAAATACTAACTGGAAGAAAACTAAATTCCTGAAGGTGGCTGCCTCTGGGAAGAGAGAAGGAAGTCAACAAAATAGAGAAGCAGCTGGGTGCGTTGGCTCACTCCTCTAATCCCAGCACTTTAGGGGGCCAAGGAGGGAGGATCATTAGAGGCCAGAAGTTCAAGACCATACTGGGCAATGTAGGAATGTGCCTTTAAAAACCAAGAAAGCAAATGGGGAAGAGATCCTAAGGGGACTGAACTTAATTGCAGTGTTTCATTTGGTTTATTAAAAGATTTGGGCAGTTGGGCATGCATGGGTTTATGTTTCTTTATTATTTTATAATATTCTATTTATTTTAATTTTATTTATTTATTTTTAAGATGGAGTCTCACTCACTCTGTTACCCAGGCTGGAGTGCAGTGGTGCTATCTCAGCTCACTGCAACCTCTGCCTCCCGGGTTCAAGGGATTCTCCTGACTCAGCCTCCCAAGTAGCTGGGACTACAGGTGTGCGCCATCATACCCGACGAACTTTTGTATTTCTAATAGAGACTGGATTTCACCATGTTGGCCAGGCTGGTCTCAAACTCCTGGCTTCAAGTGATCTGCCCGTTTTGGCCTTACAAAGTGCTGGGATTATAGGCGTGAGCCACCATGCCTATCCTATAATGTTTGATTTAAAAAGAAAAAAAAAAACAGCTGTTAAGAGCAAAAGACAACTGTAGAGGGAGTAAAAAGGGGAATTTGGAAATCAACAACTATAATCAAATAATAGGTCTGCTTTACCTGGCCATGGACACCAGTCTCATGTGTTCCCCATACATTACAAAAGTCCTGGTCCTTACAGGTTTATTATTAAAAATCTTTTTTTTTTTTTTTTTTGAGATGAACTGTCGCTCTGTCGCCCAGACTGGAATGCAATGGTGCCATCTCGGCTCACTGCAACCTCCACCTCCCAGGTTCAAGTGATTCTCCTTCCTCAGCCTCCTGACTAGCTGGGACTACAGGCGCCTGCTACCACACCCAGCTAATTTTTGTATTTTTAGTAGAGGCAGGGTTTCACCATATTGACCAGGCTGGTCTCAAACTCCTGACCTCGTAATCCGCCCACTTCAGCCTCCCAAAGTGCTGGGATTACAGGCGTGAGCCACTGTGCCCGGCTGCTAAAAAAATCTTTTATTTGATTTTTTATTTCTAGAACTTTTTTCCCCAAATTGCGATGGGGTTTTAAAGCTGCCTTTCAGAAAGTAACATTTTGATGGTAACTTGTAGATTTAGGACGAGATTCTAGGACTTAATCTCTACTGATGTAGCAACTCACCTTGGAGGATTTTTGAGGTTCCGTGAGAGCCTATTCCTGAACTATTCCACTGCTGATGTAAGAAATTCCTTTTAGTGGACAAAGTCTGTCATTCTGCAGTTGGAGTGAAAGACTTAAAATATAAAGTACATGTGGGAAGGATGACACGTTATACTGAGCCATGAATAATACCAAATCCTGTTCTGAGAGAAATTTTAAGAAATCAAAGGAGCGAATCACACACAGACTGCTTGTTAAAAATAAGCTTCATCCAATACCAAGTTTTACCACAAGTCAAACTGCACTGAAATGTAGACAGGTTAAATATTACTGTATTGAACATGACAGTCTCTACGTACCATTGCTTTTTCCTCTTCAGTTATTCTGATGGGCTTTGTGTGTGTGTGTGCATTTGTCCTCCCTTCTCAATTTCCTCTCATGCTAATACCACCTTCCAATGCATTTCTCTCCTTAATGAAACATGGCCTTTAAGCCAGCTCATTATCTCTCCCTCCCCAAAGACTCAAGCCTGACCAGTAGCTTCTACTTGCCTGTGTGCATGCAAAAATATCTGATTTTCAATGTGCACCTAGATGGATTTTATTTGTAGAGTATACTTCTATTAAAGGAGAAAACCAGGCCAGGTGCGGTGGCTCACGCCTGTAATCAGAACACTTTGGGAGGATGAGGCAAGTGGATCAACTGAAGTCAGGAGTTTGGCCAACATGGCAAAACCCATCTCTACTAAAAATTCGAAAATTAGCCGGGCATGGTGGAGGGCACCTGTAATCCCAGCTACTCGGGAGGTTGAGGCAGGAGAATTGCTTGAACCCAGGAGGCAGAGATTGCAGTGAGCTGAGATTATACCATTGCCACTCCAGCCTGGAGTGGGCAAGAAGAGCGAAACTCCATCTAAAAAAAAAAAAACAATGTACCGGATCCCAAAATGGCTATATGTCAATTATAGTGTCATCAGTAATTGTCTTCATCTAATGCTCTACAGATTTTCTATTCTATACATCTAGATTTCTTCTCATTATACTTTGCTATGACTGTGATGAAACTAACTACTGGATCTTAAATATTCTGAAAAATTTTTTTGAACATTCAATGTGCTTTGAAAAAGAAAAGCTAAGCCTTTATGAGTTAAGTAAACAGCAACAAGAGTGAAATTTCTAGGTTATAATGAAATGGTTAGATTGAAAAATATTTTTTTCATTGTTTTGGATTGCACAGAAGGCAGGCATTTTGTATTGAAGGGCTCCAAGTGCTTGATGAAGAATTTTGAAATAGCCAAAGAGGAAAGCTTAAACATCAGTTTCTCCAGAGACTGACTTGATCTAATTAAAATATATAGGTAAATTTAAAAAACTGGAAAACTGTTACAGCATTTTTAGGAAAATGAGTCCTTACTCTACACAAAAAAGAGAAAAATGCATTATGGAAGATTCCAAGTATGTGAAACTTTTACAGATAGGTTGTCCTACAGTGAACTTTCTTTTTTCTCCAACTGTAAGTGGCTCATTCACCAATGACCTGTCTGTTCCAGCTATCGATAGAGAGGTGGGGTGGGAGCAGCTCAGCTGTGCTCTAGCCAGAATGAAAGTCGGGTGACTGACTAGGGAATGGCCGGGAAGAATGTCCATGAGCTCAAGCAGGGAACTGTGGGGAAGGATTTCCCAGTTAGGAAGTAAGCCAGATAAAGGAACATATGAGTTAAGGAGCTGTTGAGCTACATAGCTGGGATTTTTTTTTCTACAAGAAAATAAGGCATCTCTGCAACCCAGTCAACAGAGTGATTGTCACATATTTTAAGAACGAAATTTTTCCCATGTGGTTCCCATGGTCCAGAAAGAAACCGATAGGCAGACAAAATGGTGAAGCTGATTTTGGCTGTACTAAAGTGGGAAATCTGATGGTTAGAAGTAGCCATAGAAGACAATGAGCTTTTCTTCACAGGAGGTGGTGTTTAGATACAATCGGATGGCTCGCTATAGAATGTATGCAACCACTGTATTAGAAGGTTGAAATAGAGAACTTTCTTAAGGCCTTCCAGCCCTGAAAGTGTGGCACTCTGTGAAATGCCAACCCAGTTCCCACATAGGGTACACAAGCCTGGGTATTCACTGAAAAGCAGAACACGACACGATAGGATCATAATGGAGTTCACTGAACACTGATTAAATGGTGTGAATATATGTTTGCCTTCAACTGAGATTTCAACTGAAGTTTCAAAATTATTAAAGCCTTTTAGGATGAAGAGTCATATCACTAAACGTATTAGTTCCAGTAACTGAATTTATTATGAATATTCTTATTGCATTATTACACATGACTTTAGTATTTTTCTTTCAATAGTGTCAAGCAGTTGCCACACTACAGTCCATAAATGGCAAGAATGTAGGTTAAAAATTGCTCCAAATTTTTTTTTGAGACAGCCTCTCACTCTGGCGCCCAGGCTGGAGTGCAGTGGCACAACCTCGGCTCGCTATAACCTCTGCCTCCTGCGTTCCAGAGATTCACCTGCCTCAGCCTCCCAAGTAGCTGGGATTATAGGCACCCACTACCACGCCCGGCTAATTTTTGTAGTTTTTAGTAGAGACAGGGTTTTGCCATGATGGCCAGGCTGGTCTTGAACTCCTGACCTCAGGTGATCCACCGGTCTTGGCCTCCCAAACTGCTGGGATTAAAGGCATAAGCCCCCGTGCCTGGCCACAAAAAATTGCTCCAGTTTAAAGTGGTGCATAAAAGTGAAATCAGAGACTTTAGATCCAAAGTATAAATACTGTAATGCAGATACGTGCACAAATTTTTCATCAGTAGGAGAGGCTAAGTTACTCCACTTGTTTAGCAGTCTGCCTCAAAACCAAAAGCCCAATTTATCTCTGCTGACTGTTAAAAATAATCTTGACCTGAAACTTATCTTTTTGGAACACTTCTAGTTACCTTCAGAATTGGGCTCACTTTCAAAACTGAAGATACTTGGACTAACAGGAAATGAGTTCCTTTCCTTTCCGGAGGAAGTCCTTTCTTTAGCATCTTTAGAGAAATTATACATTGGGCAAGACCAGGGATTCAAACTTACCTATGTGCCAGAACACATTAGGAAACTGCAGGTAAGCCTCCCCAAATGAGCAGGCTAAGAAGCACCTGCCACTGCCTCTTAAATTGACTGAAACTGAGAAAATATGAGGTCTCCACAGGCTGGATGTAGCATCATCCATACTAGATTTCCAGCTTCAAACAAGCAATCATTTTTACATTTTGAGGTTTCCACTGTCTGTGAACAACCCTTCATCATTTCATTGTGATTGCTGCTGGATGTGTCCTACCATACTTCTTTCCACTGTGTGATCTGGTGTGTTTCAGTTACAGAAATTGGGTCTACTTCTTTCCATTTAACTCCCACTTTTTATAAGTAGCCCCCCGAAAACTGGACTATTTTGAAGTTAAAGAGTATCATACAAGTGACGTGCTAGGAGCCTGCATTTTGGTGCCCAGGATTTCCTGTAAGGGGAAGTGAGACCTCTCTCCCTGCTTGGAAAAGGGAAATCATGTTGCACCAGCTTGCTGGATCTACAGGGCCATGAGGAATACTTGAAAAGCAATAGGATAACTTCATTCAAAGTAGCCATACTAGAGTGTCTTCATGTGTTCATCCTTTAAAGAACTATTTTTTTTTAATGTTCCTGTTGTTGCACGTTTTTTTTTTTAGACAGAGTTTCACTCTTGTTGCCCAGGCTGGAGTGCAATGGCACAATCTCGGCTCACTGCAACCTCCACCTCCCGGGTTCAAGCGATTCTCCTGCCTCAGCCTCCCAAATAGCTGGGATTACAGGCGCCCACCACCACACCTGGCTAATTTTGTGTTTTTAGTAAAGACAGGGTTTTGCCATGTTGGCCAGGCTGGTCTCGAACTCCTGAACTCAGGTGATCCACCCTTCTCAGCCTCCCAAAGTGCTGGGATTACAGGTGTGAGCCACCGTGTCTGACCTGCTGCACTCTTAATGATGATAAAGTAGGCGTGGGCCGCCACATAACCCCCAGTCATGCAATGCCATGTACAGCATAGGTAGTTCTCACTATGACACAGGGAGTCTATTCCTAATTCACCATTCCTTTACCCTGTGTTCATAGAACACCTTTCATCGTCTTTTCCTTTATACCTGTCGTGCCGCAATCTTAGGGTGAAGTACAAACATTAGATTTTTGCCCAGTGAAGTTGAAAATAGTTATTTTGAATACATTCAAACCCATTCCCTGTGCGTTTTGGCTACTTTCACATGACGCAATATTGGGTTGATAGTTGAAGCAATTATCATTCTGTAGCAACTGCCACAGATAATTAGCTATTAAAAAAGAGTTAATGATAAATGTAGTTAATTATTCAAATTATTTTTTCATAAAGTTCTGGTGAAACAAATAAGCACTAGATGTCTGTAGTCTCTTTTCCCTGCATAAATGGAAACCAAGTCTAATGGATTTACTAAAAAATAATTTTATGTCTTGATGATGGTCCTTTAGACATGCTTTTTCCCTTTAACCCAATGCATAATTTCCCCCATTAAAGTAAAAAAAAAAAAAAAAAGCATAGGCACCCACAGGTGATTCTGGTTACTATAATTAATTAATCAAGGTATATTATTATGGTATACTCATGTTATTTCAGAGTCTTAAAGAGCTATATATAGAGAACAATCATCTGGAGTACCTGCCCGTATCCTTGGGGTCAATGCCTAACCTAGAAGTTCTTGATTGCCGGCACAATTTGCTTAAACAACTTCCAGATGCCATTTGCCAAGCACAAGGTGAGGAAACTTAGTAGATTCACAGCCTAGTAGAGTTTGTGGCCAGTACTTCCCATGGGAATGGCTTCCTTGCCTTGCTAAAGACCGATCTGAGTGTTGGGAGAACTGAGTCTATCCCATTACTTTCTTGCAGGGCTCACTCAGTGACATGGGGGAGGCCAGGTGTCCTGATTAGTATAGCTAAGAGTCTTGCAAAGGCAGTTAAGTCATTTATTAGAATGGAAAAGTAAATAACAACTGCTAAGAAAATTAGCATTCACTCATACATTCATTACACTACCAACAAGAATTTACTGTACACTTACTGTATGCCAGAATTTGGAATTGGGATCCTGCAGTAAATTTCATCTAGGTCACTGAGTCACTTGAATAAAAGAAAAAGTATTGGCCCACAGTGGTGAAATTAGCAAGGGACTTTCTTGGACCTACATGATTGACCTGGAAAACTATATATGATTCCTATTTAAACAGCCAAACATTTTCTACTAGACTAAGCCATTCTTTGTGTGTACATTCATCCATCCACTTAACATGCTTTTGCTGAGTACCCACTGGGACCAGATTTTAAATGTTTCTTTTTTTTTTTTTTTTTTTTCTGAATCCCTAGGCTTATGCACATGTTTTCAAACTACGGCGATTTTTTTTCTTTCTTTTTATTTTTTTAGACAGAGTCTCGCTCTGTTGCCCAGGCTGGAGTGCAGTGGCAAGATCTCGGCTCACTGCAAACTCCGCCTCCCGGGTTCACGCCATTCTTCTGCCTCAGTCTCCTGAGTAGCTGGGACTACAGGCGCCCGCCACCTCGCCCGGCTAGTTTTTTTTGGGGGGGTTTTGTTTGTTTGTTTGTTTGTTTTGTATTTTTAGTAGAGACAGGGTTTCACCGTGTTAACCAGGATGGTCTCGATCACCTGACCTCGTGATCTGCCCACCTCAGCCTCCCAAAGTGTTGGAATTACAGGCGTGAGTCATCGCACCCGGCCCAAACTATGGCTATTATTTAATGAAAAAAGAATGAAGACATATTTGAGTGGAAGCTGATGCCTACTCATAAGACACTCAAAAATTGGGGGCAAGGCCGGGCACAGTGCTCATGCCTGTAATCCCAGCACTTTGGGAGGCCAAGGTGGGTGGATCACCTGAGGTTAGTTCAAGACCAGCCTGGCCAACATGGCAAAACCCCATCTCTACTAAAAATACAAAATTAGCTGAGTGTGATGGCACATGCCTGTAATCCCAGCTACTTGGGAGGTTGAGGTAGGAGAATTGCTTGAATCCGGGAGGCAGAGGTTGTAGTGAACAAAAATCACACCACTGCACTCCAGCCTGGCGACAGGGCGAGATTCCGTCTCAGGAAAAAAAAAAAAAAAAAAAAAAAAACTGGAGGCAAGGGGTTGTATGCAGTACTCCTTAGTAATGCTCCTGACCATAAACTTTTATACTGTCCCTGGTCCCTGGAGGAGTGAAATATTCTCAAAATTTTCAGTGTTTTCTATTTTTCTGTCTCTAATATTTATGGACACTGGCTTCAACAACTTTGAATTGTTATAAAGAAGTTGTAGGCTGGGTGCGGTGGCTCATGCCTCTAATTCCAGCACTTTGGGAGGCCGAGGCAGGTGGATCATGAGATCAGAAGTTTGAGACCAGCCTAGCCAATACAGTGAAACCCCATCTCTACTAAAAATACAAAAATTAGCCGGGCATGGTGTTGGGTGTCTGTAATCCCAGCTACTCAGGAGGCTGAGGCAGGAGAATCACTTGAACCCAGGAGGCGGAGGTTGCAGTTAGCCGAGATTGCGCCACTGCACTCCAGCCTGGGTGACAGAGCTAGACTCCGTCTCAAACAAACAAACAAACAAAAATAGCCAAGTGTGGTGGCGTGTGCCTGGAATCCCAGCTACTCAGGAGGCTGAGGCACTTGAGTCGTTTCAACCTGGGAGGCAGAGGTTGTAGTAAGCCCAGATCATGCCACTGTACTCCAGCCTGGGCAACAAAGTGAGAGACTCTGTCTCAAAAAAAAAAAAAAAAAAAAAAAAAAACTCAATAGCCCGCTGAGCTTAGGAGCAGCATGGTCTGAGAGTGATTTTTCCCAGTGGGCTGTCAGTTTCAGCTAAAAACTGTTGCTCTAAACAAACAAAACATTTGGAATATCTGGAGACTGAATTTTGTTCTCTTCATTATGGGAAGGAGCAAACATAGAGCTAGAACTTTTATTAGATGGTAGAAAAAGTTTTGTTGGATCTTGTGCATCTTTCCTCTCATCCTTTTTGCAAATGCAGAATTGGATCCCTCATCTATGTGGGCAGGATTAGGTGACAAGTTAATATTGTTTGTTCTAAGATGGATCCACCATTAAAAAAAAAAATCTTTTCAGCTTTGAAAGAATTACTGCTGGAGGACAACTTGCTCACCCATCTTCCGGAGAATTTGGATTCCCTAGTGAATCTTAAGGTTCTGACACTGATGGACAATCCCATGGAAGAACCCCCAAAAGAAGTGTGTGCTGAAGGCAATGAGGTCATATGGAAATACCTCAAGGAAAAGAGAAATAGGAATATAATGGCAACAAAGGTAAAATCAGCCCAGATTCTTGATAACAGTTGCTTTAGAGGGAGTCTAATGGTAAACACATTACAGATTATCCTATGGAGCAACTCCTTACACCCTTGTCCTGCTTCTGAAAAGAGAAGTTACTTAGTAACTTTTATGTCCCCAGGGCTAAGGGTAAGAAGATTTTTTAATATCAGCCCTAGTATTTTTGTCTTTTATGTCCCTTATTTCTTTGTCCAATAAGAAGCCAACAAATAGGCAAAGGAAACCAAAACTTCAAAATTTCAAACAATCTTAAATTCTTGGACTATTTCATTGGAATGAAAAAAGCTTGTATTCACAAAAGCAGTAAAATAAATTTTAAAAATTAGAAATGAAAGCATTTATAGATGAGAGGCTGAGCCCAGGGTTCTGAGCTGCCATTAATTAGGATCAAAGGGCTGAGATCCTTGTAATTCTGCTGTAGCCCTTTGAGCCCATGGAGATGTAGGACAGTTCTGGAATGTGTCCACTTCAGCCAGTGTTCTTTGTTCTCCAACTGGCCCAAGTCCCCATCACCTCACAGCCGGATGACTACATAAGCCCTTTGACTAGTGTCCCTGCTTCCATGCCAGCTCCCCTACAATATACCTTCTGCTCAGCAGTAGCACTGATGCTGTTAAAACATGGGCTAGAGCTCCCCACTCCACTGAAATTGGCAACCCTCCATTTCACTCAGAGTACGAGTCAGATCTTCGGTCCGTAAAATCCTCTCTCAATAGCCCTCAACCCTATCAGACCTAATGTCCTCCCTTTTATGATAAATCTTTTGTGATACCTCTTTTACCATTCCAAAATAAATTCAGAGATAATAAAAACCTACAGAAGCACATAATTTTAATCAAAACAATCCCTGAGTAGCAATTTAAAGGAGAAAGAAAAGTAATTTGTATACAAATATATATTTCAGGCTGGGCGCGGTGGCTCACGCCCATAATCCCAGCACTTTGGGAGGCTGAGGTGGGTGGATCACTTGAGGTCAGGAGTTCAAGATCAGCCTGACCAACATGGTGAAACCCTGTCTCTACTAAAAATACAAAAATTAGCTGGGCATGGTGGTGTGTGCCTGTAATCCCAGCTACTCTGGAGGCTGAGGCAGGAGAATCGCTTGAACCCAGGAGGCGGGGGTTACAGTGATCCTAGATTGTGCCACTGCACTCCAGCCTGGGCGACAGCTATCTCAAAAACTAAAATAAAAAATTATTTCAATGTGTATATGCTCAGGATGGATTACACTTGAAAGAATGAAAATTGTGGTTTTTAATTGAATACTTCCTGAAAGCATTTTGAAAAACCATGCACCCTCTTGCACATTCTTAAAATGATATTTAATATTGCTGGGCACAAGTTTAAATCATTGCAAAGGATGTAATTTCCAGTGAATTTTAAATGTTGACATTTTAAAATAGAGCTGTTAGAACAATATTTTAACTGTATCCAGTGGAAACTGAATATCATTATGATTTGTCAACACCAATTTACAAATACTTAAACAAGTTATTATTTTATAGGCAGAATTTTTATATCTTTTCTTCTTAAACATGTACTTCCATTCTACTTTCCCCTCAAAATTGATCCTAAGATTATATATATACACATATGTCTTTCATAGATTGCTCTTTTGTACTTCTAGGCAACAAAAATATTTATATAAATTAAATTTTAAAAATTTAAAAATGTATATACATTATAACTATTAGTAGTATAAAATCACCTAAAACAACATAAAATTTCTTACAAATTTAAAAAATTATTAGACATATAGGATTTTTTAGAACAGTGTACCAAAATGAGAGGGTTTTTTTAGTGTAGTTTATATATTCATGCATAAATATTGATGATTATTAGAATAACACAGGGTTTATTACAGATTCTACTCCTGTTTTTCATTTTACAGATGAAAGCCTTGAGAAAACTTGTTCACGTAGATGAGTTAATGAGAACGGAAGAAGCTTTTTTTGCCTGTAATGTTTTATTTTTAAAAAACAATGCTTCATACATCTCTGAACTTCTTCCAGATTTGTATCCCCCAGACTGATAGCAGGTCTTAACTGACATGTTAACTAGGTTTCCCTTATTTTTCTTGAAGGTAGAATTAGAAACCACCTGTCTTGCAAAAGGATTGGTTATTAGAGTCCTTAGAGTCGTTCATTTTCTCATCAACACTTGTACTGTGTGTGTCGTGTGTGTGTGTGTGTGTCCTAATGATTTTTGGAATCCAGGGCAATGCACCATAGTAAGATTCAGGTGGGTTCAAGGCATGCCTTTCCTCTGTGGAGCACCAAAGGGGAAACTGGGATGGGGGATCTGCAGTTATGTTCTTGAGATGATTTTAGGAAGGGATGCATATGGAAGCTGAAGCTCAGGAAATAGACTGTCTTCAACCTATCCATGCCTGCACACCATTGGAAAGGCTTTGTAGACCAGGGTACAGACCACACAATTGAAGACTGCTTAATCTTAAGACAATAAAAAGTCCCATAAATTTCCAAACTGCCTCTAGAGAGTAGTGCTGTTCCCTGGATCCTGATCAGTCTGCTGTTTTCACTCCCCATCTCATCTTTCCTACTCTCACTGGGCTTCAGTCACAAGCAGATACCTGGTGTTCTTCCAAGGACCAAGCATGCTTCTGGCTCAGGGCCTTAACACTGGCTCTTCCTGTGCCCAGAGATGCTTCCCTCAGATACGGGCAAGATTCTGGCCCTCACTTCGTTCCATCTCTGCTTAAACGTCCTCTTATCAGAGAGCCCTTCCTTGATCCACCTTATATAAAACAGCATACCCCCAGCCACCTCTTTCATTTGTTCATTCATTTAACAAACATTTACTGAGCTTCTACTATGTACCAGACACTGTTCTAAGCCCTGAGATACATCAGTGAACAAAACAAATATTTATGTCCTCACAGCACTTAAAATCTAGTAGGAGGAAAATAAAAGCATGAAATATAAAACAAAATTAAATACTACGTTAGAGAGTGCTACTGTGGGAAAAAAAAAAAACAAGGTCACCCTAAGGGGAACTGAAATTGCCAGTAGTGTTTGGAGGTGGGGAAGTGGTTAATGTAAATAAGATTGTCAGAGTAGGCCTCATTGAAAAGATGACAGTCTTAGCTTAGGCTGCCACAACAAAATACCACAGAACAGGCGGCTTAAACAACGGAACTGTATTTTCTCACAGTTCTGGAAGCTGGAAGTCTAAGGTCAGAGTATCAGCATGATTGGAGTCTGGTGAAGGTCCTCTTCCTGGCCTATAGAAGCTGACTTCTCCCTGTGTCTTCATATGGCAGAAAGAGAGAGAGACAGAGAGAGAGAGAGAGAGAAAGAGAGAGAAAGAGGGAGAGAGAGAGACGGAGACAGAGAGAGATTGCACTAGAGAGTGCTAACTCTCTGATGTCTCTCCCTATAATGCCACTAATCTCATCATGAGGTCCCCACCGTTATGACTTCATCTAAATCTAATCATCTCCCCAAAGCCCCTTTTCCAATTTCCATCACACTGGGGATTAGGGCTTCAACGTATGAATTTGGGGCAACACAGTTCAGTCCATAGCAATGACGATCGAGCAAACCCTTGAAGCAGCGGAGAGGTGAGCCATCTGAATACTGAGAAGAGTTCCAGGCAAAGGAAGCAGCGAATGTACAGGCCGTGAGTCACGACTGTGCCTGTGTGTCTGAGCAGGGAGGAGGCCTACACGGCTGGAGCAGAGTGAGCCAGGGAAAGGGGAGTTAAGAGGTTAGAGGGGTCAGGATTGGGGAGGCAGATCAGAGAGGGCCTTGTAAGCCATATAAGGACATTGGCTTCTATTCAGAGAGAAATGGGGAGCCACTGGACAAGTCTGCTACTAGAGGAGGGGTGTTGCTGGGTAGGTAGGAGGGAATAGGATCCAGGGAACAAGTGAGGGCTGGCTTTAGGCAGGAGCACAGACAGCCCAGTAAGGAGCAGGAAGGCAGGGCATAGGCACTCAGATCCCCTCACCATGCACGGTTGCTCTCCATAGCACTCATTACCATCTGTCAAATTAAACATTCATGTGTTTATTTTTTACTGTCTCTTCCCTCACTGGAATGTGAGCTCCATAAAGTTGAGACAGTTATTTCTCTGCTGTTGCCCAAAAGTCTAGAACAGGCCCTGGCACATAAAAGCAATAAATGCATTTTTTTAAAAATTTGTCTGAATGCCTGGCCAATTGAGAAAGATAGAAAATAAAATTTAGAGTTCTGATCACATCCCATTCTCCACATCTTCAAGACCACGTATCAGAATAAAGAGATTTAACAATCTCCAGTTCATTGTGATACCAGCCGATGCTGAATATGGGTTTATTTTGTTTTCAGATTCAGGCGTGGTGGCGTGGAACAGTGGTACGGAAAGGATTTGGGAAATTCGGTGAACTACTAAAACCACGAAAGAAAGGAAAGACTTCTCCAAAAGATAAGAAAGGAAAGAAGGATGTAAAAGGAAAACCAGGAAAGGGAAAAAAGAAATAATCCTATAAATTGATAAATTGGAGTACTGGACCTAGATGGATTAAGAAGGCAAAATATCTAGGAATTAGATGCCTACTACATTAAAATTATTCATAAAATTATGTTTATGTGTAAAAATAAATGATTCTTACTTTTACTGAAATATTTATAGATAAAATGATATAACACCTTGGAATTTCTTCTAAATAATATGGGAGGGGGAGGGGAAAGTGGGTAGGAGTACAAGTGAAACAAGATTGGCCATACACTGATAACTGTAGAATAAGGTGATGAGTACACAGGAGTTCGTTATACTATTTGCCTACTTTTATTTATTTTTAATTATTTTTTAAGACAGGATCTCACTCTGTTGCCCAGGCTGGTATGCAGTGGTGCAATCTTGGGTCACTGCAACCTCCATTTCCCAGGTTCCAGCAATTCTCATGCCTCAGCCTCCTGAGTAGCTAGGACTACAAACACATGCCACCATGCCTGGCTTTTATATTTCTTTGGTAGAGATGGGGTTTCATCGTGTTGGCCAGGCTGGTCTCAAACTCCTGACATCGAGTGATCTACCCGCCTTGGCCTCCCAAAATGCTGGGATTATAGGCATAAGCCACTGCACCTAGCCAGTCTACTTTTAAACCTTTTATTCTGAAATAACTATAGATTCACAGGAAGTTCCAAAGAAATATTTAGGTAGGTCCATGCACTGCTCAGCCTCCCTCAATGCTGACCTCTTTCATAACTATAGCACAATAACAAAACCAGAAGATTGACATTGCACTCATTTGTGTGTGTGTGTGTGTGTGTGTGTAATCCTATGCAATTTTGTCACATATAGTTTTGTGTAGGCACCATCACAATCAAGACACAGAATTGTTCCATTGCCACAAGTTTCCCTTGTGCTATTCCTCTGTAGCCATACCTACTGCCTACTCCTCTCCCAGTGCCTAACCTGTTCTCCAGATCCATAATTGTGTCATTTTAGGAATGTCACATAAATGGAAACACACAGTATGTAACTGGGATTGGCTTTTTTATTCAGCATAATCCACTTGAAGTCTACCCAACTGGGGCATGGATCAGTGGTTTTTTCCTTCCTGTTGCTGAAGGAGTATTCCATAGTCCCACAGTTTGTTTAACCTTTCACTCATCGTTTCCAGTTTTTTTGCTATTGTGAACAAAGCTGCTATGAACATTCATGCATAGGTTTTTGCATATGCATAGATACTCACGGAATTCATGGGAATGCTTATGGTATTCATGGTATTCTTTCATACGATGTAACCCAAAATATCCCCTTTACAGCATTCAAAACCTCCTCATCCTGAAAACGTTTTAATTTGGAATAGTGTTGATTTTAAATTTGCATATCTTTCAGGCAGTGATTGCAATACTAATTATTAGTGTAGTAAGAAGAAAGCAAAACATAATTTGACCAGAGCATGTCAGAATAGAAATGTGTAGACAAACCTCTCTGCCATGCAATGACTTTCATTCTCTAGCAAAAGAAAATCAAAGATTTCAAAAATTGTTTAGAGCAACACGAAAACTGTCATTAATGAACTAAATTAGTTTTATGAGCCAATTCCATTTCAAAGAAATGCCTGGAGGCAATATGTTAACAATTTTTTTAAACAATAAAAAGAAGTTTTAATGTATTTTAAGAAGATGTGTTTTTCACGGTGAGTTTTAAATTTTCAAACACTTTTTAGTAAGATTTATATGTCAGTGACTATCATTATTGTTCATGGTTTGTATCTGAGATAAAAGGCACCAGAACGTAAAATAATAAACCATAGAAGGGTACACTTTCTGATAAAAACCTACATGGACCACATTAAGATACATATAGTGATAGTAATGATACATGAAACTCTTAGACAGCTAGTGCCTTTCACATTAGAATCACACACACACACTCACGCACACCCTTATATTTAGAACATTTAACTTGTAGGAAAAGAAGAGGCACAACATTTCTGGGCAAGAGAAAAGCAGTTGCAGTACCAGAATCTAAACGCTTTTGGCAAGGCTTCTAAACAGTAAATGAACGAATTATATATCCAAAACAAATCCATTGAAAAATGCCATCTTTGTTTCATGAGACAGAGAATAATGGCATGCTTATATTAGATATTATATACATATATTTACAAAGCTCTTGTAATAGTCCCATTAAATGGCCCAGAAGTTGATATTCAGTTCATGACACTGGAATTCGTTCATGTTCTTTTCCTTTGGAGAATGGTTTGTAGCTTATTATGATGTGGGAAGTCAGCTTACTGAAACCCACCATGGTCAAAGTGAATGCTCCTTTTTTTATCTTGGTCAAAGCATTCTAGTTCTTCCTCCTGTGAAGCTGGGAGTATCCATCTTTTCATTCCTATCTCTGTGATCTGAGGAAGTTTGATCACAGCACATAACAAGTGTCTAAACCATTGTCCACAATCTCGAAAATTTGATGGTCGAAGGCTAATATCCAGCTCGATTAACTCTTTGAGGAACCGCACGTTTTGGCAGAACATGGTCCACCCTGCATCACAGATGCTGTCATTGTAGCTCAGGTCCAGCTTTCGCAGTTTGGCCAGATGACCCGTCTGTATGACCGATGCTGGAAAACAAAATCACTCTAAATGCTAACATACAAGAATACTGTCTGCCATGGCTATTCCCATTTCCCATAACACTATCTCCAGGACTAGTAATGACAAGATTAGTAATTAGTAATGATTTGTTATTAGCAGCTTTATTCAGGACATCTGAAATCTGAAAAACAGATTTCCTCTCTATACATCCCATCTACAGCTTTTTAATTTTCTTTTTCCAAATCTCAATCCAATAATTTTTTTGTCAAGTTCCTGCTCTCTGCTCCACTGGAGTCCCAGCTCTTCCTACAGTCTTTCTCTAATTAAATGTAAAGAGTGATGGCTCATTGACTTTAACTAAGGACCATTTGTAAATAATAGTCTTGTTGCTTATACTGTTTAATTGTTCATTGTTCATTCATTCAGTCATTATTCATCCAGCAGTTATTTAAATGAGCACTTTCCATATGCAGAACATACCTGGATAATTTCCAATTCACCTTAGAGACCCCAATACACATGACAGTTTTCCCTATATGGGTGCTACCTACAATGGCACTTAAAAATGATGACTAATGTACAATCTGAGCTATTTGATCAGAAAATAAATAAGTTAATGATGAAATAAAGACTTCTGTAAGAGGAGGCAGGAGAGATAACCAAGGCAAATGGAATATGCTTCCCTTTTCAACCAAACCCAGGAATGGATTGCAGAGATCAGGGGAGTTGTGTAGAATCTTGGAGATGAAAGGGATCTTGGAAGTCTCCTTATCCAACCTCCTAATAAATAATCAGAGAGAAATCCTTTTCACAGCCTCTCTACTGATGATCACCACAACTCTGCCTGAACCGTTCTTTCAAGTTTGCCTCAGCATTATGGAGCAGCTCCTAGCAGGAGGAAGCCCTCACACAGGGCCCCAATCTATCTTCTGGTGTCTTTCACCCCATGCCCCCATCAGTCAGCTGAAACATTCAGCTCCTTCTTCCTCATGTCAGCCCTGCAGTGTTAGATAACAGCCAGGTCTCCCTCAAACTTTATCCCTCTAGGACTGAACATGCCCTGGTCTTTCAGTCTTTCCTCACACACATGGCTTTCTGATCAAGGAGGATGTTCCAACTCCATCACTTTCACTTGCCGACAGTTTCATTCCACAGTGAATTTGAGAGCTCAGCCACCCGTGCACACAGCAGCTGCACTCTGTCTCTAGGTGTCCATGTCAATGTGTGTCTCTCTTCCTGTCTCGCAACATTACTCACAATATTCTCAAGACCTAACTAAGTGTTAAAGACAATGTGCATGCTTTTTCTCTTTCATCCTATTTTATTATTTTAGATTTATTACATTTTTAAAAATCTAGGTAGTGGAAACATAGGCCATAGATATACTCTTTATAGTTTACTATGTGAAAAAATAAATGCCATTAATTATTTTTAAAATGTGCATAAGCTAGTGATTAACAAATGTTTAATGTTTCTATTAGAAAAAATATAAAAGTGGCAATTGCTAAAACCACATATAGTAATACTTGTTTTTTGTTGCTGTTGTTGTTTTCGTTTTTTGAGATAGAGTCTGCTCTTTGTCCAGGCTGGAATGCAATGGCACAATCTCAGCTCACTGCAACCTCCACCTCCAGGTTCAAGCGATCCTCCTGCCTCAGCCTTCCAAGTAGCTGGGATTACAGGCACCTGCCACTATGCCCGGCTAATTTTTTTACTTTTATTAGAGACAGGGTTTCGCCATGTTGGCCAAGCTGGTCTCAAACTCCTGACCTCAGGGGATCCACCCACCTCATCCTCCCAAAATGCTGGGATTACGGGTGTGAGCCACCACGCCTGACCTGTAATACTTGTTATTGACTAAAAATTCAAAGAAGGAAAATATACCCTGATGAAATGTAAAAGTATAAATTTGACCTGAGAAAAAACTGTCAGTAAAGATTAAAAAAAAATATACGATAGCTGAAGACATGGCAAATAAAATTTGATGCAGACAAAAATAAAAAAGACCTAATTGAGGCCTGGTGTGGTGGCTCATGCCTATAATCCCAGCACTTTGGGAGGCCAAAACGGGCGGATCACGAGGTCAGGAGATCAAGACCATCCTGGCTAACACAGTGAAACCCTGTCTCTACTAAAAATACACACACACAAAAAAATTAGCCAGGCATAGTGGTGGGCACCTGTAGTCCCAGCTACTTGGGAGGCTAAGGCAGGAGAATGGCTTGAACCCGGGAGGTGGAGCTTGCAGTGAGCCAAGACTGCGCCACTGCACTCCAGCCTGGGTGACAGAGCGAGACTCCGTCTCAAAAATAAAAAAAACCTAATTGAAGAAGCAAATTTTAATCATAAACATTAAATAAAATAACTTAAATATATTTAATGGTGTCTAATTCAGAAAAATAAATAAATGAAAATCAAAAGCTTATTTTTTAGAAGACTCACAACATCAATAAACCCTTGTGATAGTCAGAACTCTAAATAGCCATCTTAAGGTTTCCATTGTGTCCCCAGGACTGAATGTGATAGATTTTGCTCCCAGGATTAGCTTAGGCTATATGGCACACCCGACTTTAAGAAAGGGAGATTATCCATATGGAGTTAACCCAATCAGAGGAGCCCTTTGAAAGCAGAGAGAATTTCCTCCTACTGGTGGCAGAAGAGGAAGGAAGACACAGAAGTCAGAGAGATTTAAAGTGTAAGAGGCATGGACAATCCACTCCAGGCTTGCAAATGAGGGGCCCATGTATCAAGGAATGTGGCTGGCCTCTAGTAGCTGAGAGCAGGCTCCAGCTGAGAGTTAGCAAGAAAAGAGGACCCTCAGTCCTACAGCTGCAAGGTCCTAGACTCTGACAACAAAAATGAGCTTGAAAGTGGATTTATTCCTAGAGCCTTCAGATGAGAACTCAGCCTGGCTGACACCTTGATTTCAGTGTTGTAATACCCTACACAGAGAACCAACACATGCTGTGCTAGACTTCTTACCTACAGAACTGTGAGCCGGGTGAGGGATGGGAAATTACTTCCCGCATTATTCATTCGGGTGATGGTTACATCAGCACCTCATACTTCACCACTACAATATACCCATGGAAGAAAACTGCACTGGTGCCCCTTACATTTATATAAGCTTTTAAAAAGAACTGTGAACAAATACATGGATATTGTTTTAATCCACAAATTAACATGTTACACAGCAACAGAAAACAAATACCTTTGGTCACACTAGCCAAGAACAAAGAGATAGAAACACAACTGACCAATATCAGGAATGAGACAGGAGGTATCACTATGGGCAGTAAAAGGATAATAAGGAAACAACTTTAATTCCATAAATTCAACAACCTAGATGAAATGGGCCAACTCCTTAAAAGACACTATCAAAACTTAAAGAAGAAATAGACAACTGGAATAGTCCTAGCTCTATTTTTTTTCTATCTCTATTTTTAAAATTGAATTGGTAATTTAAAATATCCCACAAAGAAAATTCCAAGTTTAGATGGCTTCAGTGGTGAATTCTGTGAAACAGTTGAGGAAGAAATAATACCAATTTTACCCAATCTTTCTGGAAAATAAAAGAGGAAGGAACACTTTCCAACTCATTGTATGAGGCTACCTATACCCTCATAACAAAGCCAAAGACATTTTAAGAAAACCAGTAGGCGGTTATCCCTTGTGAACACAGGCACAAATATCCTCAAAAGAATATTAGCAGATAACACCCAATGCTATATAAACAAGATAATACATAATGATCATGACCAGGATGATTTAACATTTAAAAATCACTTAATATTATTAATTATTATTATTAGTTATTATTAATATTATTATTCATGATATTAATGAACTATAAAGTTTTTTAAATGCTCATCTCAATAGATGCAGAAAAATAATCTGACAAAATTCATTATAAGAACTCTTAGCAAATTAGGATTCCTTAGCCTGATAAAGGGTAGCTACAAAAAAACCTATAGCTAACGTCATACTTAATAGTGAAAAATGGAATGCTTTCCCCCTCAGCTTAGGGGACTAAGACTGGAAGCAAGGCAAGAATGTCTGCTCTCATGTCGTTCAACATCTATTGGAAATCCTAGCCAGCTAAATAACCAAGAAAAATAAATAAAAGATACGCAGTGGAGATAAAGACATAAAACTGTCTCTAGGCCGGGTGCAGTGGTTTCATGGCTGTAATCCCAGCACTTTGGGAGGCCGAGGCGGGCAGATCACGAGGTCAGGAGATCGAGACTATCCTGGCCAACATGGTGAACCCCCGTCTCTACTAAAAATAGAAAAACTAGCTGGGGGTGGTGGCGAGTGTCTGTAGTTCCAGTTACTCAGGAAGCTGAGGCAGGAGAATCGCTTGAACTCAAGAGTCAGAAGTTGTGGTGAGCCGAGATGGCGCCACTGTACTTCAGCCTGGCGACAGAATGAGACTCCATCTCAAAAAAAAAAAAAAAAAAAAGCTGTCTGTAATCATATATGATATGATTGTCTATATAGAAAATACTACAGAATCTACTAAAAATATCCTACAGCTAACAAATGAGTTTAGCAAGGTTGCAGTAAAATGTCATACAAAAATCAATTGTGTATCCATATACTAGCAATAACATTGGGAATCTAAAATTAAACAGTATCTTTTATAAGAGCACAAAAATTAAATACTCAGATACAAATTTAACAAAATATAAAAACTATAAAACACCAGTGAAAGAAATCAAAGAGTACTTAAATACAGAGATAGACTGTGTTCATGGATTGGAATACTCAATATTGTTAAGATGTCATTTCTCCCTGAATTGATCTATAAATTCAATATAATCCCAATCAAATTTCTCGATGGATTTTTAAAATAGATATTGACAATCTGATGCTAGCTCTATATGGAAGTGCCAAGTAACTAGAATAACCAAAACAATTTTGAAAAAGAACAAAGAATACTTATACTACTTCAAGACTTACTATGAAGTTTCAACAATCAAAACAGCGTGATATTGGTAAAATAAGAGACACAGAGATCAATGGAACAGAATTGAGAGATCAGAAGTAGGCCATCACAAATATGGTCAATTGATTTTTGACAAAAATATAAAGGCAAATCAATGAAGAATGGATAGTCTTTTCAACTAATGACACTCCAATAATTGGACAGTGACATGCAGACACATTAATCTCTACCCATACCTCATACCTTGTATAAAAATGAACTCAAAATAGATAATAGGTCAAAATACAAAAGGCAAATACAAAGCTTCAAGAAAAAATATGGAAAAAATTTTTGAGAACTTAGATTTGCAAAACACTCTAAGACCTAATACAAAAAGTTCATCAAATTAACAAATTGATAGATCTTTATTAAAGCTGAAAGCTTTGCTCTGCAAAACAAACACTATTAAGAGAATGAAAAAGCCAGTGGGACAGACCCAGAGAAAATAATAGCAAATTATATTTCTGATAAAGGACTTACTTGTATTCAGAAAAATCTAAAAAACTCTCCAAACTCATCAACAAGAAAACAAACAATCCAATTTTTAAAATTAGGCAAGAGATTTAGAACAGACATTTCACCAAAGGAGCTAAGAAATGAAAATACACACATAAAAAGGTGTTTGACATCACTGGTCATTAGGGAAATGCAAATTAAAATCACAATGTTTTGTCCCATCTTCTAATTACAATCATTTTTGCTATAACACTTGTTTTGAAAACACAAGTTTATTTCAATGAGACTGAAATGTCAGGAAACAATTTGAGCATAATGCAAATTTCTTGTTTGCATTATGCACGATTTGTCCACAGGAAACACTAGGTGAACATATAAGACTGTCCCCAGCTGAATTGAGCTGCATATAGAAATAAACAGCCTGGGCACGGTGGCTCATGCCTGTAATCCCAGCACTTTGGGAGGTCGAGGCAGGTGGATCACCTGAGGTCAGGAGTTCGAGACCAGCCTGGCTAACATGGAGAAACCCCGTCTCTACCAAAAACACAAAAATTAGCCAGGCGTGGTGGTAGGCGCCTGTAATCCCAGCTACTCGGGAGCCTGAGGCAGGAGAATCTCTTGAATCTGGCAGGTGGAGGTTGCAGTGAGCCAAGATCATGCCACTGCACTCTAGCCTGGGTGACAGAGTGAAACTCTGTATAAGAAAGAAAGAAAGAAAGAAAGAAAGAAAGAAAGAAAGAAAGAAAGAAAGAAAGAAAGAAAGAAAGAAAGAAAGAAAGAAAGAAAGAAAGAAAGAAAGAAAGAAAGAAAGAAAGAAAGAAAGAAAGAAGAAAGAAAGAAAGAAAATGTAGACATGCACACACCTCATGAAGACAACAACCCTCATCTATCCACACACCCTCTTTCCACCAACTGAAGTGTGGACAGGCCACTTCCACAGACAAACTTCAGGTCTTTCTCAGGGGAAAGTCTAATATTTGCTCATTTCTTAACTGTTTAATATGTAAAACTGTATTGCTATTTTTCATAGCTTCTGTTTTTTAAAATATGCCACTGATGAAGTGTTTGAGTGTGGTGCTTCCAACCATAGGTCCTGTGGTTATTACTGAATAATTCTTGCATAACACATGATTTTTAGGCCCATGTGCCATGTCATAGCAAAACTGACTAGTGTATACACTGCAAACACACATACAACTACTTGGAGTGACTGTTCTGACCCTTCATTTGGAGGCGTGCTCATTGCTTTGGAATTCTGGCAGTTGATGGCTGAATAGTGATTAGAGTGTGAGGACAAGGCTAGATGGGAGACAGAGGGAGTACTCTCTGGTTCATTGTTTTATAATGGGAAAGTGGAAACAGAATGAGTTGTTGTTGTCGTTGTTTTTTGAGAAGGAGTTTCACTCCTGTTGCCCAGACTGGAGTGCAATGATGCAATCTTGGCTCACCGCAACCTCTGCCTCCCAGGTTCAAGCGATTCTCCTGCCTCAGCCTCCCGAGTAGCTGGGATTACAGGCATGCACCACCATGCCCTGCTAATTTTGTATTTTTAGTAGAGATGGGGTTTCTCCATGTTGGTCAGGCTGGTCTTGAACTCCCGACCTCAAGTGATCCGCCAGCCTTGGCCTCCCAAAGTCTTGGGATTACAGGCATGAGCCACCACGCCTGGCCACATAGAATGATTTTAGGGAATATTTGGGTAGCCTCAATCCCACAGTGCAAAAGTTATTCCTTATTCAATTATCTTTCCATCTTTCTAGACTGACATGGAAAAAGGGTCAGATTGTTACTACAGTATGCCTTTAACCTCTTTCATCTTTTTCTAATAGAGAGGAGTCTCTAATCAAAGCCATCAGCAGTCTAATATCTATGAGAAGTGATACCCGCACTTCAGTTACAGTGATAATCAGCTTCTTGTTTAAATAAAAGCATTTAAATTAAAGAGTCAATTTAAAGTTAAGTATTTTAACTTTAATACTAAGGAAAGGAAGTATTAGTTAAGTTAAAGGAAAAGTTAAGTATTAGTGCTGGAACCATGGGGATGGATGAGATATAGATGTCTGAAGTGGGAAAACTCACGGACCAGGGAGGTGTGGAACAGCTGTTTGCCTTTCAGGAACCGCCCCACCTATCTAAATCCATATCCTTTTAGGAAACACCCCCCACTGTCATGTGGTTTTAGAATTGCCTTTGTTCATTTTAATTAGAACTCTCGGGAGATATTAGGGAGAAAGTAATCTGCACAGAGGGCTTCACCCCAAGTCTAGTGCCTCCCCCACCTCCCCACCCGGTGCTTTGCAGGAGCGGCACCCTCTGCTCTGTGTGCCAAGACCGCTTGGGAACAAGTAGATACACACCCAGGAGAACCACATCCTCTGTCACCAGGGAACAGCTGCTCAGCCTCAGCACTCGAAGAGACATGGAAAGCTTTAGTGTTTCCAGAAGTAGCTTCAAGTTGCCACCAACACACTTGTTCCAAGAAAGGTTGAATACTTCCAGAGCAGAGAGGTGAACAGAGGTTTCAGCTAAAAGTGGTAACGATAAGAACAGCAGTAATTTAGGTTTTCTTACAGATCATAAGCTTTGGATTTGAGGAAACTGGTCTAGGACAACACATTAATATAACTGGGGTTGAGAAAGTTGTAGAGGCCATTTTCTTCTGCCTTAAATTTATGGCCTCAATTTATGTTGTCTGTTTTTTGTTGTTGTTGTTGTTGTTTGTTTTGTTTTGAGACTGAGTCTTGCTCTGTCACCAGGCTGGAGTGCAGTGGCACAATCTTGGCTCACTGCAACCTCCGCCTCCTGGGTTCAAGTGATTCCCCTGCCTCAGCCTCTCAAGCAGCTGGGACTACATGTGTGCACCACCATACTCAGCTAATTATTTTTGTATTTTAACAGAGACAGGGTTTCGCCATGTTGGCCAGGATGGTCTGGATCTCCTGACTTGGGATCCACTAGCCTTGGACTCCCGAAGTGCTGGGATTACAGGCGTGAGCCACCACACCCAGCCTGTTGTCTGTTTTTATTTGGGGAAATATTGGAAACTTTAGCAAAGCAAAACTTGATAAATTGGAATTCACTGTCCAACTGGGGTTTCTTTCCTTCATTTCACATGTAGGAAGGAGAAAGAGGCAAAGTACTTGGACGGCTAGTCAAGATTTCAGAATGTGTCCTGGTTGGTTGGTACATATTCCACTGCACAGTCACTGCTGAGATTGAGAGAGGGTCAAGTCTCCCTAAGAGTCTGAAATACCAAAACCTATTTGTGTTTACTTCACTGCAATAAATGCAGGCAAGGAAGGCAACTAATGTATTTTGGAAAGAGCTTTCAAGAAAAGTAAAAGATTTTCTGCTTAATTCTCAATTGCCCCCAAAGTTAAAATTAACCAGAATATCTTATTCCCAAGTTAATTGTACTTTAAACTATTCTGCCTTCCTTCTAGAGAATAATGTGTTCGAGGGGAAAATATACATTCTTTTATAATATCTAGTAAGAAAATCCCTTATTCATGGTACAGAGATCTACATTAAGGAGAAATGGAACTTTTTCTTCTAAAAGTAATGTAGGGAAATATATATTTGCTTCATTTGCTTAATTCAAATTGAATAGTAGATTTATGTCAGATGATATAATTTAGTGTGATACCTAGTTGATCATGATTCATTGATTGTGCAGCTAGAATTAGAAACAGCTGTGCCTTCTAATGGCTACAGTTCCTTTAAAAAAACATATTTTTCCAGACTGGGCAACGTGGTAAAACTCCATCTCTACCAAAAATACAAAAATTAGCCAGGTGTGGTGGCACATTCCTGTAGACTCAGCTACTGGGGAGGCTGAGATGGCATGATCGCTTAAGCCCAGGAGATCAAGGCTACAGTGAGCCACGATAGTGCCACTGCACTCCAGCCTGGGCAGCAAAGCAAGACCCTCCCAAAGTACTGGGATTACAGGTGTGAGCCACTGCACCTGGCCCAAGTTCACAGTTCTTTACTGGAGGTCAGTCATCTAGGTACCCTCCACCCAGCATATACCAAAATTCCATGCTCACAAAAGAAAAGCTCATGTTCAGCATAAACCATGTTGTTTGTGCAAACAGGTTAGGCATAGTAAACCACCCTTATCAGTTAGGAAATGGTACGAACACCCCCAGATTCCAAGTTCTGGGATATCAGCTAAGGGTTGGTCTTTCTGGTTGATAGTAGGCCTTTCCAGGGATGGCAGCATCAGGCCTGCTATGTTAACTCTTTTTTGCCCCCATACACGTGGCTGGAGTTGTTGGATTTGTGTGCTTCCTGGATAATGCTAAAAACAGAGTCCTTCTCTCTAACCCTCTCACCAGTGTTTTTTCTTTATCAGTTGGCACTTCCTTAAAAATGAATTGTACTGTCAACCAGACAAGGAGTATTATTAATGAAATAAATGCATTAAATTCATAAAAATGAGTAGCTATTATTATACATTAATAAAAATAAATGCATGTTATTTACCCCCAAATTTGAAGAACACTATATTTAGGGTATTCTTGCCCTCCTTTTCAGCCTGAGTATTTTGTTCAGCCTGAGTATTTTGCTCACCCTGAGTATTTTGCTCAGCCCGAGTATTTTGCTCAGCCCGAGTATTTTGCTCAGCTCCCATAGACTTGGTCCTCACCATGCCCTCCTCCCAGCGCTCCCTCAGCATCATTCATCTCATCGTCCACATCTCTGGATGGGGAAAAGTCCCAGGATAGGTAGCTTTCAGCCCTGCTGTTCTAGGGCCCATGGACCCATCAGAGAGTCTACAGATATGCTTGAAGGGGTGCCTGTGAGCTTCCTCAAACTGATTACAGTTATTCTGTGGGGAAGAGTATGGTACATTTTCTGTCTCCAAAACATCTGGAATTAGACTGCCTTAAATCAAATCCTGGCTCTGGCTCTTATGACCTAGGGTTACCTCATGTACTTAACATCTCTGTGCCTCCGTTTCCTTGTCTGCAAAATATAAAATGGAACAACGGCACATGCCTTATACAGTTGTAAGAGTTAAATTGGTGAATGCATGTAAAGTTCTTGGAAAGGGGCCTGGCACATAGGATATGCTCTATAAATGTCAGTTGTTAAGTTCTGCCCATTTGGTGACAAGTGCAATGTCAGCAAGTAAGGGGAGGTATTGTGAAACAAAGACACTTGGTAGCACTTCTCCAAATCGATCACCCAGGGAGCCAGTAGTTTGTGCACACAGTGCCGCGGTCCCCAACACCACCTCCCTTTACTTGCTGACACTGCACTTGTCATCAAATGGAAACTTTGTCACCAACTTTCAGATTCAGTAGGTTCCTGATGTAGGCTGGGGCACATCTGTGACCTTAAGGCATACACAGATTCCTAAGGGAGCATATAAATCCTGTGGGGAGTGATTGCTTGGCAGTTAGCTAGGCTCACACTCTAGTAAATGGCTTACTTTCCTATCAGATCCACAGCAATCCCAACTCATACTGACACCTCCGCAAAATTACAAGTTACCATGGATGTGGTGGTCCCAGGTTGGTTGTACACACATTAAATTTTAAATGCTAAATCTGCACATACCATGGCCAGGCACGGTGGCTCACACCTATAACCCCAGCACTTTGGAAGGCCCAGGAGGGTGGATCACTTGAAGTCAGGAGTTTGAGACCAGGCTGGACAACATGGTGAAACCCTGTCTCTACTAAAAATACAAAAATTAGTCGGGTGTGGTGACGTGCACCTGTCTGTGATCCCAGCTACTCGTGAGGCTGAGGCAGGAGAATCGCTTAAACCTGGGAAGCGGAGGCTGCAGTGAGCCAAGATCACGCCACTGCACTCCAGCCTGGGTGACACTCTGTCTCAAAACACAAACAACAACAACAACAAAAAACCCTGCACATACTAGAATCATTTTTTTTGGACTTTCAGAAGGTCACTTTTAAGAAGGCATATGTCCTGAAAAGAAGACAAATTAGTACTTCACAAATTTGGCTGAACCTTGGAATGAAATGCAGAGAAAAAGAGGTCTCCCTCTCACATTATTGCATGGCTCCTGCAGGGATCTGGGAAATCTCTTACCAAGAGCTGTAAAAGTCTCACTCTCCAAAGCACAGTTGTTGATAACTAACGACTTCAATGCTGGTAAAAATCGGAGCCTGCTGAGTAAGTTTTCAGAAGAATTGCCCATCTTTTTGTTGGCTGATAAATCCAGTTCTTGAAGATTTGAGAGTAAAGGAATGACCTGGGCTGTTAAAAATATCAGCAGTGACATGTTTTAGGCACCATCTCACAGAGACTTCCGGGTGTTTGGTTCCCACACTCTGTTTAATCTGTCAGTCAATACAGCTCTCCCCATCCCGACCCTCCCTCCCTTACACACCGCAAACCAGCCATCTTCCCAGCATGCTGCTTGGGCTTTCTTGCTTCCAAGCTCCTTTCCAGGCTAGAAGAGCAAAGGCTGTGGAGACAGAGAACTAGATCTTGGATCTGCTACTAAAGAACTGTGTGATTTTGGACAAGTTAATTAACCTCTCTGAACCTTAGCATTCTCAACTCTAGAGCTCTTAGTCTTCTCTATTTCAGTGGTCATTGGGAAGGTAAAGTGACTTGGTAAAGATAAAGTACTTGGTATAATGCCTGGCACATACTAACTGCTCAATTAATGTTTGAAATGATAATTCTTTTCTCAGAATGTAAGTACCAGTAAGGCAATGAAAACAGCAATCAGAACAGACACTTGTTGGTAACCACACTGGGTCCTGAGGGGCCCGGCTAGGAATTACTCCCGTTCACTATCTTTTGCCTGCTTTTCCGGCCTTTGCCCCAACTCTTACCAAGGCAGAAAATGCAGTATGCTGGATCTCTACAAGGCTGGCTCACCTCCTCGAAGCCTTCCAGGGTCACCCACACCAAAGTAACCCCTTGGTCACTATCACATCACCATATTTTATTTTCACAGCACCCAGCATTATGTGATATTTTCTTGTTAATATATTTGTTTTCTGTCTTCCCTCACTGAAGGCAAGCTCTGTGTTATAGAAACTATCTCACTCCCAGAATGAGGATCAGTACCTGAAACATCAGAGGTATAAATGTTTGTGGGAGGAGGGAGAGAGGTCGGGGAAAGAAAGGGGAAAGGCAGGGAAGGCAGGCAGACACTTGTAAAGTCAACAGGTGTAACTATTTCTCCTTCTTCCAACCCCCTCAGCACTTTATATTTCGCCATGCAGTTTGAATATGTGTTGGTTTACTCCTGCCCCTGCCATACCGAAGTTCCCTGATAGCTGGGATTTTCTGCAGCCCCTGGCACAGTGTCCCACACCATTAGAGGATTCATCGGTAGTTACTGCTTAAAGGATCTATAATTCCAATTCTTTGGAGCGATTTACAATGATCAGATAAAAGAATGTTCAATTATTTAACGGCATAAAGTATAAAGCAGGATGTATTTTCATTTCCATCTTTTCAAAATTAAGCAGAAGGAGAACAATGCAATTCATTACACTTATCAAATTATTATTAGTTTTCCAGGGCCATTCACCCATGTCAGTGGCTGTGAACCTAGGTAAGGAAAGCCTAGTCTTCCATTATACCAGTGGGAATAATTGAGGTCCTCCAGCACTGAGTAACAAAATGAGATGTGGTATTCATGTTATTTAGTTGTACCAAGGGAATCTGGCGGGCTGATAACTCATGAAGGTCTTCCTAGGTATGACGCTCAGGCTATGATAAGTAAAGGGAATGGTAAGAACTCATAATGCTCCATGCAAAGCTCAAAAAGGGATTATTTTGTCATTTTTAAATCTTCATGAACGCCTTGAACTCTTCTCATTTTCCCAAATATTGAGAGAAGAGTTTGAGAGATAATTTAGCAGGTTTAAAAAGATAGATGTGTGAGACCTAGAAACCTATCTTATGGTCTTCCTCCCCAAATTGTACTATAAACAACCAAAAACTTACTTGTATTCTCATTGTGCACTCATTCTTCATTCATTCACATATTCAACATGCATTTACTTGGTGCCAATCATGTGCAGGTGCCTGTGCTTGAGCAGTGGGGAGATGCTAAATGAGACACCTCTAGCCTGGACTTGCCCATGACCTGGAAGGAGAGAGCATGGGCAAAGGGCCCAAGGCCAGAGCATGCCTGGCATGTCTGAGAATCAGCAAGGGCCGTGGCACGGGTGGAGTCAGTGAGGAGGAGGGGGAGTGAATGAAGTCAGAGCGATAGAGGACAGGGAGACCATTTGGGCTCTTGCAATAATCTAAGCAAAAGATAATCGTTGCTTGGACCAGGGTAGTGGAGGTCTAGATGGTGAGCCATGGTCAGATTCTGGATGTACACTGAAGGCTTACTGTGGCCACAGACGGGATAAAACCCTTAATCTCAAGGCTATGCTTGCTCTGTTTGTTATGGGAAATTGCATTTATATATTACATGTTGTAATTACAGAACTATGTTTGCAGTAGGAAAATAAGTGTAGTTGCCTAAAGCGGTAACGTATAGCCATCACGCGCCACCCCACTGACTCTTTCTGTAACTTCATTTGTATCTGAGTGGCTTGACTTCACTTGTTATTCAGAAATCTTCAATACCTTTTGTGTTGGCATTTGGTTACAGGTATGTAACCTGTTTGTAATCAGCTTTGTGACACTAAGAGATTTATTTCTAAACAGCAACATAAATTCAAAATTTTCCCTAAGCGCCAAATCTATCATTTACAGGCATGTATAGGTGGAACTGAGATTCACTAACGTTTACTGGGTGTTTAATACATGCCAAGTACTGTGTTGAGACATTCACAGAATTTTTAGGAATTAATCTTTCCAATAACTTCATAAAAAGTAAATTTATAAGTGTACATATTAAAATTTCCAAGTTTCCAAAGATAGGCCAAGATTCCAAAAAGTCTTTCCTTTGCTCTGTAATATGTACTCACTCAGTGACATCACGTCATCTGCTGTTAGTGAACACTGGTGAAGATCTAGGACTTGCAGATGCTTTAGCATGACCAACTGAGCCGACGAGTCTTCAAAACCTCCACCTAGATCCTTATTGCAGGAAAGATCTAATTTCCTCAGCTCAGCCAAATACCTAAAAGCAGCATCTACAAAGAAAGTCAGAATCCCATTCTGATAGCTGGACACAGTGGTGTACCTATAGTCCCAACTGCTTGGGAGACCAAGGTGGGAGGATTGCTTGAACCCCGGAGTTTGAGTCCAGCCTGGGCAGAATAGTGAGATCCATCTCTTAAAAAAAGAAAAACTGGACCAGGCGTGGTGACTCCCATCTGTAATCCCAGGACTTTGGGAGGCCAAATGGGGTGGATCACGGGGTCAGGAGTTCAAGTCCAGCCTGACCACGATGGTGAAACCCCATCTCTACTACCATTCAGACATATTGCAAGGTGGTAAGAAGGTGTGGAACAGGGGTGGGGCCATGGTGCAGTAAGGGAGGCTGAGGGAGCACACTGTGTTCACAAAAGACAAAAGAAGGAATAAGTGTAAACTTCCTACCATCTGGCCCTCTGTGGACCCGACCATGATTTCACACACACGCTCCCTAAGATCTGCATAGATTGCCGAGGGTTTTGACGTGAATCCTGCAACTACACTTGAGCATCCTCTCCTATTACACTTGAACATTGGAGTTTACATAGATTTTTAGACTTATTCAAGCTGCCAGTGAATATTACAGGTTCTGTAAGTTCAATGTCATTTCCTATTCTCCGTAAATATGGATACTATGTACAGGGGAATAAGTTTTAACTCCAGACGCCATCGAAGCCATTCTTTTTATCAATACCAATTCCTTCCTACTATGGAGCATAAAATAATGCTGACACTTTCAGAACAGAAAACCTAGTAGTTCTAGCAGCAAAGAAACTTTATTTTTCCCAGTGTTTATCTCAACCTAAAATATACTGGCCTTTTCAGAGTCAGTGATATTAAAGGCTCATTTTTATAATCATGAAAGTGTATGTTCTCTGTCAGATATTTAGAAAATAAATAAAATATTAAAAAGATTTTTTTTGAGATAGTCTCTTCTGTCATCCCTATCAGCTCACTGCAACCTCGCTTCCTGAGTTAAAGCGATTTCTGCTGCCTCAGTCTCCCAAGTAGCTGGGATTACAGGCACACGTGTCACCACGCCCAACTAATTTTTGTATTTTTAGTAGAGATGGGGTTTCTCCATGTTGGTCAGGCTGGTTTCAAACTCCTGATCTCAAGTGATCCGCCTGCTTGGGCCTCCCAAAGTGCTGGGATTACAGGTGTGAGCCACTGCGCCCAGCCTAAAGGAGATTTCAATTACTCATAATCTTATTCCCCAACGCAACCACTATTTATATTTTGCTATATTTCCTAGTAACTTTTCAATATATATATTTATATGTATATCATATATATTTATACTTGTAATCTTAAATCCAGCTATTGTTAACTCACCCAATATTTTGACACTCTTTTGTGATAATCCACATGAATGTAACTTCAGTACTTTCAGATTTGACGTGCTTTTTAATCCCTGAGCAATACTGTTCAGACTGCCACCAATGTCTCTGTTAATGGAAAGATCAAGTACTTCAAGACTTTGCAGCATAGGTAGCAGTTGACCTAGAAAAGAAATCCAAGTAAGAAGGTATGTCACCTGGGGATATAGTGACGTTAAACTCCACTCCCCTCCTACATACCCTTCTTTAAATTCAGGATAAGACAAAACACAGCAAACGTCGATTCCCAAGCTATCCAATGAGCATCTTCGATTTTTTTTCTCTTCAAATTCCACTTACCCAGAAATGTCCCATCTTCCGACGTGAGGGTGCAATCCACAAGCTTAAGCATTTGTATCTTGCTCCCTTTTTGGAACTTCTGAAGGATCAGAGGCAAATTTCCTCCCACTTTACTGTTCCAAGACAAATTTAGCTCTTCAAGTTCAGGAATCATCTCAAGTGCTTCTCCTGTTAGCAAATGGCCCGAAAATTCTGTTAGTCACTAGTCAGTAAAGCAGGGAATTCATTTCAGAATCAGCACAACTATGATTAATGGAGTGTGGAAACTGGGCCAGGTACTGTCCTGTTTGGCACAGAGGAACAGAGAGAAGGAAAGAACCCAGTTCCTTCATAGCAGGGCACGCTTCTCTAGATTTACACGTACAGTCATTCTAGTCCCTCCAAAATTCTGAAGTCATGCGTATGAGCTAAACAATTGTTGTAGAAAAATCCACCTATTGGTAGGGTGGTTTTAGGAAGCTGCTTTTGTGGTGGTTAATCTGCTTTCCCTTAGCCCCCCTCTCTGGCATCAGCATTTCTGAGAAGTTTGACCAGGGATAGAAGGGAGGCAAAGCAGATAACTGGCCACCACAGAGGTAAAGCTCTCTCCAACGTCAAGAATATCACATGCCTGTATATATAGTAAAGCTCTCTCCAAAGTCAAGAATATCACATGCCTATATATATATACACACATATATACACATACATATACATATATATATACACACACACATATACATATATATATACACACACACACATATATATATATGAGAGGAATATCACATGCAACCTGAACTGACCACTACAGAGAGAAACTAATAATAGAGCATCAGGCACTAGCATCTTATAACAGCCATGCTGCCTTAAGGCGTAAAGAAGGGTGTAGTGAAACAGGGATGAAAACTAACATTTCTGAAACCATCACACACAGGAAAGCTCCCAGGGCTGCAGAGTGGAGGCTGGGAGAGAATAAGAGAAGTGACCAGACAGATCAGCCCTTAGGAATGATTTTCACCACCTTGGGGGTAGACACATACATGGAAAATGTACTTTCTCAATGTGCAAATAATTAAGCATTCTGGCAAGTCCCCTGTATCTAGAAGCCTCTTTACTACCCGCCCCTGGGTTTGAACTTCTACCATTGTTTGTTCATTCCATGGATTAAGGTTTTAGAAGTCCAGGAACCCCATGCTAAAATGCATATTCTCCAGCAGTTATAGCATTTTAAGCCAGCAATGAACAGGTATCATTTTGTGTGCACTTGCCAGTCAATTGGGGGTGGCTTTCTATAGTTCTGAGGTGTTCCCCAGGATCAGGGAGAAAGAGCTCATGATTGATTAGTTATGTCTGCAGTGGTCATGGTCCTGGAGTGCCATGCATTTGCCACCTGGTACTAAACTATTATAATGGGTGTAACAATTTTGAAATGCCTTCTGATTTATGTTCTCTTATCAAGAAACCATTTATTTTCCCTATACCCCATCTACATTAAGACTGAGTGAAGAAGACAGAGTATGGATGATAGATAGGTAAGCCCCTCCTGATGGGAGAGGATGCAGAAGTCCTTCCAGAGAAGAAATAACTCTGGGAGAGGGAAAAGGGCACAAACATCAGAACAACAACAGTACAGATTCCCTCCTCAACCAGGTAAGTTTGGAACAGGTCCCAGGCAGAAATTTCATTTTCTTGTTTTCTAAGGATGGAGGATCAGGAAAAAGATCAGGTTAATCATAGAAAATAAGAAAGTTGTCTTTTCACATGTGAGTAATTGTATGTTAAAATTGTGAGTCTGCTACACAATAACCAGCTGCTTAATGTGGGGCTAAACTGATCATGTAACCCAAAGAAAGGTGGTCTTAGATGACAGAATGGAGAAAGAAGGACTATCAGTTATTGAGCACCTATTATGCACCAGGCATGCAGTAGGTACTTTAAAGAAATTGTTTAATCCTTGCAACAATTTTTTGAGAGGGAAGTTATCCCTATTTCAGATATAAGAAAACTGAGGCTCAGAAAAGTTAAATTATTTGTCCATGTTCACAAAGCTAGTTAAAAGTGGCAGTAGGGGCCGGATGTGGTGGTTCATGCCTGTAATCCTAGCACTTTGGGAGGCCAAGGCGGGCAGATCACTTGAAATCAGGAGTTCAAAACCAGCCTGGCCAGAATGGTAAAACCCTGTCTCTACTAAAAATACAAAAAAATTAGCTGGGCATGGTGGTGCATGCCTGTAATCCCAGCTACTTTGGAGGCTGAGGTAGGAGAATCACTTGAACCGGGGAGGCGGAGGTTTCAGTGAGCCAAGATTGTACCACTGCACTCCAGCCTGGGCGACAAGAATGAAACGCCATCTCAAAAAAAAAAAGGGGGGGGGCCGGGGGATAGACACTAAGATTTGAAGTAGAATCTACTAAAAATACAAAAAATACAAAATAATTACAAAAATTAGCCAGTCATAGTGGTGCACGCCTAAAATACAAAAAAATACAAAAAATTAGCCGGGCATGGTGGTGCACTCTTGTAATCCCAGCTCTTGGGAGGCTGAGGTAGGAGAATCACTTGAACCAGGGAGGCAGAGGTTTCAGTGAGCCAAGATTGCACCACTACACTCCAGCCTGGGTGACAAGAATGAAAAGCCCTCTCAAAACAAAAAGGCCAGGGGGGCGGGGTCAGCACTAGGATTTGAAGTAGGATCTGGCCAACCTGAGATGTGTAATGTTTCTTCTCAGCTACAGGAGGCATGGGCCAGGGGATGTCAGCTGCCCCCATTTCCAGGGAGGGACTGACAAGCGGAGATATTTGGCATAAAATGTGTTGTTTTTACAGAAATCTTTAAATAGATGTAAAGGATTAAAATAAGTCATGAAAACAAGAAACTTTACAACAAAAGAAGATTAAAAAGTATCAAAGACATGTAATAAACCAGCAAGCATTTTGGTACAGCAGTTGGATAAGTAGAATGACATTGTACAGATTTAATTCTATGCTCCGTATATATACTAACTTAATGGAGGTTCTAGTTCTAGTTAAACTATTAACTTAAAAATCTTGTTTTGTTTAGGCCGGGCGCGGTGGCTCAAGCCTGTAATCCCAGCACTTTGGGAGGCCGAGACGGGCGGATCACGAGGTCAGGAGATCGAGACCATCCTGGCTAACACGGTGAAACCCCGTCTCTATTAAGAAATACAAAAAACTAGCCGGGCGAGGTGGCGGGCGACTGTAGTCCCAGCTACTCGGGAGGCTGAGGCCGGAGAATGGCGTAAACCCGGGAGGCGGAGCTTGCAGTGAGCTGAGATCCGGCCACTGCACTCCAGCCTGGGTTACAGAGCGAGACTCCGTCTCAAAAAAAAAAAATCTTGTTTTGTTTAATTTTTCAAAATGTGGGTGGGAAAATAGAAGAGAGAAGTATTCTTTTGGAATTGTAAAAGAACTTAATTCTTGCCTACTCTAACTCCTCTATTTTACACATGAAGTAACGGAGACCCAGTTTGAGCATGTTTTACAGTAACCTCCATTTAAACTACATGAGGCCGGACACGATGGCTCACGCCTATCATCTCAGCACTTCGGGAGGCTGAGGCGGGTGGATTCCCTGAGGTCAGGCGTTCGAGATCAGCCTGGCCTACACGGTGAAACCCCATCTCTACTAAAAATACAAAAATTAACCGGATATGGTGGTGCACACCTGTAATCCCAGCTACTTGGAAGGCTGAGGCAGGAGAACTGCTTGAACCCGGGAGGCAGAGGTTGCAGTGAGCCGAGATTGCACCACTGCACTCCAGCCTGGGCAACAGAGTGAGCCTCCATCTCAAAAAAATAAAAATAAAAATAAATAAATAAATAAACTACATGAAAGCAGGGACCTGGTCAGCCTTGTTCTTTTCTCTATCCACAGAGCTTAGCACAGACCTAGACATGGTTTACATGACTTTTTAGCAGTTATACAAGTGCCCAATATAGCATAGTGCCCTTGACCATGATCCCCAATGGAGCAGGCAACAGAGATAGTTTGCCCTTGAGGATTCAGCTTGCAAAGGTGCATTGAGTGAACCCATCTTCTTCTTCTTCTTTTTTTTTTTTTTTTTTTTTGGAGATGGAGTCTTGCTCTGTCATCTAGGCTGGTGTGCAGTGGCATGATCTCGGCTCACTGCAACTTCTGCCTCCCGGGTTCAAGCAATCCTCCTGCCTCAGCTTCCCGAGTAGCTGGGATTACAGGCACCCACCACCACACCTGGCTAATTTTTTGTATTTTAGTAGAGATGGGGTTTCACCATGTTGCCCAGGCTGGTCTCGAACTCCTGAGCTCAGGCAATCCGTCGACCTCAGCCTCCCAAAGTGTTAGGATTACAGGCGTGAGCCATGACGCCCGGCCAAATCAATTTTTTAAGAAATGCATTCATCATACCCAGTGCTTGAACGTCGTCAGTGGTGAGTCTGCAGCTACCCAGCCTCAAGATTTTTAACTTGCTGACCAGATGCATTTGCTGAGTGATAGAATGGAGGGTTCCACCTACAAAATCATTCCAGGAGATATCCAGTTCTTCCAAGTCTGGGAGAAAAGGCAGCAAGGCAACTAGAAGTAAACAGAAGAAAATACAGATATGTGTATGTGCCTTGGGATTTGTAGTAAATAAAATGCAATGCCTACACACACAGGACATAGTTTTACACGGTAAGAGAATAGACAGGGGTGGGCGTGCTGACTTTTGGCAAAGAGCCCTCAGCTCTACAATTGGAGAAATTGTGATGTTTACATTTTCTATTTCTTAGGATGTTTTTTATTTCTGCCAAATAACTGCAGTCTGAAAATGCAGGGGTGTGTCTGTAAGATTTCATACAGCCTCTTTTCCTAAACTCAGCTGAAGTCTTCAAAACCTAAGGAAGGATCAATTAACTTGCTTTGCTTTTTTTGTGTGTGTGTGAGGAGTCTCAATCTGTTGTCAGGCTGGAGTGCAGTGGCGCGATCCTGCCTCACTGCAACCTCTGCCTCCCGGGTTCAAGCAGTTCTCTGCCTCAGCCTCCCGAGTAGCTGGGATTATAGGCATCTGCCACCACGCCTGGCTAATTTTTGTATTTTTAGTAGAGACGGGGTTTCATCATCTTGGCCAGGCTGGTCTTGAACTCCTAACCCTGTGATTCACCCACCTCGGCCTCCCAAAGTGCTGGGATTACAGGAGTGAGCCACCACGCCTGGCCTTTATCTTTAAAAATAAATAAATAAATAAAAATAGCGGTGCTATTTCTGCAATTGTCTGGGACCACTGAGCAGACTTGGGGCTACTAGGTGGGTAGCTGAGTATGTTTTATCTGCTCATCTCAATGGAAAGGCCCTATCTTCCTCTATGCAAAGTCCACTGCATACAGACCCATTTCTTTCATGTCTGCTGTTGTTAATCCACAGTTATTCAAATCTAGACACTTGTTGACAGCCTTTTTGCCCAGCTTCTGCAGGAACTGCTCGTATTTCTCCATACTGGATCTCAATTCCATTTCTGAACTGAGAGGCTTAGCTGTGTGATAAGCATAAAAAAGAATTTGCTGTTAATGATGGATGTATTAAAGATGCATAGTGAGCACAATCAGATAAATGAAAAGACTGCATAACTCTGAATTGCTCTTTTATAAAAACCTCAACTCAGAGGCAGAGCCATTTACTAGGGACAAAGCTCAACTAACCACTGTTCCTGCCGCCAGGCGCTCAGACACTGCTTCAGGAGCTGGAGGAACTCAGTGGCTTTTCTATCATGACCTGACCTGGGCTTCTCAGCATGAAGACAGAGCTGCATTCCTGGGTGAGAAGTAAACCCGTCAGCCCAGCTTTTGAGATGCTTGCTTACTTGAAGGGCACACATATCTTTGGTGAATGCAACTACTAGGGAGGAAGCAGAGATACTTGCCTCCTCAAACCAAGCAGGTGAAGAAGGGAAAGCATTGAAATCACCATCAAGGAGCTTCAAATGGCTACATGGGGTGAGTGGAATTCTTGCCGGTCATTCCTAGACCATTCAATTGGCAAACATATGTCCAGAGAAACTAGGCCTGGGAGAGCTTTTGCTTTTTCTCAACTCCTGCCAGAAAGTGCATTTGGAAAGCCTCATTTGTCCTTCTTGTTACTAGGGACTACTGTGGCACCCTCACCAGCTTCCTCTGTAATAACACTATAATAACATGATAGTGGCTGGGCGCGGTGCCTCACGCCTGTAATCCTAGCACTTTGGGAGGCTGAGGCGGGTGGATCACGAGGTCAGGAGATTGACACCATCCTGGCCAACATGGTGAAACGCTGTCTCTACTAAAATGCAAAAAATTAGCCAGGCTTGGTGGTGCATGCCTGTAGTCCCAGCTACTCAGGAGGCTGAGGCAGGGGAATCTCTTGAACCCAGCAGGCAGAGATTGCAGTAAGCTGAGATTATGCCACTGTACTCCAGCCTGGTGACACAGTGAGACTGTGTCTCAAAAAAAAAAAAAAGAAAAAAGAAAAAAGAAAAAAGATAGCACTATAATAATAAAAGCTATCATTTTATTGAGCACCTGTTATGTACTCGTTCTTCGCCTACTTGCAGGTGCCAGCTTTTCTTTTTTTTGTGGGGGGGTGGGATGGAGTCTCACTCTGTCGCCCAGGTTAGAGTGCAGTGGCACGGTCTCAGCTCACTGCAACCTCCACCTCCCAGGTTCAAGCAATTCTCCTGCCTCAGCCTCCCGAGTAGCTGACCTGCAAGCACCTGCCACCATGCCCGGCTAATTTTTGTATTTTTAGTAGAGACGAGGGTTCGCCATTTTGGCCAGGCTGGTCTTGAACTCCTGACCTCAGGTGATCCACCCACCCGGCCTCCCAAAGTGCTGGGATTACACATGTGAGTCACCATGGCCTGCCAGGTGCCAGCATTCAAGACATACATAAAATACATCATACTTTTGTAAGGAAAAGTGAATAGACGTGTACTGACAGTGATTTTAAAGTGGTTTTATAAGTGAAATATACAATTGTAAACATATAGATTATGTATACTGAAATCCAATAGGAAATAATAAGTTCTGGAATGTGCAGTAATATTAACCCTGACAAAAAGGTGTAAGACCACATAGCTAAGAAGAAATACATTGGTACCAGTGAAAAATAAAAGATAGTATGATTGCGGTGGTAATAAATTTAGACCAAAGGATTAGCAGGATAATAAAAACTACATCTCTAATCCACAGCAGTCTTGTGGCTTCCTGTTTGGTCTAAGAAAACCACATGCAGGATACACATCCTTGTTGGGATGATTGGTGTTACCACATTTCACCAGTAGGAGGCAGCAGCATCCACCATGTAACCTTTCACTCTCACCTTCCATTTTTATTTTTATGGCACATTGGATACAAGGTATTTAATTTTGGGTAGAGTTGCCAGATTTAGGAAAAACAACAACGGCATGCCCAGTTAAATTTAAATTCCAAATCAACAAGGAATCATTTTATAATATGTCTCAACTATTGCATGTATTTTCTCTGGCAACCCTAATTTTGGGTGGGGCAGAGCAGAGTTGTGGATAGGAGACAGGGAGGGACAGCCTCTTAGGTGCCAGAAAGTACAGTACATTTTGTCTAAAGGAGTCACAATCCATTTCATAGATTTGGAAACTTAGAGAAATGATTAACTAGGAAGAAGCAGAGCCTGAATTTGAACCCGGAGTAGTTTGTTCCAAAGCCTATGGTGTGTGTGTGTGTTTTATTTTTGTATTTAAAAAATTTTTTCTGTGTTGCATCTTATTGCTGTTTCTCTTTTGTTTTTAAGCTTTTTATCTCAACCTACAATCATGCCCAAGTTCCAGCCCCACCAAACCCACTCTTTTCTTTTCTCCTCAAGACACTGCTCTGTCAAGCATTTCCTTTACCGTCAAATGTTTGGAAAGAGTGGTTTGCACTTGCCGGCCCAACTCCTTCCCCACATTTGCAAGCTAACCCTCTACCTTCTGGTTGCTACACTCCTCTATCCAAATCAATTGTTTCTCAAAGGTCACCAGCAATAACCTAGAAACTGACAGATACAGAAATCTCTTCTCAGTTCACATCCCACTGGGTGCTCTGTCATGTTTGATGTGACTGACAAGTAAGCAGTCGGAAGACCTGGTCCAAATCACGGGTCTGTTCGAGGAACAAGTCACTTAATCTTTCTGAGCCTTGGTTTACTCATCTATGAAATGCCTGGTTCCTTTCTCAAGAGCATCGTGATTTAAACTTACTGGAACCTCCCAGGGACATGGTAATCTGCAGGGCCTTTTACCTGAGAGGTACTTGGTAAATATTCGTTGAAAGAGCAAACAATTGAATGAATGAATATTGGTTTTACAGTTGCTCAATTACCAAAATAAATCATCATGATAAATCTTTATCAAAACACTTAAATATAAAAGTGAGTACTAACTTATGAGATCCCTGGACATCTCCTCACAGATCATGATTTCAATTTTTAAAAAATCTGTGAAACCGGCCGGGCACTGTGGCTCATGCCCGTAATCCCAGCACTTTGGAAAGCTGAGACGGGTGGATCACCTGAGGTCAGGAATTCGAAACCAGCCTGGCCAACGTGGCAAAACACCATCTCTATTAAAAACACAAAAAATTGCCAGGCATACTGGCGTGCACCTGTAATCCCAGCTACTTGGGAGGCTGAGGCAGGAGAATCGCTTGAACCCGGAGGCAGAGGTTGCAGTAAGCCGAGATCATCCCACTGTACTCCAGCCTGGGCAACAGAGCAAGACTCCATCTCAAAAAAAACCAAAAAAACCTATGAAACCAAATCAGCCAAGCATAGTGGCAGGAGCCTGGAGTCCCAGCTAGTAGGGAGGCTAAGGCACAAGAATCTCTTGAACCCGGGAGGCGGAGGTTGCAGTGAGCTGAGACTGCGCCACTGTACTCCAGCCTGGGTGACAGAGTAAGGCTGTGTCTCAAAAAAGAAAAAGAAAAAGAAAAAAAGTATGAAACCTTCTCTTCACAGGATACCTTATGTCACAGATCACTGTGTAGAACAGGTGAGTCAGGGCTGCTGCAGCCAGGCTGGAGTGGGGTGGGAGGCACCCATGGGGGGCGCATTAGTAACCACACAGGAGCGGCTCTGTGGAGATTGAGGCCTTTTCCTAGCTGTGTTAGCTCCAGACGAAGCTCTTGGTCCTTAGTGCTCTCACTAAGTTCCTTTCCGACTGAAATCTGTCAAGGTTTGTCAACCAAAACACTCGACATTCATAAGACGTTATTACACATTGCTAACATGGGTGGTACTGTACCAGGAACCAAGATAACAAGTTCCTGTTTTCAAAGAGCTGCCTGTTGCATGAGAGAGACGGCAAGAAAGCCACCGTTACCATATAGATGAGAAGCAGGGGCACGCAGGGGTGTGTGGGTGCACACTTCACTGACACTAAGTACCCCAAGTCTGGGGATTCCGGGTCGAGGAGGTGGGTCTTGGGAAGTTTCCAAGAGAAACTGGTACCTGGATTGCCCCTTAAAGGAAGAGTGGGAGTCATCCAGGTGGGTGGACATGAGAGAGGGATATGTCAGGGAGGGGTGCAGGGGAGGATGGTGACGCGAGGGAACATCTTTCTAGCCACAAAGAACCACTTGCTGGGGAGGAGAAGAATGTGGCCAGTCCAGGGAATTAGAAGTAAATCAGAGTGCCACACGCAGAGGATGAGGGCGGCGCTGTGGTGGGAGGTGGGAGAAGGCAAAGGTCATGAAGAGATATCCAATATCCAACTGATCACCAATACCTTGAAGGCCATGCTTGGGAATATAGATGAGAGAAACTCAGTGAAGGATTTTAAGCAGGCGAGAGACACCACCATATCTGTGGTTTAGAAAGAGCACTGTGGCAGTGTGGAGGAAAAATTGGTAAGAGAGCAAGACTAGAAGCAGAAAAACCAGTTAGCAAGCTATTGCTGTGGTCCAGGCAAGAGACAATGAGAGCTAGGCAGCAGCAATGGGCAGGAAGAACCAGGTGGGAGAGCTATTTGGGGACAGAATTAACATGACTCCAGGAGCCATTGAATTTTGGGAGAAATAGAAATGAAGAACCAAGCAGCTTGGGTGGTCAGTGTTGCATAGCAGGGATGACCCCGGCTTGGTTTTGCACTGTTAATTTAATCACGATTACATTTATTCATTAACCTCATTCCTGATGCTCTAAATCACACTCTAGAACAAAAATGAACAATTTTCTGATAGAGATGGTCTTCTTTTAAAGACAGACTTTAATTTCCTATATATAAAAACATACTTAAAATACATTTAATCTACTTGCTGCTTATACTGTATTATTTTTGGCATTTGATGGCAAACAATCTGATGGAAGGGATGGTAGGTATAAATGATACAAAATTGGCTAGGCACAGTGGCTCCTGGCCAGGCTTGTAATCCCAGTACTTTGGGATGCCGAGGCAGGCAGACCACCTGAGGTCAGGAGTTTGAGATCAGCCTGGCCCACAAGGTGAAATCCCATCTCTACTAAAAATACAAAAATATTAGCTGGGCATGGTGACGCACGCCTGTAGTTCCAGCTACTTGGGAGGCTGAGGCAGGAGAATCACTTGAACCCGGGAGGCAGAGGTTGCAGTGAGTCGAGATTACACTGCTGCACTCCAGCCTGGGCGATGGTGCGAAACTCTGTTTCAAAAAAGAAAGAAAGAAAGAAAGAAAATCGGCCAAGGGTTTTTTTTTTTGTTTTGTTTTTTGTTTTTTTTTTTTGAGGGTCTTGCTCTGTCACCCAGCCTGGAGTCCAGTGGTGCAATCATGGCTCACCACAGCTTCAACCTCTAAGATTCAAGCAATCATCCCACCTCAGCCTCCGGAGTAGCTAGGACCACAGGCACACACCACCATGCCCAGCTAATTTTTAACTATTTTCTAGAGACGGAGTGTTTTTTGTTGTTGTTGTTGTTGCTGTTGTTTGAGACGGAGTCTCACTGTGTCACCCAGACTGGAGTGCAGTGGTGCAGTGGCATGATCTCAGCTCACTGCAACCTCCGCCTCCCAGGTTCAAGGGATTCTCTTGCCTCAGCCTCCCGAGTAGCTGTGATTACAGGCGCCTACCACCATACCTGGCTACTCTTTTATATTTTTAGTAGAGACTGGGTTTTACCATATTAGCCAGGATGGTCTCAATCTCCTGACCTCATGATCTGCCTGCCTCGGCCTCCCAAAGTGTTGGGATTACAGGTGTGAGCCACCGCACCCGGCTGAGACAGAGTCTTGCTGTATTGCCCAGGCTGGTCTTAAACTACTGGCCTTAAGCAATCCTCCCGCCTCAGCCTGTCAAAGTGTTGGGATTACAGGCATGAGCCACCATGCCTGATTGGCAATTACTAAAGGTAGGTGACCATAGGGATTCTATATTCTATTTTTGCATATGCTTAAAATGTTTTTAAAATGCTTTTAATCTAATAGATAATATATTGATGACATTGCACATAACACGTAACTTTAGAGAGAGATTTGACAATATTTATTTTCATAACCCTTGAATTTGCAATCCCTGTTCTGGAAATTTATACTTTAAAAATAGCTGAAATATGGTGAAACAGGGAATGGGAAAGAAGGAAAGCCAAAGATACTCATTGAAGGACAAACAAGGAACTCACTGAGTAATTAAGACGTATGAATGTGGCCGGGCGCGGTGGCTCACGCTTGTAATTCTGGCACTTTGGGAGGCCGAGGTGGGCGAATCACGAGGTCAGGAGATCGAGACCATCCTGGCTAACACGGTGAAGCCCCATCTCTACTAAAACTACAAAAAAAAATTAGCCGGGCGTGGTGGTGGGCACCTGTAGTCCCAGCTACTCGGGAGGCTGAGGCAGGAGAATGGCGTGAACCCAGGAGGCGGAGCTTGCAGTGAGCCGAGATTGCTCCACAGGACTCCAGCCTGGGCAACAGAGCAAGACTCCGCCTCAAAAAAAAAAAAAAAAAGACATACGAATGTAATGGAATATTATGCAACCATGAAAATTATGCATGTGAGCATCATGTAGCAAAGTGGGAATTGAGCAATATAATAATATATTCCAGAAGTAGGATCACAGCTCCATATAAACTCAGGAGGTATCTGGAAGTTATTACAGCTGTGGAAAAGATGCCAATCTGGCCCCAGCGACTCTCTGACTTGTCTTCCACTACCCCTTCCTCTCCGTGTCTCCCATCCTGCTTCAGCACCCCTGACTTCCTGACTCTCTCTCAAACACTCTAGGCTCACTGCTAGCTGGGGCCTTTGCATGTATAGTCCCTTTGCCTGGAAAGCTATTTCCACAAATACCTAAGTGGCTGGCTTTAGTCATTCATTCAACACAGCTGATTTTATTCAGATTGCTGTTCAAACGCCTCCAAATCGAAGACTTCTTTCCTCCACCCCCAACTAAATAGCACCCCATCCCATCATTCTTTGTCTCTTTAGCCTGAATTATTTTTCTTCATATCATTTATCACCACCTGAAGTTGTATCTGCATTTGGTCCTTTTCATGGCTGTATTTCTAACACTTAGCGCAGGGATTACCTGCTGACTGATAGAACATAAATGCATGCACATGAAAAAAAAGACTGAGAAGAATCTTAAAGAAATGATCGTTTGTGTTATAATGAAAGGAAGTTCTGTATTTTCCCTAAACCTTTCTGTAGTGTTATGTTGCTTTTAACAATTTAAAAGTAAAATTATGAATCATTTAAAGCATTTAAGTAACATAATAAATGATTAGCACAGAGACTCATAGTTTGAGTCTTTAGTCTCAAAAGTCTTAAAGTCTTTAGTTTAACCCATAAGATCACTTTAGAAGAAAACTCTAAAAATTAAAGAAATACAGAGGCTGGGAAGGGTGTGTGTGTTGTTGGTGGGGGAGGTGTGGGTGGTTAATGGGTATAGAAAAAATAGAATATATAAGATCTACTGTTTGATAGTACAACAGGGTGACTATATTTATCCTTTGTGTTACAAGCAACCTGTTATGCTCTTTTAGTTATTTTTAAATGTGCAATTAAATTACTGTACATTTAAAAATAACTAAAAGAGGCCTGGCATGGTGGCTTACACCTGTAATCCCAGCACTTTGGGAGGCCAAGGCAGGAGGGTCACCAGAGGGCAGGAATTCGAGATCAGCCCAGCCAAGGCAGTGAAACCCCATCTCTACTAAAAATACAAAAATTAACTGGGCATGGTGGTGTGCACCTGTAATCCCAGCTACTTGGGAGGCTGAGGCAGGAGAATCGCTTGAACATGGGAGGCAGAGGTTACTATGAGCTGAGATCATGCCATTGCACTCCAGCCTGGGTCACAAGAGCAAAACTCTGTCTCCAAATAAATATATAAATAAAACTAAAAGTATAATGGGATTGTTTGTAACACAAAGGATAAATGCTTGAGGGGATGGAGACCCCATTCTCCACAGTGTGATTATTAGGCATTACATGCCTGTATTGAAACATCTCATATACCCCATAAATATATACACCTATGATGTACCCACAAAAATTAAAAATAAAAATGTTTTAAATGTGGAAGTAAAAACAAAACAAATACAACAGCAAAACACCAGCAGCCAGCAGCTTACCAGTCTCTGAGGGGGCCGTCTTCTGTATCCAGTTGCTGGGTTGGGAATCAGTTGTTTTAAGGTCATCGTTCTCTTTTCTGCTTTCAGCTTTGGAGCCCCTGAGAAATTTGTTGACAGATGAAGTCTGGGGCTTAGTTTCTCCTTCTGAGGAAGTTTTCTTCCTTGTTTGACTCATGGTGAAGTTGACTGGGGTATTTCCCAATAAGACATCCTCCTGTTATTTTCTGTTTTCTAGGATTTCTAAGAAGAAAATAAGATTCTTTCAAGCCTGTGTTCAATCAAAATATCCTCCCCTACGTGAGTGCCCCCCACCCCCAGCCCCGCCATCTTTCTTTTTCTGTTTTTTTATTGCTGTTAATGTTTAACATAACAGTAAGAATGATGTAACCCAGGATCCGGGAACCAATACGAACCCAAAGCAATTTGAGTTTTTAACTTTGCCCTGTTTCATTGTGTGAGATATAAGTCATCAAGCACGACTTCGGCAAGTACATCTCGTGTGTCAACACATCTTAAATTACAGCTGTCAGTTAGAGTTATCTGAAGACTTAGCATGCCTTTAAAAGGGACTGGCCATTTGCAAAGCTGTCCTCAGAGGAGTTTGCCTTCAGGAACCTCCGCCTTCCGGTGACCCCCACCTCTTTCCTTTGCACGCAGGCTCCTTTTTCTCTTTGCATTTTCATATTTTCTCTACCCCCCAACCCTGCACCACCACCCCACTGAAACATGTTGGCAGTAAAGAATTCATTCATTCCATAAATAGTTTTAAAGAATCTACTGTAGGCCAGTTAATGTTCTAAATGCAAAAGGTCCAATGATGAACAAGAGACAGTTCTTGTCTTTGATGGCATCTTAACCTGGTGGGAAGATAGACCTGTATGCCATTGACTGAGTGGGACAAGAGCTAAGAGATGGGAGGTGGTCAGGGAACCCACAGGTAAACTAAGCATGCCTTGGAGAACAGACTTGGAACAGTGAGTGACATTGCCTGGGTTTTGAAGGACTGGGAGTTAGCTTTTTAAGAGAGGCAAGAGCATCCCAGGCAGAAGACAGGGCAAGCTCAAAAGCTCCCAGGCAGGAAGGGCTGGAAGAGCCTAGCATTGGAGGTGGGGATGTGGGTTGGGGGGTGTGGAGGTTAGGGGTGAGGTCTGGTATGATCTGAAGCTAAAAAGGATTCGTAAAGGTCAATCTGTTATCTCTCCTGAAAATTTGCTTATATTTTATGGGAGGGCTAAGGACTTAAACTAAAGGGATACACCGAGGTGTTTTGCTTTGTTTTGACATAGAGATGGATTTTCACCACGTTAGCCAGGCTGGTCTTGAATTTCTGGCCTCAGGTGATCCGTCCACCTCAACCTCCCAAAGTGCTGGGCTTAAAGGTATGAACCATCATGCCCCGCAGAGGTATTCTTGAAATTACAGTTTTCATGGTTTCCTCTCTAATAAAATAGCTCTTCCTGCAACATTATGTTCCAGAATGGTCCAAGAAACATTTTACCCAGGGAATCCTAAAAATGGACCTTGCAGAGCCCGCCTCCACTCCTGAGGGATGGAATGTTCCATGCACTTGGAGCACTGCTTTGGAAATCACAACTGGACATTCCATTTTTCTTTTAAAATTTTCCTTTCATATTAGAGCAGGGTCCAGCCCTGGTTTACCCAGCAACAGACAGCAATGGAACTAGACAATTATCCCATGCACAGCAGCACAGCTGACTAGAGTCTCGGGAGGTTAGGTGGAAAAGAAGAAGGAAAGGGGTGCTAACTCATAAATCTAAACATGACCTGCAGCCCTGGCTGCCCCACCCTGATTCCACCATCACCCCAGGCCTTTCTCAGTTTGCTGCTTTTCTGGCCCCTACCCAAGACTTACCTCCATGGTCATTTTCAGACAATTTCACCATTTAGAGATTTAGACAAGGCTATTCTCTGGGGAGCTAGCTCAGTAATGGTTTCACTTTTTTATCCTCCCCCCAAATGCACTGACTCCAACTCCCCAAGTCCTAAGAAAACAGTGCTGGAGGGCGCGCCAGGATGTGGTAATTTACCCAGGTGAAACCCCACCTAGCTTCTGAGGCCCAGTCAGTTCTCTGTGAAGGTCAGTACACTAAGGAACAGGGGAGCCAGGAAGCCAAGAAACACAGGAACCAAGGAACAGAAGAGGATGCAAAGGAGAGGAGAGGAACAAGAGAGCAGAAAGTAACCAGGAGGCTAACAAGGCAACAAGAAAGGACCATGCCAGAGGAAGGAAGACTTCTGAATGAAAAGGGGAAAGCATTTGCACATTTCTTCATATATAGTAGTTAAGTACTAGGTTACATGCTCATATTTAAAACAATAATAATTTTTTCTTCGAAATATGTCTGGGACATTCCTCTTCATATAAAAACTTAAGTAAGCCCTGAGGCTTCCCATACCAAGTCAATCTTTAAAATCTTAGCTTCAATAAACCTTCCGCTTCCTCCTTATCCCTGCCCTGGACTTTATAAAGGTAATCCCTGGAAAAGGAATTTGGGAAAATTTGCAGATCACAGCACAACCACCACAATACAGCAGCTAAAAACTGGGGGCTTGTCCCTTCTCCCAGGGTCAAAAGCATTCACTTAAGAATCCTTAGGAAAAAGAAATGACTGAAATTTCAATTCAACTCATCAATATTAATTGAGCATATACTTTCCATATTTACTATATTCTTAATAGTTAAGGTTGTTTGCCATGAAGCCCCAAGAGTAACACATATTGGACACGTCATTTCTCTTGCATGTAAGCTGTTTTTATTTATTACTTTTGACAAAGTAAGGAATACCTTTCCTTTCTTTTCAATCCTTAGGTTTGGGTTTTATATAATTTAAAATGTTTGAGAAATGCTTTTAAAGGTCTTTTTTAATTCTTTTCTTTTTTTTTTTTTTTTTTTTTTAGACAGAGTCTCGCTATCGCCCAGGCTGAAGTTCAATGCCGCAATCTCGGCTCACTGCAACCTCTGCCTCCTGGGTTCAAATGATTCTCCTGCCTCATCTTCCTAAATAGCTGGGATTACAGGCATCCGCCACCACACCCGGCTAATTTTTGCATGTTAGGTAGAGATGGGATTTCACCATGTTGGCCAGGCTGGTCTCAAACTCCTGACCTCAGGTGGTCCGCCCACCTCGGCCTCCCAAAGTGCTGAAATTACAGGTGTGAGCCACCGCACCCAGCCAGTCTTTCATTTTTTGATGTAATGTTTCAGAGTGAATCATATTTTCAATGTTGTTTGTCAAAGGGAGACGCATTTTTCTTTCTCCACAGACTTACTTCATTAAAAAGGAAAGGAAATTCTGTTGCCTGTTATAACATGAATGAATCTTGAGGACATTATGCCAAGTGAAATAAGCCAGTCACAATAAGATAAATACTGTATGATACCTCTTCTATGTGGTATCTAAAGTAGTCAAATTCATGGAAACAGTAACAGTTGTGGTTGCCAGGGGCTGGGGGAAGGGGAAGTAGGGAGTCGTCTGATGGGTATAGAGTTCCAGTTTTGCAAGATGAAAAAGTTCGTCTTTGTGAATCTGTTGTACAACAAAGTGAATATATTTAACACTACTGAACTGTATACTTAAACATGATTAAGATGATTAATTTTGTGTTCTGTAGTTTTTACCACAATTAAAACATTTTTAAGTGTATTTTTAAAAAGTGATTCAGGCTGGGCGCGGTGTCTCATGCCTGTAATTCCAGCACTTTGGGAGGCCGAGGCGGGCAGATATCCTGAGCTCAGGAGTTCAAGACCACCCTGGGCAACATGATGAAACCCATCTCTACTAAAACACAAAAAATTAGCCAGGCGTGGCGGTGTGCACCTGTAGTCCCAGCTACTCGTGAGACTGAGGCACGAGAATTGCTTGAGCCCGGGAGGCAGAGGTTGCAGTGAGCCGAAATGGCACCACTGCACTCCAGCTTGGGCTACAGAGTGAGACTCCGTCTCAAAAAAAAAAAAAAAAAGAAAAGAAAAAAAAGTGATTTAGAGGCCTAGGACTCTAAATGTAAAGTTTTAAGAACACATTAATCAATTTCTACTTTTATTTTCCTTCTTATGTATCCACAAATGTGACATGATTTTAGAAAATCCATGCCTAACTACTAGATTTTTAATAAGCATAAAATAAACATCCTAGGTAATCAGAAAAAAAAAAAAAAAAGCTTCAGTCACTCAGTTCTAAGGCATTCCAGTGGCATGCAGTATCTTGAGTTCTACGTCTGATGAGCTTAGTTCAGCCTCATTCATAACTCTTGTCTTAAAAAGGCATTATTGTAGATATCTTTGTAGTACTTTAGTTAACTCTGCTATTTTTAGTTAATTTAAGCAGAAAGGGAATTTATTAAAAGAATGATGTGGAAGTTCTACTAAAACAATGGCAGAGGTAAATATGTGTTTACCTCCACTTCTCTTTTTTTTTTTTTTTTTTTTTTTTGAGACAGAGTCTCGCTGTGTCGCCCAGGCTGGAGTGCAGTGGCACGATCGCGGCTCACTGCAAGCTCCGCCTCCCGGGTTCACGCCATTCTCCCGCCTCAGCCTCCGAGTAGCTGGGACTACAGGCGCCCACCGCCACGCCCGGCTAGTTTTTTGTATTTTTAGTAGAGACGGGCTTTCACCATGTTAGCCAGGATGGTCTCGATCTCCTGACCTCGTGATCCACCCGCCTCGGCTTCCCAAAGTGCTGGGATTACAGGCTTGAGCCACCGTGCCTGGCTACCTCCACTTCTCTTGAAACCCCATTTAATCAACAGGAGATTTTTTAAAAAAAAAATCATAAATCTGCAAGGATAAGGAGAACTGGATAGATGTCACACAACTTTGAAAACTAGAGATCAAGAGGATGAATTTAAATGACTTTAAAGGTAAGTGCCTGCATGGATTGGGAGAACAAATTTTTTAAACGTCAGAATCCCAAAAGTCTCAGTAATTGACAGCACAAGGTAACTCTGAAGGAAAGAGAGGGGTGAGTAGGGCTGCACACAGGATGATTCGTGAAACATCTGTAAGAGGTTAAATTGTTAAATGCTATTTCTCACTTCGGGCAGCCAGGAGGCTACCCCTTCCCCATCTGGCAAAAGAATGTCTATTTTCACGACACATAGAAACATAGAAGATCTAGACTCAGACACTGGTCATATTTTAGTACCTTATCTGAAAGGAGCTTAAGTAAAGTCTGTAACTGAGCCATGAAACCCTTCCGTATTCCCTCTTCTATTCCTCCAAGAACACCCTGGCAACCAAGTGTAACTACCCACTTCGCCACATAACAGAGGTAGAGTGGATGA